TGCCCAACGCCCCCCTAGCGCCCAAAACAAGTTCCCCGCCCCTCAGCGTACTCCCAACGCCCCCAGGGGGGCGGTATCGCCCCCTTTGAGAAACAATGATCTATAGTCTACATCAATAATCCAAAGTACCAATAGTCCACAGCATCAAACACTTTACCAATACTGAAATCCTGATCTATGTTACTTCACGTTGACAATCACACTACAGCCATCCACAGATTACAGCAAGTTGCTCTTATTATTTTCATTTTCTTTCAGTTATACAAGCAAGGTGCTTGTATCCCTGTAGCAGCCACCCCATAGACTGCTGAACTCAAACTGTCTTTTGTTTTAACTTTTTTATACTATTTCATGATGTATGGGATATGGGCCTTCTGCGCGGCCCAGGTGCCCAATTTTTTATAAATAAAGAAAGGAAAAAAGAATTGCTATAAAAAAATTGAGCTCGTCGGCATGAAGTTGTAAATTTATGCCATTAAATTATAATAATATAATCAGCCAAAGTCTTTCTCCAATTCTAGCAATCTGTCTCTCAGAGCTACATCTCTGTTTTAGAGAAACTTAAGCACAGAGTCAAAAAGNAAACTTATTTTTTTAATATTTGATAATATGAGCTGATAAAAAACAATAACAAAACGTAAATACAAATCAAAAGAGTTTTACGTTTTCAACAACTTAGCAATCAAATATCTAATTTTAGCTGATTTTGCTTAGGAATATTTTTAAATATTATCGAAGGATTCAAAATATTTACGAAGGTATTGAATTTAGAACATGAAAATAAAGTTATACTTCACAGATAAAATGTTTTCAGAATAAAATCAGATGGAAAGTTATAAATATTTGGCAAGAATTATCTCTGTACTTGAACTTAGGAGTGTAAGTACAGCATGCATATTTTTCACCTATGAGACTATCAGTTTGTTATAAGTGTTTTTCTAACATTCTAAAAATTAATAACCACTTAAAAAACACATTAAGCATCAGTTTTTTCTTTCAAAATAACCTGTTACGTAAAGCTAAATTGTTTTTCTTTCCTCCTATATCATAAGTGTTTAGAAACATTTTCCAGGTTTATACAAAGGGCTTATTTTTATCATGAAAATCTATGAGAAAAAATATATCATGATTACTTAGCGAAACTTTCTTTTTATTCTATTATTATTATTGGTTTACATCAGTCATCACCAAAATGTATATTTCAATCCGAAGATTTCGCATAGTTATGTTAGATTCTGTACGATCCCGCTCGCATGATTTGAAGCAACTAGGCATACTTGCGTCATTTTTTCCCCTCCTTTTTTTTCTTTTTTTTAAATAGATTTTTCGCATCTTTAAATTTTTTTCTTTTTGGCGTGGCTTTACAGAGCTACAAGCATGCTGTTCGTACCTGTGGAATATTGTTTTCTATTTAAACCTACCTTCAAATTAACAACATGGTTACATATTACGGTTAGATCAAGAAGAACGCCTACACAGAATGAAAATGGAGGTTTCATTATTACAAAATATTAAAATGAATGATGTGATTTTACAACAATGAGAAAACTGCAAGTGACGTAGTGTGGGTATCTTGATCTTGATTGGTTGTTGAAACGTGACAATTGTTTGCGTTAGCAACTGTTCTTTCCATTCCATTTCGAATAAGCCAAGCCTTGTCAAGTTCCAATTCTCTTAAGTGACACATTCTACATTCTTTCTCAAAGATGTTCTTTTCCTGTACATTTCTTACTTAACACAAAGACAGACACGAAGTCATGTAGAACATAAACAAGCAAATTGTGCATCGAAGTTGTCAATTAAGAGGTTGAGGATAACCTTTGACCAGAGGGGCTTAATGAGGATGGGTCATTGAGCTCCCACTTCCCATCTGTTTGGGGACGATACTTCATTATTTCCTGTTCAACTTTGAGAAAAATCTCAGTTAAGAGGTTGAGGAAAACTTTTGACCAGAGGATGGTTCATTTAGTTCCTACTCTTTTAGTTTGGGATAGGTTTAAAATACTTTAGTTTTGATTGGATCTTTATTTTGAGCTTAAAATGATTGGATATTATTGATTGCTAAAATGATAAGGGGGAGGGTTTTTCAAAGACAGTAAAAAAAAGAAAATTCCTGGAAGGAAAGGGGTGAAAAATAGGTTTTAACATAGGTAATTTAATTTTAACATGAAAAGAAATAAAAGATGATGTTCACAGAAATGGTTTCACATTCTTCATTACTCTGTCTTAATGTGTGATATCTATTTAAGAATTCATATGATGAAAGAGTACTTTATATACCTCCACTTTTCTATTGATTATTTAAGAACCTAAATAAGAAGGTATTTTAGGTTACACATTTGTGAAATCTAATATTATTCACAGTCTTTTATTCTAACCACTCTTCAAGGCGGCTACTTCATACTTCTTCTTCCTCTTTTCAAGCACTACAGCAGATTCGCAGTCACAATGTCAAGAAACTTAATACGTTTCATCTAGAATCCAGGTATATTTACTCAATTAGCTTACATTTTTTCACTGATTATGGCTATTTGACGCACAAAATATGGAATGTGGATAGCATGTTCTTTTTTGAAAAACTATAAAAACCTGAAAAATGTGAAAAGTAAAATACGATTCGTAATGAGAAAAGTAGGAACTTCTCATTTTTTGATATTGAAACATTTTATTATTTTATTTGAAGCACTTATACATGAAATAATTATAATATTATTATAATTCATATTATCATAATTAATGTTATAATGTTTATTAATAATGGAATTAATAGTATTATCGATTTTTTTCTCCTTTCGAATAGTGAGGTTTTACTTTGTGTTTAACTACGAAACGCGGCATTCATTGTTAAATTACCATGTCTGAAGAAAAAAAATCTTTAGTCTGTTCATTTTTTACAATTAAAATAATTGTTTTCCCCCTTGGAAAAGTATTAAAATAATTTTTGGTTCAAATTTATTGTATAAATATATTGTGGTAAATATGTTTTACTTTATAAATTATTCACACATTTCTTTCGGTTATTATTATTAATAATAAATATTATTGACTGCTTATCATAAGTTTGTAATTTATTTATTGATTAATAAACTGAGTAGTGCATTGACTGACTTGACCATTCAGTGACTGGCTTGACCATTCAATAATTCGGCCGACTAGTTCTTTTCACTAGTTCCTTCAACGATTCCCTTCCTCGCGCTCCTCACTAATTTATTCTTTTATTCGATCGCTATATCATACGCAAAGTAATTTAAAGCAAACGCGAGAAAAATTCTAAGACAATGATTTTGCATAAAATATATCATTATCACCAAAAAAGTGATCGAACGTCACTGTTATACAAAGTTGCTGAGCAATTGCTTGCAAAATTGTTTATAACATAAAATTGAATAACACTTACAGAGTCATGCTTTTTTTATAAAATCTATAATAAAAAAATAATTGTAGAATCATGTTTAAGTTATGGAATTTTATAACTCTGCTCTGCGTAACTAATTTGCAGTGGAAAGTCAAAACTTAAGCGGTTTTTAAGTGAATCAAACGTAATTTAGTCCAGTGAATATAGAGAAAAATGGTTGTATATTCAGAAAATTAATACCCAAGACATTTTTTTTGACCAAAAGCTTTGTTATACATAATACTTTATTATATAAATGATATCGGAAAATACTTCCCCTCTTTTTTGAGGGAATGATTCGAGGAGGAGAATTGAAATTTTTTCTAAACTGGCAAGTGAGGAGTTGTCTCCAATGCATTTTTTGAGGCTGAATCGAATTTTCGATTCGGAATCGTTTGCTGAATCGATTCCGAGACTATGAGACTAACAGCTTTTTTATGAACAAAAAGTATAAATTTTTACTTGTACCTGATATTCATCTGATATTGCTATCTAAGCAAGTGAGACATTGTTCCTCAAGTATTCTTAACGCGAAATCAAAAGACTATGCACAAGTCTATTGAATAAGTAGTTCAGAAGTTGCATGAGTCTCTTATGTATAAAATGTGCTTCTTTTGACACGTGCTTATGTATATACTGCACATTGTTATCCAGGTAGTAGCTGAGCATGTAAAGTACAATGCTGAATTGAATAAAATCAATTTAGAGATGATCGGACTGTTGACTCGTGTATAGTCTTATTAGATTTAATGGGAAACAATGTCTCACTTGATCAGATAGCAGTATCAGATGCATTAATAAGTACGAGTGCAAATTTATACTTTTTATACATAAAAACATTATACATTTTAAACTATAAATCCAATCATCTCGGAATTGGTCTCATTCAATTCAACGTAAAAAATTAACCCACTTAACTCTTCGGAAGAAATTCGATTCTCCCCGACAAATCACCCCTATTTCCCTCTCAAAAAAGGGGGAAGCACAGAGAGGAAAGTTGGAGAATTTTACGGTATGATTCATAATTACATAACAAAGTTTTCTATGAGAAAAATCTTCGTTATTAATTTTTCCGAAGGAAAAGTTCATTATACTGAACATAATTGATAATTGCGGCTGGCAGTAATATTGTTTTACTGTTGTAATTCATTCACGTCGCACTAGAGCTGCACAATGGGCTATTGACGCCGGTCTGGGAAACATCTCTGACGATGATCCGAAGACCTGCCATCACAATTTTGATCCTCTGCAGAAGAACCCCGCTTCTGTAGCCCGACGACCTGACCTCAGCGTGAAGGCGAACACTTTACGGTAGAACAGTTTAACGCGGATCAATACCGCACACCCTCGAACACTTCACAGACTGATCAAAGTGATATCCAACCCACGCATTGACCGCAGCCAGTAATGCTTGACTTCGATAATCAGCTGGGATCCGTGTCTTAATGATCAGTCCACTGCGGGAATTTTGTTTTACATCTATCGTGCACCTCTAGAGAGCATTTGGTACCAGAGCTCCAGAGCTGCTGAAAGCTTGACGCATAAGCACCAAAGAACTTTCAGTAGAAATTTCACCGATTCTTTGTGTGTGTTTTGTGTTAGCATTGCTAATTTTGCAAAACTTTTATTGTCATAGATGGCAACACGTTATACTGTTGCCATGGTAATAGCTTGAGTAGTATTTGTCTTAGCGAGGTGGAGTATTGAAGTTAAGCTGTGTTTTTAAAATTTCCCGCATAATCTTTATTTTTTAATTTGAATACGAATTACCTAATATGTGTTTTCTATATCGTAAAAATCTCACTATGCGTAGAAATTTGTTATTGTATTTTTGAGACTGAACTTTAGTGTTTGGAGTAACACATTCCATCAGATGTTTTTCTTTGACTGCATAATTTCAGTATGGAGAATGCTCTTAATGAAGATCTTCCTGTGGGGATATATCACACAAAAGACAAAATTAAAAATTTGAAATTTAGGTATACTGAATAAAAAATAGAGTAACGTCTTTAGTAAATAAATTTTTTGATATCACTGGATTTTTTAACTTTTATCCATGCTTGTTATGTTTGAAACGCTTATTGGGGATATGGGGAGATTTCCATATCGTGATCTGTGGCAGAATAATTGCCAAGTCGTGGCAACTTCCGGGTAGCAGCCCGCGAGAATCTACAAAAACATCACAGAAAGGAGTCACAAAGCGATAACGCATGGAAACCCCCAAGCAAGCATCTACAGGTTTTTTAAAAGAAAAAGAACATTACATTTTTTAAAATCTATTTGGCACCTTGGTGATTGTAGGTGGTGCAACAGATCATGATAGGGAAATATCCCTCACTTATTATCCACATGTTTTAGACATTGAATAAAAAGTGTGTTTTAAACATAATAAAAAAAAACATTATTACTCTACCAGTGTTTCCCAAATTCTAAAATCAATGGAAACTGAAGGATACTGGGATTTCTCCCTTACCCTGGTAGTTAATCTTAAGGGTGCCCACAGAGATTTCCTCAGGGGGGATGATGCAAGCAGGAAAAATATCAAATCATCATACTATTTTGAAAAATTGTGAGCAAATATTTTTTTTTATTTTCTGAAAAGTAAATTACCTGGGGGATATTTCAGTATAATAATCAGTCTCTCTAATTATAATCACGAAGGTGCCAAATAGATTTTAAATTTGTACATTAAAAGGAAAATATGTACAGGTATGCTTTTGGGTGGCTGAAGTTATACCTTTCATATTAGACCAAAAATCGCCAAGACATGGTGATTTTTTTTGTCTAGATAGGGATATAGAAATGTTCTCATAGCTATATGTATTGGAAATTTTCGAAAGCAATTTCAATATTCTAATTTAAACTTTAAAATCAATAAATTTTGACCAGGACCACCCCTCTAAGATGGAAAGAAAAGAGGGGGGGGGGCTTTAAGCAAACTTTTTTGCAAGATATGTATATTAATTTAAATAATAATTGAATATAATGTTTTAACAACTCAATTAATAAAATTACTTGTGAAGTAAATTTTTCTTGACTTAGAATAGATCTTAGATTTTTTAAAATTCAGTTTAATCTTTATAACCTTTCCTTTTGACGTGATAGTTATTAGCTGAGTTAAAATACCTTTTAAACCCATAAATATGCTTCGATAAAGTTAAGACAAATTATTGGGTGTAAAAAATTGAGCAATTTTGATAATTTTTTTTATTGATTATTAAAACTCGGCAGCAAAAACTTCTCTTTTTTATGAAAATTCTTCTTTATAAGCAGTATAAGCTAGACTTAGTAAAAACTTAAATTAAGTGAAAGTTAATATTTTGTAAGAAGTAAGAAATAATTTTAAAAATTTGCTGGTCTTTTTACTATTATTAAAAAAATTGGTGATGCGGACGTAACATATTTTCATTGTTACGTTTATAGCAAATCAAGAACTTGAATATAAAATAAAGTGAATGGTACTCATAGATATAAATAAAATTGAGAGAAACTAATTAATGAAATTCCCAACATTGTGTTCTTTTTAACTATTCCAGAATTCAATTTCATATCACTTTGACTACATTAAGGTTAGTGTTTTCTGATGGTTTTCACTAGCAAGCTGATAATATTTTGATATCTGAACAGATTATTGAAAAGCCTTTCAAAAATTTTATATATGACTTTTTTTATTTGAGATTTATATCAAAATTTTTCTGGTCTGCTAAAAAAGGCTTAACAATGATAGCAAAACTCTAAAAAAAAAATTTTTTTCACTTATTACCAAATTAAGGGATTTCTGATTTTTCCCAATTATAAAGTTAATTAAAAAAAATTTTTACTCTATGATTAAGTTCTAAGAATTATTTACTACTTATTTAATTTCAAAAATTATTTAAAAAAATTTTTGTTACCTTATAAATCTTAATGTTATCATTTCTTACATAAAATATGTATATATATTAAAATATTTATTTAACTTAAATATGTTAATAAAATTCTTTCTTGCTTATCATATACATATTAATAAAATCATTAATACTATTTATTCTTAATATTTCCTTTTGTAATCTCTTATTTATTTACAGTTTCCATCTTGTAAATCTCAATAATTTAAAATCATAGAGCATTGTGTCCGTAATACCAAAAGTTTTATCCAAAGCAAATTAATTTGTGTTCTTCATAATTATTTAAAGTTATAATTTTTAAAACTTGAATATTTTGCAAAATGTTACACTTCTCTGAATATACATTACAAAACTTCAAAATTCAAAACTTTGAAATTTTGGTATAATTCATAGAATTGCATTGTACAATTTTGACCTTTGCATAAGTTATATCCCTAACGATCAGTTTTTATTTTTAATTTTTCCGAAGTCATGAAAGTTTAAAAGATTCAGAACAAATATTGAAAACTTCAGGAGTTATCCCTACAAAAAATATTAAAAGTGCTTGATGATTTTTAACTTAATTATACACATTTCAAAATCTACAAATGTTACATTCGTTACCATGTAATTGCTGCCGGGTGAGAAAGAGTTCTCTTAACACTTGGTTTTGTGTATAGTAAATTAAATAAATTGTTACTGAGGATGCGAAACTTTTAATAATGCTTGTAACAATCTTTATAAATAATTTTTTTATTTATTTATAGATTTTGTTATAAATCAAGTTTGTAGAAAAAGATATTTTATAGATTTCAGTTCGACTGACTTGCTAAATTATTTCTAAAAAAATTTTTGTGTTTCTTTTCTTTTTTTTTTTTTTTTTTAATTATGTGCCCCCTGAAATACAATACCCAGACAGGTTGCTGCTGTTAGATCCATTTCTGAGAAAGAAAATTAACATGCAAGTTTTATTATTAGATTTGACTTTGTTTTTTTTTTAAATAGTTATGTTACGGTTGCACAGTTCAATAAAAATGCACAATTTCATTATTATTATTCTCCATATCTTTTAGGGTAAAAGTTAGAAAAATAGCTAATGCTTGTTTCTCTGAGAAAGATTCTTTTGTATTTGGAAATCCAAATGAACTTGAATTGGTCAATATGATGAAAGCTCCATCTGCTAAATCAGAACAAGAATTTTGCTGGCAGGAAAAAATTGAAAGAAATGTGAGTTTCTTATCTGTTGTGTAACAACTGTCAGAGTTCAAACGAAATGTGTATCTGTTCATGAACTATTACTCAAATTACTTTACCACAAAATTCTTTACCCTACAGAGTATTTTTCATTTTCAAATAAGACTCATTGTAGAATGCTTTTTTTTAAAAATATGGGGTCACAGGGAGGGCAAGTTTGCTCCCACCCATCCACAGGTAAAATGACCTTGGAGAAACTATGGAATGAAATATGGAATTAGATCTCTTCCTACCCAAGTGGAAGAGATAAAGGAAACCTTTTTTTCCAAAATTAAATATCAAATATTAAAAAGTTTTTTTAACAGTTTATGATTACAATCTAGTTTGAATGTTATTATTATTGAATGTTATTATTTGAATGTTATTATTTAATGCATCATTTTTAAATGTGTAAAAACCAAAAAACAACAATTTGGGAGAAAATTTTTTTTTTTTGAGTTTCTTAAATTAACATAATTGTAGTCTGTTATATTGTGTTCCTTTCATAACTTTTTACTTTATTTCATAACCCTTCTGAAAATTATTAGTTAAAAATTTATTGTTTTAATTTGAAAGTAATAATCCAATCCTTGTCTGATTCTTTTCTTAGTGACAGATTTTTTTAAACTTTTGTTGAATCACTTCACTCTATAGTTATTTCTTGTTAATTTTTTTTTAATTCTATGAACGTTGAGATATTCCTTAGAAATTGTCATTCCTATTGATTGTAAAGATCGATATTTTGTGAATTATTTTCATACTTACATATTTTAAAAATTTCACTTTTTTATGCTTCTATATTTGTTTTTAAACTTAATCAACCGAATCTTTTTGAGAATTCAAGCATTAGGACTTGAAAAAAATTTTTGAACACACTTTTGTAACACACTTCTTCTACCTGATACGTTTAGCACAGGTGTGGAGCAGATAATAAGTTCACACAGACGTTGAATTTTAAATGTCTATGTGTTTAACATTGTAGTGTGTCACATGATACTGTCACACCATCTTATTGAATTTATGAGCTGAGACTTTCATCAACGCCACACTGTGCCCAACGTGTTAAATAAAACACGCGAAACAGATTTTTTTTATAGTAAAAAGAACTTCTAGTTTAAATTTCGAAAATTTTTAGAACTAACACTCAAGGTCAAGCAGTTGGATACACGCTTTCATTCGTTGTAATTGATTACAAATACTTAAAACAATCAATAATTATTCAGAAGTTGATTAATATGCAAATAAAAATTATTTGTTTTTAAGTCGGTAGATTGGAAAGCACTGTTTTAAAAATCAGTTTAGGCAGGGTTTGAATTTGTCCTGACTTTCCTGGTATAAAATATTTTTCCTGATGTTTAGTTTTTATCCTGATATTCTTAATTTTTGTGTTTGTTCGAAAAATTCCATTTTTTGCAAATAGGTTTTCTGGATTTAAAAAAAATAATTTTGTAGAATTAAAAGGATTGGATTTTCAATTCAACATTCTTATATTTTAGTAAAAAATGCTAGCGAAAATCGCATGATTCGATTGTTCAAACTTAGGGACTGTCCACTAATTAAGCACACAATGCAAGCATATAGCTCTACCCCTGCTGGATTCATTGTTTCTGCTTTTTTAAGAATTCAGTCATTTTATGAAAAAGATATTCAATTAACAGTCGTACATTATTAAACTTTTTTGGTGATGATTTCGTAGGTCATGCAGTTATTTATTATTTTCAGCAAATATTATAACAAATCTTGTAGTGTGAAGTTTTGTAGTTTCACAATTATTGATTTGTCTCTTTCATCTGATTTTAATAATAATCGATTTCAATCAACATTACAGTAATCATAATCACAGAATTTTAAATGGTGAATTGTGGGATTTACAAACATGAAATTACTTTTGTATAAAATTATTAATCAATATATTTACTGTGTATTTGTTTCCAGATTATCGTTCTGGAAATTTTAAATAAAAATATTTTTATAAGAGAATATTAACTTATTTATACCAGTTATTTTCTTAATGCAACAGTACTATAAAAAATTTTCATATTGATCAAACTGCTATAAGCTGTATGCTGAAGTTCCATAACCAAAATTATATTAAAAACTATTGAGACTTTCTGTTCTAACTAAAGTAATTCTGAAATTAAAATTAGTATTTATTATTCTTTTGCGCTAAAATTTGCTCGTATTATGCATATAGTAGAGCAAGATATAGATTTTTTTACTTGGTTGTTTGTCCTTTACTGAAATAGTCTTATATGTATGCTGTTCCAAAAGATGTCCTTATTTTTCTAAAGAAGTGCTGTCCAGATTTTTTCTTTGGCCCACAGCGAGGCCTTGTTTACACTTTTTCTAGAGAATCTGCTTAAATTTTGAGTTAAAACATGTTTTGCTTTTGCTACAAAGTAATAGTTAAATCAGTAAAAAATAAGCATAAATTTTTTACGATGCTAGTTGTTATTGTTAAACATATGAATTTTTTTATCTCTAGTTTTACTTGTTTTTATTTTTTATCTTTTCAGAAAGAAGGTAATTTAACTGATAATACAGCAAGAAATAATTCTAAAAGTGAAAATCTCATCATTAGTTTGTTTTCATATGTTGATGCTGATATTTTATCTCCAGAATGGAAAGTAATAATTTTATTTCTTTTTTAATAACTTACTGATTATTTGGTGAATTTGTTTGTTTCAGTACCCAATAAATTTCTTTGTTTATTAATTTTATATTAATGTTATTATTTTACGAAGAACAATAATAATTCTTTAATTTTTTTTGATGTTTAGATTGATTTAATTTATTTTGTGTTTTAAAAAAATATTTGTAACCAAATTTATAGATGTTTTTATTATTTTTTAAACATGCAACTTATAGTGTGTTTAACTTTATGTAATTCTTTATTTGGAAAATAATACTATATATTATCCAAAACTTTAGATTTTTGTTTGATATATTTAAGTGCATGAAATATTTTCATAAAGTTCATAAGTATGCAAAAATGTTTATTAAATAATTTTTTTGACTATTTTAATGACTAAATTTGCTATCGAGGAAGGCATAAAAAGTTGAATTAAGGTTAAAAGAACAGATTCGTAAAAAATGGTTTATGTTACAAACTGACTCATGTAAATATGAATAAATATTTCTTAATAATTCCTCATGTTTAAGCCAATTTTTTTTTTAAATTTAGAACTATTTTGTAAGTGGGTGTAAAGTAAGTTCTTTATCAAAGCTTGTCTCCTAAAAGAAGTGAAGTAGTAACTAGTTGTAAATCAGTAGTTGTAATTAAACTTCATTTGTAATAAAGTAAATTGTAGTTAACTACATAAAATCATAGTTTTTTTTACCACTGCTAATTATTAAAAATTTCTCTAATGTAGTACGCATATCTGATTAGTTTTAATTTAATACTAGTATGCCACACCATTCAGCAGAAAAAGAAACGAATTTGAGAGAATGGTCTTTAAATGATATGTAAAATGAATACATTTGATTGAAATGCAGTTATCATGAATCCATAAGAATAAATTTGTAGGGAGAGCATTATTGGAGTCAAAGTCATGATTAAAAAAACAAACAAATCAGATTGGAAACAGCATAAATATTCATGTGTGACATATCGTCAGTGCAAACACTTATTGAAGTTACTATATTACATTTTCATCGTGGCAATGATGCTCCCATCTCCTAACCCTCTGTGCTTAGATTTTCCCCTCAGGATTAAAATTGAAATAAATAAAAAATTCCTTTAAAACTTGTTTATTTTACTTTAAACAATAACAATCAATTGCAATTAATAACCATATTTGCTAATACAACAATAGAGCATAGCAAATATTCTTGGGAGATGAGTTTGAAAGATGCACAAAATGAATTTAAAAATAATTCTGTAGAATTTTTTATGATTTTCAATATAAGTATTGAAAATAATGAAAGTAATTATAGATATGTAATAATATAAGTAATATATTAAATGAAATAAAAGCCATTGTCCTGGTATTAATCATACTTAAATTATTTATTGTTTTGTTATAGCAACTATGTATTGAAAAAACAATTGAGTACTTATAAACATTTTCAGTAGTGACATAAAAAATTGGCATGATTTAATTTTAGTGTTATTATTTGAATGCATAATACGGTAATTCTATATGATTGTTGTTTATACTTAATTAAGATTTTTTTTGTTCTATATTTTCTCAATAAAGTCTTAAATATGATAATTTTCTGTTATAGGGTATACCACATACTGTGCCAGCATCATCATTAAGCTATATAGAAAAACAAATGTTACAATTGAAACCAAAGACAAGATTACAAACTCATGAAATGAAAACATGGTAGTTTCTTTTAGCTAGATTTTTTTCGACGTTTCATTGTTGAAGTTTAAATAAATTTTTTTCTACATTATTATGGGTTAATATAGAACCGTAATTTAACTGATAAAGATATATTTTATTTTGTTTAGGCAAAAACCATTATTTTCTGGTGCTAAAAAATTAGTAAAGGAAAAAAGCAATAAGAAAGATGAAACTTTTCCAGTGGGCCAATCTATGATTATTATGGCAGCTCTATATTTTGAAGATAGGTAAGATTTTATTTTAATCACATTACTTTTGGTATATTTTTTAGAAAAAAATAGTATACATTATGGTTTTAAAAAAATTCTAACTAATAGTTTTTTCTAATTAACTGATAATGTTTTAATTCATAGATAACTTTCTTTTTTCAGTTCTTCTATTGAAGAAATACAACTGTGCTCTTTACAATTTGATGATCACGGTACTCTAATTATGGTCCCTGATTTCACAAAACAAAAGTCATATGTATTTTTGAACAGCAGATCAGGTGTTTAAACTTTTATAATTCCTTGTTATTCCTATAATAAGTAAAAAAATATGAGAGCTTCATAAATAGAAAATCAACAATTTCCTGTAAGACCTTTTAAAAAAAGTGTGTGTATGTGTTTCTTTTTTAGTTACTGTTGTCTAATAAGGAAAATTAATAAAGTAATTACTAAAATGTTCTTTAAATTACTTCTACTTACCATTGTGTTACTGTTACTGATTAAAATTAAATTACTTTGACTGTTCAAAGATACTATTGCCAAAGTAATCCACTTATATTTCATTGAGTTTTTTTTTATTAAAGTATAATTATAGTTTTAGGTAAAAAAAAACATTGCTGTGATTCATATCCTTGTGTAGCACATTTTTTATTTCTTTATTTTTGTTTTTATAATTTTTTTGTTCTTGGCAAAGTTTAAATAGGCATCCCTCATTCCTTAAAAAAAATTTTTTCAAAAATTTAATCTGAAAAAAATTATTAATTTTATTTGTGTCATTTAATTATTCATTACTTATTCGATCTACAGTTGTTTTTAATTTAAATATTACAAGAGTATTGTTTAATCATGATCTTATCTGCATTTCAGAAACATTTGAGTATGAAATTGAAAATGCTTCCCCAGAATTGAGCAAGTAAGTTCAATTTAAATTAAATTAATTTACTGAATATTATTTTTATTCAGTCTGTTTTCTCATTACATTATTTCATTAAAAATATATAAATGAAATGAAGTGCCTAATTAATATGAACAAAATATATTTATTGTTAATTTAGATGACATTATTTAGGTATTTCTCTAAAAATAATATTTGAAGATTATGGTGTTACATATATTATGCATTATTAATGATTTCAGATTTAAAAAAGAGCTATAGCATTTTTACTTTTTTTGTAATATTTATTTAACTTATAAGTAAAGAAATAAATATTTTTTTAAAATTCATCTGAGTTTTAACTAGAAGATTTAAGCAGAGATAGAAAATTAGCTATTACCATCTAATATTTATATAATTTTGCAGTTTGTCATTCTTTTATACAAATTAATTAAAACTAAAATTTTACATCATTTTCGTACCTGAAGTGCTAGTCTATGTCACTTTTGTTCTAGATTTTATGTTGTATTCTGCAATTTCTATGCTATGTAACAAAAATTGCAAACTTTCGCATAAATTTGTTAATTATTTGTTTGAAATTCTTTTTATTTCAGTTCTGCTATTGAACGGGAGAAGTATCTTAAACAAAAGGTACTAATTGTTTTGCTTTTTTTGTATCTTAATCATAAAGTTAAAAAAATAAAATATTTTATTTCTCGAAGAAACTTTGTACTAATCTTTGTTTTTCTCATAAGCATTGTAGTAATCCATTTCATTGTGTTCATTAGATAGCTGAATACAAGAAAAAAGTTAAGGATGTTAATTTTGGACCAGAATTTAAGCCGGTTAGTATTGATAATTTACATACAGTACTATATTTAACTTGCATGATCTGAACTTTGACCAGTAATCAAGAATCTGTTTGGCATCAGTAATGTCTTATTTGTTGGAGCTATAATAATTTCTCATGTTCCCATTGAATATATTTTTTTGATTGCATTCTTAAAGTTAAAACTAATATTCTGTCAGAGTGTACAGTCATCATTTTCAAAATTTTGTGTAATACTTGATAAAACAAACTTAATTTATTTATATCTGCTTATAAGTAACTAAATACTTGCTGCATTTAGGGTTGGAATCAAACATGTGAAAAGTTCGTATAAACATTTTAGTTATTTGACTCTTAAGACATGCTTCTTGCTTTTTATCGTAGCTCTCAAAATGTTTTGTTGCTTATGTAAAGATCTCGTGTTTTTAAACAGTTTGATTGAAATCTGTTGAATGCTGAAAAGTAAGGAAATGGGTAAAAATTTATTGAGTAGCTTTTTACATAATGCAGTGGATAATATCATTTGTAGTGGATACTTAGGTAAAAAATGCGAAATTTAGCCAAACATAGAAAGTAGAAAAACACTTAACTTTAAGCTATTGTACACTTCATGAATATTATATACTCATCTCTTAAGCTAACAATGGTGGAATCTTTTTTAAATAATATTTTATCGAAGTTTGAAGTAGATTGAATAGTTATAATGATCTTGCTATGATACAAGTAGTTAAAATATAAAACGTACCTCGGTAATGAAACTGATCAGTAATTTCCATTTTAACATAAATAAAAGTACAGTTTTTATTTATTTATTTGTTTTTGTAAATTGCTGATGCAAATAATTAAGTTATTTGTATTCATATATTCATAGGCATGTCTACAACTCAGACGTTGATCGTGATTTCAAGCTAGATTAAAAACAGCATTATTTTTTTTAAATTATAATTGATTATTATTTTAATTTTTAATTATGCTTGAGAATAAATATAATGTTTTCATAAAATGTATATATTTACTTTTCATTCTGATATAGGATGCGCCAAATGAAACATTACTATCCTTGAATTGTGAAATAGGTGAGTCTCATTTCATAGATATAATGACTTAAACAATCTTGTATTTTGATAACTTAACAATTGTAGTACTTATTGATAATATGAAATGTTGTAATTGTTTTTATAGGCTAGAGACAGACAATTAGTAAAAAAGTGATCTTTAGGATCATACTGGTCGTAGACTTACTACAGTCGAACCTCGTTAAAGCGAAATTGGCGGTATTATCATAATGAATAAAGTGAACCAGATTTCATCTTATCCGATACGTTATGAAACAATTTATTACATACTCTTAATACATATCTACCACATTTATGTACCAAACGAATTAAAATAAGTTTAAAAAATTTTATAACTTTATTTTACAATTTTATTTCAACTATTTTATATATTTGCTCATCTGCTACTTTGAACAAAGGTGGATAATAGAAATAGCATTCCCCAAAATAAATAATTGGTACTTTATTCACATGCTTCTTATCTGTGTTGTGTTCAGTTCCTTTCATGTTAAGTGATAATCAGCTTGAAAATTTCACGTTAAACATGTAATATATAATAATAATTTGCCGACTCACAGGACCAAACATGTGTTTCATGCATGTAAAGTGATGTTTCACTCATAGAGATTTCATGTTAGTGAGGTTCGACTGTATTATGGTCACAGTCATGACATTGGAAATAACTATTAATGTCTGAACCAAATTGATTTTTCTTCTTTTTTTTATTTAAATATAAGTACTTAATACTATAATTACGAATCTTATTCAAAACTTAGGATTGAAGTTTCTAGATTTATTAAAGTTGAAACTTTAGTCTTATTTTCAGAGTATTATCATTATTTTTGTAATACTAAATAAATAAGTTTTGTAATACACAAATAAAAAGAAAATAAATTTTGGATTGTAAAATACAAAATACCACTTTGAATATTTTCTGACTTTTATTCTGTGAAAATTCTGCTATGCTTACCTGATTTTTTCTTAATATTGGAATAAAAAATATTGTTTATGATGAATACTTAATCAGATCAGATGTGGTTTTCAAATACTATGATGTATTAATAATCTATTAATATTTAATCCCTTTTAATATTATTTTAAAGCTTAAATAACCCATTTTATGTATACTAATTAACAAATTCTAATAATTAGTTATGTAATAGCATCAAAAATATGATAGTAATATTTTCTTTAGATAAATATTCAATTTTCTTGCAATAAACTCTCAAAAAAAGTGAGAACTGCTATTAGGAAATTATTCCCTCAGCAGGAGTATGTTTGTTAATTTCGACCCAATTTCAGGTTCATGACTACTAATAACAAGCTTAAGCCCGTCCCGCCCCCGTAAGGGGGCATCCGGGGGCACTCCGAAAGTTCGAAGTGAGCGTAATAGTTCAATTACATGAGCAAACATATTCAAAATTTTCAAATTAGAGTTTTAACAAATAGATGGAATATTAAATATGAAATCCAGAAAACAGTGCTACTTAGAAATAAACTAAGGAAACAAACATTACAAAGAAAATAAACAGTAACAATCAGAAGAGATATTGATGTCGCATCTTCAGTAAGGGTGCAAAGTTAATAAAAGGAAACAATTTCACATGGAAAAAATAGGATGTTTGTAACTCAGAATATAATTATGGCTGGCACAACAGTACTAAAGTTATCAAATTCCAGTAATTATTATTATTATTTTTTTTAAACAGAAAGGACATATATATACCATATATAAAAACTCTAGGAACACAAGTGATTAAAATTTTCAAAATGTTCAACTACTAATGTTCAACTCAATAGCCTTGTAATTTTGAACCCAATCTAGAAGACAAGGGAACTCCTGGATCAAGTATTGAGAGAAATTTGCCTTCGTGGAGGACTTTCTGATGGAACTAACTCGCATTTGCGTTATATGGAGAGGAAAATCTCCAACGGTTAGCCTGACAGCAAGGGAAATCTAACCCATGATCCATCTACCACTGAGGATATTTTATGCCAACTCTTAGGTCGCTGCGAGACGGGTCCAGAATTCATTCTAACCAGGTATGTCTGGGATTCATACCTGGTTCACCTCATTGGAAGGCGAGCACTTTTGAAGATGAAATATGAGAGTTTAAGCTTATCCCAACTCATTTGATATCCTGGAATATGGGCATCAGAAGTATAATAATACTTTTATCTCAAAATTCGAAGCTTTTTGATCACATCGAAAATTTCTGATCACATGAAATATTTCACATATAATTTTTTTTAAGGATATTTAACTACATATTAAAATTTTGTTTAATATCTATTTACTTTAAATTAATAAAGTTATTAAAACAGTTAGTTATAAATATTTTTATTTTTACATTTTTTTAGTTTCCGCCAAGAATTTCCCATTTAGTAACTTGTATATTCATTACACAGTGTTGATGCCCAATGGTAATATTTTCTAATTCTCACCTCTCTATATTTTAAGTTTCTCAAAACGGAATAATAATGAGACTTTTCATTAAAGGTTGGAATTCTGATAGTTCTATGGAAGGTGTGACTGAAACATGTGAATGTAAAACAAAAAGTAAAGTAAGTTTTTGTCCAGAAGTGAGCTTTCTTTTCAACGATCTATAAATGTTTTGTTATTTTATTGAAGCTGAGAGTAAAGCTTTTATGAAAAAGAAAATTTTCTTAATTTTTTTTAACATTTAAATTAATAAACTTACTTTTTTTAAACTGTATTGAATTCTTGTTAAGTTAAAAGTTATACAGATGTACACACAGTGTGCAAACAAACGGACCACTTAGAATAACTTTTGATCTAATGATCGGATCTTCACATTCCAGGACACAATTTTAATGGTTCGAGGTAGTGACCTCGAATTTACTAATTATTTAGAGCGGACGATATTTAACTTACGAAATCATGCACAAAAAATAACTTTCTCTGAATAAATAAACATACCATTTTTGTTGTTGACAAATTCGGATTTTTGATCACCAAAATATAGTGGCCGCAATTTGGGAAATAGGGTTCCCATAGTTTGGTCAGGAGAGTGCTCCAAAGTTTGGACCTCTTAAGTTGCACTTATTAAAGCATTTGAGGTCCCCCCTTCTAACCATTGAGTTTTAGAACGTGAAAATCCGATCATTTGATCAAAAGTTATTCAGGGTGGTCCGTTTTTTTTTGTTTTTTTTTTTCCGCATTGTGCATAATATCATGTTGATGCTTATGTATTTTAACAATGAAAAATATAAAAAAAAATAATAAAACAGTAATTGAAAATTATATAAATGCATTTTTCTTAATTTTTTTCAATGTTTGTTCTTAAGTACTAGAAAAGTTATATTTTTTGTAAGAAAGTATGTTTTAAAACTGAGAAATACATTACAATAACTCTTATTCTTAATGAAAAGCACCATAGAATTTACTTGAAAATAACTTTATTCTTGAACTTGACAGAAAATTGAATTTTACTTTATAGTTAAAATAGAAATTGGCTATATCATTCAAGAATTGTCAAGTAGGAGATCAAATGAATGAATTTTTGCTTCAATTTTCTTGGAAATATTTGTTTTATGTAAAGTTGCGACCCTTGTAATTTAAGAACAGTGTGCAATATAAACAAATGTTTCCAGAGGTAGACTCTAAATATGCTAATCAATTCATGCACACGATATTTTAAATTCCAAAATCAGTCATGAAAATGTTCTGACCCTGAATAAACATTTTTTTTTTTCATTTTACTGATTCAAATTTTTGACTCTCAAAATAGGGAGGCAAGAGATTAGATTTAGGCCAATAGTTTAGGTAAGAAATAGGTCAAAATTTTTGATCCTCTAATGTTAATGTCACTTTTTGCATCTCTGGAACTATTGAAAAAAATCAATAGTTGCATACAGTTATAAAAAGCGTTTATCTAAAGATAACGACTTTGGATAAACGACGACTTTGTAAAAACATAATTAAAGTCTTCCTTACTTTTTATTTATCTACTAAACTAAACTCAGTGGCGCGACAGCCCATAGAGGGCCAAGGCCTACTGTGCCCATCTCAGTCTTCTTGACCTTGGGCTCTGGAGTGCATGAGTAGATGTTCCGGTCAGGTGGTCAGCCGAACGCGGAACCCCCAGTGTTTAGTTCCCAAGCATGCTTGGTACTCATTTATCAACCCACTGAAGGGATGAAAGACTGAGTCAATCTTGCCCGGCCCGAGGATGGAACCAGGGATCTGTGGCATAACAGCGTGAAGCGCTATCGCTCAGCCACCGGCGTCTTTTATTTATCTATTTTACTGAAATTGTCAGAATAGTTTCTGTTTAATCAAAACAGATATTATTTTTAAAATTGTCCTTTGACAGATACCGTTCAAATTTTGGATTTTGTAATTAAAAATTTTTATAATTAATAAAATTTAATAACTTGCTTACCTTGTTATTCTTAAAGTTTTTAATAATGATTAAAAATAATTATAAAAAAAATTCTTATTTTTATAATTATTATAAAATATTTCTTTGTATAAATAATTTATATATCTGTGTGCAAAAAGCTTTTGATTCCCTAAAATAGTTTCAGAAATATGGTGAACTATACAAAAAGTGAAATTATCAATAAGGGGAACAAACTTTTGATTACTCTCCAGCCTAAGCTGTTGGTACTATATTTTCGAAATTGAAGCTTCTCCTGTACTCAGAGCCTGATTAAGGCAGGGGCAAACGGGGTAGTTGCCCTGAGCCCCCACATCAGATCGAATAGAAAGTTTATTTTATGTTTTCTTCTTTAATGAACATTTTTTAAACAAAACATCAGTACAGTGTAAAATTCATCAGTTTTATGTTAGCTTCTTCATTAATCTATCTTATGAACACAAAAAATTTATATTTCATAAATCCATGGCTTTCTAAGACGGAATTCAGCTAAATTTTCGTCGTTACGATAGACAAATTTGGCCACTCAATTTTACATATCGCAAAATGTTTACAAAAATACGACTTCTGATTGAGCCATCGTAATTGCGAAAATTTAGCTGAATTCCGCTCTAATGTCAGCGAGGATCTGAATTTTCCGCAACTAGATGACAAAGTTAACAATCAGTTATCTCATTGTTGACCGTTTTATGCATCGTTAATTCAGTTAATAAAAAGAAAATAATAAATTAGTTAAAATAACATTACTTTACATTCTATAATTATAAATTTAAAAAGCATTTTTCAAATTTTGGCTCCTCAGATGTGCTATCTCCTTTTAATGATGGACATAGAATTGTCAGAGAAATCAATAAAATGTACAGAACAATATTTCGTCTGGCCATTGTAGAGGGGGACTTTATAGTCATTTTAGGTTCTAGTCAATTTTCTTGTAATATATGCCGATAATCAGGCTAAAAATTTAAATATTTCCATAAAGTTCGGTTCTTCATTACTGAAGCAGAGGGAGGTCCCCAAAGAAGTTTTTGCACTGGGCCCCAATTAGACTAAGTCAGACCCTGTCTGTACTATGATAGTTAAAATCTCAAATCATTTAGACAAAAAAAGTGAGTTTATTCTGTGAAAGTAAATTTTTGTGTCAAAATTTGTAACTTAAAATGTTGTTGTCATTTACAAATTCAGTTTATTTAAGTTCAGTTCCTGGAATTGCATCTTAAACAGGGACGATTTAATCATGCCATTTTTAAATTTGTATTATCTTCTTATTTTTATTCTGTAAATATGTAACCTTGCTTATATAATTTTTTAAAATTGTAATAGGAGAATATTGCTTACTTTGGATATTTATTTTCATTGGATTTCACAGCCAGTACTGATGAAAGTAAGTTCAATTATATATACCATTTATTCCTTAAACTATGATGAATTTATACCTTTTTTTACTCTTTAATCAAAACAAAAAGTTTTCCTATTTTTTTCTTCTTTAGAAATTTTTAAGTTGATTTTTGGATATTTAATACCATATAATATTATTGAAGAATTGTGACCTGGGACATCAATGCGCACATTATAATTTAAATAAAGTATATAATATTTGCTTTATTTTAAATCATTATTCTGCCAATAGAGTTATATATGTTTAGCCTCTTAATGAAAATAGCCTCACATCCCACCCCTACAAGAAAGTTGAGTATTCCCAATTTTTGAAATCAAAATTCCCTAGTGTACAACTAGTATTAGGGAATTATAGACTTTCTACTTGATAGTGACCTTCTGAACAAGTTTTCACTTGAATAAACGTTTTAGAATAGGATTTATCAGTATATTTTGCAGACATTAATATGCGACAACACCCCACACACCTACTTGTGTGAGTGGGGAATGTGTAAATGAAAAATTAAGTTCTTGTGTTTAAACAGTGTAAATATTTCTTCTAGCAAAATTTTTAATTTTTTAGCTAATTATCTAATTGCCAGAACGACTGAATGGTAATTTTTTTCAGCTCTGAATATTGCTGCAATAGATGCTTGAATCGTTTCGCTTTCAACTGCTAACCACCGTCCAGACCTATAAGCAGGCAGCTGTTTTTAAAAGATTTAGTAATAAAGCTAATATATAATTGACATGAAAAATAATCAGAAATTAAAACTTTTCCGAGAAGTTCATAAATTGGAAGAGCAGATGTTTCAAATGAATCCGTGACATTTTATTGACTAAGTACATACAAAGGTGTATTTGCAAACCAAGAACAGAAAAACTCGAGGGAAAGGCTTAAAATTTTTAAAAAAAAATTGCATTCTATAATTATGTGAATGTATTTGTTCAAAGAACACGCAGATAAAATGAGAGTTAATATTAGTGAATATTAGTGAAATAATTAAACTTAGTGGTATGTTTTTTTAATAGTGTTTTCAAGTGCACAAATCTTAATTGTTTATAAACTTATTTTTAAAATATTTCTCTTTTCTCTCAAGTTTTATTAATTAATTATAAATGAAAAACAGTTTAAAAACTGAATAACGCTATTTGTATCGAATTTTAAGTATTGGGGTATGAGATACTCTGCCCGCTCGCATAACTTTTCAGGATCCGGGCAAAGAAATGCACGTTTAGTTATTCAAATACATTGTAGTTTACAAGAATCGTCAAAATTATAAAGCTAAAAAAAATAATAATTTAATTTTGAAAACATCTTTGCTAAAACAAAAAGAAAATTGTAGCAATTATTAAGTCACACATTTCATTTTTGTGTTTTTTACTATTACATTGCTAAAAATATATTTATTCAATGCATAGTTCTCGTACCTATTAGCTCTGCATTTATTTTATTTCATCTACACTTTAAAAAAAAAACATTTTGTTTGTTTTTATCAATTATGTCTATATTTTTAATTTATTTTAGGTGATTTGGTAGATAAATCTGTCAAAATAATATTTGAAATAACATCAGTTGACTTTTGGGGAAATTTTCGCAATATAGGATATGGATTTGCTGATCTCTTATTAGTGCCAGGTAAAATTTTACTTCAAAATCTATCTTTATCTTCAAACTATAATGTTTATTCCTTAATTTTACTATGAAAATATTTATAAACTTTTTATTTTTTGTTTAGGAAGTTGCTTGGAATAACATTAATAATGTTATTTAACCTAATATGCAATTTTAAAATTCTAACTTTAGCACATTATTTCTGCAATTAGAAACACAAGCATCTGTGATTTTCACCCTAAAATATTTTGTCATATCTTCTGATGTTTAAATAAAATATTCAAACCTCAGAAATTATATAAAAATTTAGAATTTGTCGTTAATGTTATGGTCATTAATAATATCTGGAGAAAAAGATATAATTTTTGAAATTTTTTAAAGTAATGCTATTATTAAACCCATAAGACTAAGTAGAATGAAATAGGTCAGAATAATCAGCACAAACAGAATTGAGGGTTTCTAATATGACCCCCTCCAACAAAAGACCAAGAGAAAACCCCCAAAAGAGATGAAAAGACTGTGTGAATGAAGATTTAGCCATCCTGAAAGTGTAGAACTGGAGATAAATTTCTGGGAGAAGAGCAGATTAAGAAAAGCTTCTAAGAAAGGCCCACAAAAAGCTGTTCTGCTAATGCTAGTGATGTTTGAAAATCGACATCTACTTTGAACACAGAAAATTTACATAAAAGAAACGATAATAGAAAAAAATATTCTGATACTGAAAAACTATAACAATCTGGTACTATATTAATATATCTGCACTTTCGATTTACTGTAAGAGTCAGTGGTAGCAATAAATGTAAATCAAAATATTATAAAGAGGTCAATTTTTTTTTTTTTTTATCTGTCTGTGTAAACTAAACATATTAGTGATTCTTGCCTGCATTAAGCAAAATTAAAATCCAAAAAATACTATGATTTTAAAAATATGGAATTAAAGAAAAATGCTAAATTTAAAATACATCTTTTGAATATTATATTTCATACAACTAATAAAAGTTACAAATTTTTATATTTAATGCTCCTGTTTTAAATAAATTCTAAAATAAAATAATATAGTAAATTAAGTTATAAGTTAAATTATAGTTAAGTAACCATAAATTAAATCTCCTATTTTAAGTACAATGATAGTGATGAAAATTTCCAATATTCACAGATTATCCTACTCTTTGTATGAGGAAAATAATTACAGGAGATTTGCAGGATCTTCAAAGAAAGCAGATAAAAAATATGTATTCTGTACTTCTTGTTTTTTATTTATTCTTTTTTGTTTGTAAATTAGTGTAGATTTATATCTTTCAGAAACAAAGTATACCTCATAAAGCTAGCTTTACATTTAAAATTATATTGAAATATTGGCTTTTAAAACTATTTTTTTTATAGGAAATAAAATATTAACAAAAAATAAATTTTTTATTTTTAGGAAGTGAAGTAATTAATGTTTATACTTGGAGAATTGAGCCAACTGATTTGAAAAGCAAACTTCAGTACTTCTTCATTGGAGGAATGCCTACATTAACAGATTTATCATATGTGATAAAACCTCAAGATGCAAAAGTAAATAAGTTTCTATTGAATTTCTAACCGCTTTACAGGCATCCAATTGAAATTTGAACACGGCAAAAATATGGCATGCAAAAAGGATATATTCTAATTTTTTAAGGATTTTAATAATTTTGTTTGATTTTCTTAAAAAATATTGATAAAAGATACATTGAGAAACACAACGTTACATAAACCTGAAACTTGTTAGATCGCATGAACATTTAAAAATCGTGACATTAACATTTCCTTTAAAGGTTAAATACATTGCACATAAAAATAATAACATTAGCAGTTTCTCATCTTATTTCAACATAGCTTTAAAAAAACATGATTTTTTCTCTACTTCTAATTTATTGACTAAGCTAATGTAATCATTAGAAATTTAACTTTACTTTTTCTAAAACTACAAAAATAGAAATAAAATTTTTGAAAATTCTCTTTATTAAAAAAAAAAAACACTGGTATCACTATAAAATGGTAGAAAAGTCTAAATTTTTTTAGATAAATTTTGTGTTGACATAAGGAGGTATATGAATTAAATGTTTAAAACATTAACTTTATAAAATATTTTGAAGCATTTGCATTTACAGAAAAATATACAAAAAAATTTTTAATACATAAGTAACAACTATAATTATAATCTATTTATGATCTATCTAGGATGCTCAATTGTCTAAATATGGTTTCCGAACTTTAACAAGTGGATCGGTGGAATTGAAATACTCTATCATACGCCAAAGTAAGCCAAATTTGTTTTGAAACAAAAAACTGCATACATTCTTTAAAAAATAATAATAATCTTTTTTCTTTCTTCCAGATTGCAAAACTGTAATTACTTAGGAGCAATGCTGTCTTAAAAACTGCAAGAAATATAAAGCCTTTCAGTTGTGAATGAAAATGAACAAAATGTACATACAATATAACTTAAAAAGAATGACAAAGAAAATAAATTTTAAGTCATTTTTATTTCGTACTGTCACTTCTACTAGTATTTTATTCTTTATTATTTAAAACCTTATATGTATTAATCAAAATATGATATATGTTTCACATGATGATGTTCATGATATTCTATTCTTCAACTATACTAAAAGATTAATGTCTAGTTTAAAATCAATCGTGCCAAAGTGTACCATTATTTAATAAGCATGACCCTCAATAGTCAACAATTGGCCTGAAAGCAATAAAATCAGAGTATACTAGAATCATTAGTTTACTTATGTGGAATGATAATTTATGAAATACAATGGGCAGCAAGAAAAAGAAAACTGATGACGAGCTATAAGTTTATTAAGATGTTTTGCGATATCTAACTTATTAAAAGTAGAAAAAAATAGCCTATTTTTTCTTTTATCAAATAGTAAAAAATTAATTGATACTATTTTTTTTTTTGTTTGAATAAAAAAAAACTTTTTTTAAGTAGAATTTGTCTAATGCATTTTATAACTTTTCTAAATTGATTTGTTTTAATATAAATGCATGCCATATTTATTGTAATGAATTAACATGGCACCTATTAATTCATTACAATTATTGTAACCTATTAATTGTAATGAAAAAATGGAATTTGATGCTTCAGTTTTCATTCCTCAACATCTGAAATAATCCAAATTTATTATTCATAATGAGCTTTCATATATGCACTTTATTAATAGTTTTAGATTTTTCATTTACTTAAGTATCAAATTGATATGGTCTTAAACTTGAATTAACAAATATCAATAAAATTTTGTCCTTATTTTATTAAATGTATGCCTACAGTTATGTCTAAAAATTACTAAAAACACCCATTTCAGCAATGTGCTCACTCGCAAGTGATACGATTAGTGCGAGATCAAACTCGTTGTGTGGGCACCCACAGAAATGATTCCCAAATTAAAAAGGCTAAATATTTCAACAGATCATTTGCAGTTGTTAGTTGACACATTAAAATTTTTTGTAANAGTTAAAAATAAAATATATTCTTCTAGTTCCAAGTTTGAACTCAAAAAATTATGTAAATAAATTAAAAATAACTAATTATTCATAATATTATTCACCTAAAATTATAAATTTATTATTTAATAGGTTTGTTATTTTGTGAAACTTTAGTTGAGGTTTTTAAATTCCCTCCAAATTAACTGATACAGCGCAATTGAGCGATCAGCGGGGTGGAGTGGCAGAGCGCGCCGCGGTGCAATGTTTCGCGAAAAAAGCTATAACTTTTTATGGAATTAAGATCCTTTTTTTTTTTTTTTTTTTTTNTTTTTATGGAATTGTGATCCATTTTTTTTGAAAAGCCATTTTGTTCAGAATAAAATTTACTTTAAAATTAGTTTTGTTTGAACTTTGTACGACATTAACAACATTTTTGTTTTTCATTTTACAACTTACTTTTGCAATAAAAATTAAATTTTTTAAACATTTGTTTTATTATAATTATTTTATCAAAAACTTCAAATATTTCTGTGTAAAATGAGATACATTTTTTTTAAATCTATTTATTCTATCCTTAGATATTTATTTTTTAATTAAAAAGAGCTTTAAAATTTAATTGTTAATATCTTGCAAAATAAATTAAATAAAAAAAAATCGTTTTGGGCTATTGTTTTGTATAATATATACTTTTAAAAAAACAACAAAAAATTTAAAAATTATGATATCAAATTTTGGGTGCAACCGCTATTAAAATTTTGACTCTTATAAAAAAGAGAAAATCGAACGATCTAAACGATGTTTCAGGCACGAATACTTATTTCTCTTCACTTTAGAGCTAACACAACAGACCGAAGAAAGAGGTCTCATTTTCTCTCGCCGAAACCAATTTTAAAGAGGGACCCGCACCCCTACTTGAAATAATCATAACTCGTTACCATAGTCACCGCCACACCTCCAGACAAATGCCTGTCAGAGTACCTATCGTAGACAAACAGTACATTCCACATAAAAATAATAACATTAACAGTTTCTCATCTTATTTCAACAAAGCTTTAAAAACAATATGATCATTAGAAATTTAACTTTACTTTTTCAAATAACTATAGAATTTCCGAAAATTCTCTTTATTGAAATTTTAAAAAGAACACTGGTATCTCTATAAAAAGGTATAAAAGTTTACATTTTTTTAGATAAATTTTGTGTTGGCTTAAGAAAGTATATGAATTAAACATTAAACTTCACAAAATATTTTAAAACCTTTGCATTAACAGAAAGATATGTAAAAAAATTTTTTTAAATACATAACAACTATAATCTATTTACATTTCTAGGATGCTCAATTATCTAAATATGGTTTCCGAACTATAACAAGTGGATCGGTGGAATTGAAATACTCTATCATACGACAAAGTGAGCCAAATTTGTTTTGAAACAAAAAACTGCATGAATTCTTTAAAAAATAATAATAATCTTTTTTTTTCTTTCCAGATTGCAAAACTGTAATTACTTAGGAGCAATGCTGTCTTAAAAGCTGCAAGAAATATAAAGCCTTTCAGTTGTGAATGAACAAAATGTACATACAATATATTTTAACTTAAAAAGAATGCCAATGAAAATAAATTTTAACGATCACTTTTATTTTGTCACTTCTTGTAATTTGTTCATTTTATTCTTTATTATTCAAAACCTTATATTAATCAAAATATAAATGCTTCATGTGATGATGTTCATGATATTCTTTACTAAGAGATTAATGACTAATTTAAAATCAATCGTGTCAAAGTGTACCATTATTTATAAAGCATAACCCTCAATAGTCAACAATTGGCCTGAAAGCAATAAAATCAGAGTCTACTAGAATCATTAGTTTACTTATGTGGAATGATAATTTATGAAATACAATAGGCATCAAGAAAGAAAAATTAACTGCTGACGAGCTATAAGTATATCAAGATATGCTGTGATATCTTATTTATTAAAAGTAGAAAAAAATAGCCTATTTTCTTTTGTATCTATTTTATTGAATACTAAAAAAATAAATTGATAAAAAAAATTTTTTTTGTTTGAATAAAAAAACCTTTTTTTAATAGAATTTGTCTAATGCATTTTATATTTTCTTTTAAATAGCTTCCTTTGTTTTAATAAAAAGGCATATAAATTGTAATGAAAAAATGAATTTGATGCTTCAGTTTTCATTCCTCAACATCTGAAATAATCCAAATTTATTATTCATGTGTTTTCATAAGTGCACTTTATTAATAGTTTTAGATTTTTCAATTACTTAAGTATCAAATTGATATGGTCTTAAATTTGAATTAACATAGATCAATAAAATTTTCTCCTTATTTTATTGAATGTATGTATACAGTCATGTCCAAAAATTACTAAAACACCCATTTCAGCAATGTGCTTACTCGCAAGTCATACGATTAGTTAGAGCTCAAACTCATTGTTTTGTGTGGGCACCCACAGAAATTATTCCCAAATTAAAAAGGCTAAATATTTTAACTGATGATTTGCAGTTGTTAGTTAAAACATTAAAATGTTTTGTAAATTCCTTTTCAAGAAAGCTAAGCATTTACAAAATACCCTTTGAAGGTTTATGAACCTTGTTAGTACTACAAGCTTAAATAAATTAGCAAAATTTATCCAGTTGATTTTTTTAAAAAATAAAAACAATTTTAATACAATATTTGTTCTGGTAAAAATTACAAATTTATTATCATAAATAAATTATATCACTGGGTAGTTCTAATTCTGGATAATGCATCTGACTATAAAGGTACCTAATGCACAATAAACACTACAAAATTAATAGTAAATGTCTTTATTTTCTTAAATTTTTTAATAGTTTGCCAGGTTTTCCTTTAAAAAGGAAATTACAAAATGGATTAACACAAGATGAAGTAGTTATCACATTAGTGCAGAAGATCTTATATCTGAAGTAAATTGATGAATATGAAAATGCAACATAGGTTATTGATGTTAAACAGCTAGACATTTAGCGAAGCGACAGTCCATAGCAAATACTTAAACATAATTTAATCCAAACAATTTCTATTTCCCTCTAGTAGATGTCAAACCTGCTCGGACAATTTCATCAACTAGTAGCAAGTTGCCAGCAATGGAAGAACTAAAAAAATGAATATGTGATTGGTTACATATACAAACTAAAGCAAATACAGAAATCAAAATATACTTATTATAAGCAACTTCTACAACTTATACTTGGAACACTACGTGCAAAGTATAAGACAAAATTTTACTTGTCTAATTCAATTCTATCAAAATCAGATAGGATTAACCTTTTCTGTTATTATCAGATTTTTCATTGATTGTTAAGCAATGGACTTATTTGAAGAGAAATTTTCAGAAGAGTATACTCTTGTAAGTTATTAGCTACAACAATCTAAAACTCAAATTTATAATAGAGCAGTATTTTGCTGTGTCTAATAAAGGATTGCTGCCAAGTGTTTAATGTTGAACAAGAATTTTTAAAAATGCTGGATATAAATTTGATTCTGCAACAATAATGAAGTATACAAGCAACCCTACATCAGACAGGATCTTATTTTCATTAAATTCTTTTTAATTCTTAATGACCCAAATTTCAAATTGTCATTAATGTTTTAAATTCCGCTTAAATATTTGTAGCATGGCAGAGCAAATGTAAAGACAAAGGGACTAAAAGTAATAGATAAAAAAATTCTAATTTACACAATGTGCAATTTTTATTTATTTTAATCGGTGACGTTATGGACAAGCCTTAATTTCCCCCCTTTTAATAATGTAACACAGGGTATGTCATACAATACAAGAATAGATACTGTAATATTCATAAATATATAGCTTTTAGGTTAGATTAGTACAGTATTAAAAAAAAATGGGGTTACTTTTCCCAGTAATGAAAAAGAAGTATATATTATAGTGTTCGCATTATATTAATGTTTCAACTTTTCAAACAGGATTTTGAATGTTGAGATAAATATATAAAATCCTTAAATAAATTTAAAAGTAAATTTTATTCTATATTTACAATGACTGAATTAAGAAAACATTAAAAATTCATTATTACCAGGAGCTCAACAGTTGCTTCTTTACACGGTAATTATCAAGAATGCCTGCTTCTTCTGGTGCTAAGGGTTCACCTGTAAAATAAATCTCAATTGAAACAGAGCAACAATTAAATTGATAAAAAAAGTATTTATCCTATGAGTCAAAAAATAAAATTTTGATTTTTAATATGGAGTATGCAACAAAATTTTGCTTAATAAAAATGATAGCACAAAATTATTAACACTAGAAAGACCAACTTTTTATACATACCTATATTGCCCAAAAACAGTCAAAATGACTGGATTGTGAAATAATAACTGATGTGGTGAAATAATAACTGATGTGTAAAGAAATTGTTTAAAATTAATTTTTAATATTTTTTATATTATTTACAGTGATATAACAAGTTCATAGTAAATATTAACAAAAAAAATTATATGTTGTACAAAAAGTCACAAAATTCTAAGAAATTGTGTCATTATATACATCATTGTTTTTCTAATTGAAATTAAAATGCAGTCAAAACGATTTCCTAGGGTAATCTAGTGTCAAGGCAGATTCTCGGAAAAACCAACCAGAAATAGAAACATGATTTTTTGACAGCCTCGTCACAAATCAAACGNAGTAAATTTTATTCTATATTTACAATGACTGAATTAAGAAAACATTAAAAATTCATTATTACCAGGAGCTCAACAGTTGCTTCTTTACACGGTAATTATCAAGAATGCCTGCTTCTTCTGGTGCTAAGGGTTCACCTGTAAAATAAATCTCAATTGAAACAGAGCAACAATTAAATTGATAAAAAAAGTATTTATCCTATGAGTCAAAAAATAAAATTTTGATTTTTAATATGGAGTATGCAACAAAATTTTGCTTAATAAAAATGATAGCACAAAATTATTAACACTAGAAAGACCAACTTTTTATACATACCTATATTGCCCAAAAACAGTCAAAATGACTGGATTGTGAAATAATAACTGATGTGTAAAGAAATTGTTTAAAATTAATTTTTTATATTATTTACAGTGATATAACAAGTTCATAGTAAATATTAACAAAAAAAATTATATGTTGTACAAAAAGTCACAAAATTCTAAGAAATTATGTCATTATATACATCTTTGTTTTTCTAATTGAAATTAAAATGAAGTCAAAATGATTTCCTAGGGTAATCTAGTGTTAAGGCAGATTCTCGGAAAAACCAACCAGAAAAAGAAACATGATTTTATGACAGCCTCGTCACAAATCAAATGCGTCTAAACTCATATGTAAAATGTGATTTTGTAATAGCACGTTAAAAACATTGGAACCAACGCCGTGAAGTTACGATAGAATTATCATGAACAAACATATCAAAGAGGTCACATCAATAGTTGCATTGAAATTTTTTTCTTCAGAACACGACAAAAATATTAAAAATATTCATAAATAAGACATTTTATGAGGCAATATAACTTTTAATAATAATAAACCATTCAAGTTAAAGATTATTTAATTATTAGTGCCAATATGTCCATTAATTTGTTTTTCAGCTAAAATTATTCGGAGCATCTTCAAAAGAAATTACATCATTCTTAATGAAACTATAAAAAAGTTTTTTCTACTTCAGAACCAGGTTTTATTATGAAAACCTGCTAAAATTATACAACTTCACTGATTTCTAAATTTACTCACAATACAATAAATAAATCTAACTATTCAAATTATGTAAAAAATTGTATTAATATATTTTTTTAGGCTAAAAATGCTGTACCTGTATCAATATCCAGGCCAATCAAAATTCCGCCAGCAGAATTGTATTCCTGTATTAGCTTCACCATGACTTCTTGAGGATCATATCCGGCATTCCCAGCTAGCGTTTTAGGAATAACCAATAGGGCATCGGCAAATGCTTGAATTCCAAGCTGCAAACGACCTTTCACTTCAGATTTGTATTTCATTAGTTCACAGTAGGCAGCTATCTCAAAAGCTCCAGCACCAGCAACAAGACATCCTAAGTACAGGACACAGAATGATTACAAAACACATTATTTCGGTCTAAAACAGCTGTATTTTGTATGCTCATATAATTCTAGTGACAGAAGTCTCCAACAGGAACTGTAGATTACTACAGCATATGCAACTTACCGTAAAAATGCATTTCACCCATACTTAAGCTTTACAGTATAGATGGAGTTTTAATAGGTGCAAAATATACCAAATGAAACACTATCAGAAACTGGACGGTATCTACGCGAATCAAGCATGGAGATCAGGTAAAAATAGGAAAATTAGTGAATTAATGGACAGGAGAATGAAAATATATGAGGGCTGCCAGGCATGTATATAGCAACATACAGTGGTATTTATTAACATATATTTAGGTGTATAACCTCATTTTGATTATGAGAGAGCGAATTTCTAGTATGTTAGGTGTACAAGTCAATCAGTAAAAAAAACATTAACAACTTTGGATATAATACATTTGCCATCAAATAGCAGTGCATTAATAAATTTCGCGAGGCAACCAGTTAATCAGGTTGTATTTGCAGATTAAGGAATGTTTTATAAGTTTTCCCCATTATGTTTTTATAATCCTCTTGAATATATTATATTAACTCTTTTTACTCTTAATTTTCTTAAACATAATTTTAAAAAATAAATAAATAAACCTTATTATTTGAGAAAAAAAGAAATCCTCAATATGAAGGGAAATACAAAAGTACACAAGGAAATTTATCTGAACACTAGAAAATACTCACTATCTTACAACAATTATATTAAAATAGTTATGAATTATTATTTACAAAATGAATTGAAAAATGAATTTCTTATCAAAGAACAAAAAACATATTTTTGGGTTCGTGGGAGTGTTATTCACACCTCTGTAGGTGTCAGGTACAAAATGGTTGACTAAACAAAATGATCTTATTAGATTATGAAAAAACTTGTTTACCATCTTCAATGGCATTTTTAACAGCTCTTAAACCATCATAAATAGCATCTTTGATCTGTGCTCGAGAATGTGAATTAGGACCTTTAATGAGGATGGTAACAGACAAAGGATTTTTAAGTTCTTCAACAAAAGTGAATTTATCTTCTCCAAGAACATGTTCAAAAACAAGACCAGCTTCTCCAAGGCACTCAGGAGTTAATTCATCAACAGAATTCATTGCTTCACCTCCACAAGCAAGAGTTAATCTGTAGAGAGAAAAAAAAAAGAGTCATCTTGTTACTTTATAAAGCAAGAAAGCATAATTCCATGATAAATATTTGAAAGAGTGAATAATACTGAATTAATTTTTTTAAAAATGCCTTTTTTGCTGGAATCCTGATCAATGAATTAAATTCAATAACAACAAACAAGATGAAATTTAAAAATAAGTTTCAGTTTAATACATTATTAAATCAAGCAAACTGAAAGACTATCTTGTCATTATGCAGGATTTCCACTTAATTACAGAAAGAAAAAAAATTCTCTGACTTTTCCAGATATTTTAGGAACATTTCAATGTAATTCCACACTATATTTTATCTATACCCTGCCATTTTCCCTTCAAAAACTCTTATTTCTTTATTTCTAATGTCAAATATTGGAATGTGAGCATAAGAATATCATTGATTGAGGATGGAAATGTGGAAAAGTTCCAGTAAAAAGTGGAATTTTTATAATAAATGATTGTAAAAAGACACTAGAATTATTTAAAATGAATCTCAAGAACTGATTTCTGTTAATCACAATTTTAAGACTGGTTATTTTTCCATGTATGATAAAGGAATTTTCCAGGTTTACTTGACTATTCCGGTTTTTCATGTTCTCCCTTTACCATAAAAACAGATTTATATACATTAAATTCAAAAATCATAAAATAGAATTAATACAACCGAAAGAAAATTGAAGGCTTCTTTTAGCAAGGTAATATTTTTTAAAAATTTTTTGTAATTAAATATTTACTGTGAAACTCAATATCTAGAAGAAATATATGAATCTTAATAATTACCTTTCCATATTCCTTCGCTTTGCTCTTCTCAAAGCTACAATTCCTTCTTTACATAGCATATCTAATGACATGGGATCAATACCCTAAAACATTTTTTGGAAGAAACAAAAACATTTTAACTGATTGAACTAGAAACAGTTAAGGAAATAAAAAGTTGAAAGCAATTAAAAACTAATAAAAAAGTTGAATAACATTTAAAGCGAAATTTGCTGCGAATCAATGACAACTAAAATATATTTAGCAGTCTTTTTTTTTTATAAAAGTTCGAGAGTATTAGTCAGTTTCAATTTATGATACATTATTTACGCTTTGCAATTGCACTGATAAACAGAATCATTGAATAAATAACTTCAGTGTCAGCAAATGTTTAATAACCTCCACTTCAAATTCAGTATATCTGTTTTATGAAACACTGAAAAGTGTTAATATTTTTTAAAACTGATTTCACAGTTGAATATTGTTAGAAGACATTAATAAATTCAAAGTAATACACACAAGATTAAAAATTAAATGTTGAAAGTAGAAAAAATAGCAAATAGATGTTTTTCTTAATCCCAAATTTAAAAACAAAACATCTAGATAAAAAGTAAAATTGTTCTTTCATTTTCTATAGAAATATCCAAAGCTCATAGATTACAAGCAGATAAATATGAAAAATTTAAGTTATAAAATACAGATTTTAATGAATAATTTAACATTCGCAGATCTACTAACATAAGAAATTCAAGAAGCCTAAAACTTTTTGCAATCACAGCATAGTGTAGTAAGGTAAACAAAAAAGTAAATTCAAACATTTTTTAATTAAATTTATATAAATAACTTTTACACTTCTAAAAATTAAACATAAATTTATCATTTTGTTAAAAACAGATTGAGAAAAGATATTTTAAGCTTTTTAACAAACATTATACCAAAAAATATTCCACAAAAAATATTTTTAAGTTTAACATTTCTAAGTATCAAAGAAAATTCTAAAGAGGAATTAATGATTAACTCAATACACTTGAACTACAAAATTGCTGATCCGACAGAAAGTTTTTAAGACTATAAAAATTATGCACAGGTTTTCCACTTTTTTACAGAAAATAAAAAAAAAAGAGAATCCTTTTCTTGGGAAATGGAATTTTAAATATCTGACTTTTNAATTTTTAAATTGCGTGAATGGGAATTGATTTTCAACAAAAGAAAAAAATTTTCAACAAAATATCATTTACTGCATAAAAAATTTTTCCGCGCGGAAATTTATGAAAAAAGAGCGGAAGATATGGAAAAATCTGAAAAAAGCGGAAATCAGCGGATCCGCGGAAGAATCACATCCCTGTTTTTGTAATCTAATTTTTTAGGAACTATTCAACAGACTTTTCTCAAACATTTTATTTTGCCATATAAATCTATATTCTTTAAAATAATGCAAGCATACCTTACATCTCATTTTTTTCCCGACCATTACTAAATTAAATAATTAATTTTAAATGAAATTTAATTTTTGCAAGGAATTATCTTTGGTTAAAAATTTTTTTTAATTGTGTGGAAAATAACTTTCAATTCGCTTACGAAGTTCTAGAGATATAGGGAAATACGTAAAATTACTAGTACAAAGTAAAATTTTGGAACACTCTCCTGACCAAACTATTAGGAATATATTTCCCAGATTGCGCCTGACCCATATATTATGGGAGTCAGAAATCCAAATCCGTTGAAAAGAAGGTATGTTAATACTGAGAAAGTTCGCTTTTTTTTGGTCTGATTTTGTAACTTAAAATAATATTGCCTGCATTTATTAATTAGCATACTTGAGATCCCCCTTTGGTGCCATTAAGATTGAGTCCTAGAACATGATCCCATCATTAGATCATAATATATTCAGGTTAGTCCACTTTTTTCTTGGGGGGGAGGGAGAGGAGTACACTGAACAGGGATAACATATGGAACATTCAACTAGTTGAAGTACGAATATAAATTTAGCAAATAAATATTAAAAAATCACCTTTTGATTAATAACAACGAATCCTTTCTTAGTGTCCTTGCACACTTTGTTCTTAAGCTCAATTATTTTATTCACTCTTTCTGTAATGAATGCTCTCTCAGCAGATATAAGCTTTTCCCTCTCTTCTGCAGATTTGTAAAAGAAACCAGCATTCACTTCACTGAAATTGAGAAAATAAGGATGATTTACAAGCAATTTTTAAATCATTGTAAACAAATTTTAACTTAATAAACAACAACCTTGATCAATATTGTTGGTCAAGAATAACCCATTTGCAACACAATTGAGCAGAGATTTGTTGGATTGGTAGAACCACTGCTCATAGGCAGAAAGTACATTAATTTTCAGTTTGACTATACAATAAGGCATACGTAGTATTGCCTCACCGAACAAGTTGGAAGGCATGACTAATGTTTTCAACTGATAAAATTAAAAAAAAAAAAAAAAAACGATTTTACTGTTGATTTTATCTAGCCAACCTTAATATATTCATGCCTAATCAGACTGCTTTTGTCCATAGAAATAATAAACATGTTGATAAAGAAGCAGTAGACTGATTTTATTCTTATTTTATGAGTGATGTTTACCAAAACAATAAAAACTTTGCTACAAAATTGTACTCAAATAAAAAAAATCATTTAAGAGTGTATAAAAACCACAATATTTGCTAGAGGAAACTGAGCACTCGTAAAAATTGGGTTTGCGAAAAAATCGTTAAGTTTACAGATATTTACTAAATTAAAAATTCATTTACTTTTGTTTTATTTTTAGTATAAAAGATAGTTAATTTCTTTTGAACTGTCTTATTGTCTATTTGTTGCGTTATTGTTCTTCGGATAAGAATTATAGCCCAAAAAACAATAGCAACATCAAAAAGAATGTCAGTTCGAAAAACTCAATAAAGAAAATGGGCGATCCTAAAAACATCAAAAAGGAATTTTTCCGATAACTGATCAATTGAACTGGAGAGGTGAAATTAGTAGAAATTTTATGAATCATAATAATAATGCTCATTAAAAGTCAATTAAGTTCTCTTGGGGAAAAAAAATTATTAAGCGGCGGACATCTTATAAAGTATTCAATAAAACAATACTAAGCTTTGATACAACAAGAAGTGACACAGCATACATGTAAACACTGCCCATCTATTTGGATACAATTATAATGGATTTAAAACAAGGCTCGTTATAACAGAGTTTGTAGTTTAAAAGAATGTTTCAATGTTTTTAAAATATTAATGCATATTTAATTTTACTTTTTTTTATCCTTCTAGTGGCTACAAACTTTAAAAATTAGATTTTTAGAGGCAATTGTCCCTGCTTTTAAAACCAGTTTTCTAAAGCATGGGTGCAAGTTGGAAAAAAGGCCAAGACTGAAAATTTTTTGACTGAAATACCTAACATACACAATACCCCCTCGACATATGCAAACTATCTAAGAAAGCTTTACCATAATACATCAAGTTTAAATACTGCACAAAAAAAATTTATTCATCTGTCTTTGGATAAAATAACAACAGGACATAAGAAAGTAGACCAAAAAAATATTTTTAAGGACAGAAGAAAAAAAAATTCCGTCTTCGAGTCAGTCTGGTTTCCGTCTTACTCCCGTCCGCGGACATTTTCGAAAGACGGAAATCCGTCCTGGGGACGGAAGACTTGCACCCATGCTCTAAAGTCATCAGATAAGAAAACTATGGGGGAAAATATGACTAATTTAAAAACTTGCCTTTTCTCATATTCCAATGATACATTACAAGTAAGAATGTAAGCATCTTCAACTTTTTTCTTCATGTCTGGGTGACGAGCTCCATGATCAAGAACTAAACCACGGACAAGTGTAGTATCTAGCTCATTTTTATGCTTCATTTCCATTATTTCAACCATATGTAAATCAATTGGAACACCGGGTCTCTGAATAGCTAAAACAGCATCAACGCATATCTGAAAAAAATAAAAAAGGATTTAATATTGATAATGTTAGTTATTTTCAAAGGAAAAAGTCAATTAATATGAAATATTAGACTGTTTATAATTTTTGTGAAGTAATAATAAACATTTTTAAGGCTAGTATAAATTCTACTAAGCAATAAAAAAAAGAGTAATTTATTAATGATTATCATCGTATTTTTCCAAACAGAGTCACTGAAAAAATAGATTTTTAAACAATATATTGTTAACAAAAGGTCTTATTACAATGTTGCAAAGACTACGTGCTGGTCTTGAATATTAACACATAACACGAAAATGTGCCTATTTTCAAATAATATTTTAGGGAAAAAATTTGAAGAATTGGATATTACAAAGTGCAATTAAAGAATCACTGAAAAGACCATGAACTGTCTTCCTAAACAAAACTATATATATTATACACACATATATGCAAATATACATTATTAATAGACTGGTATTCACATGAAAAATTTTTTGTAGGAGGAAATTTCATGCTAATAAGCAGTTTGTAAAAATATAATAAAATTTACTTTCATTAAATTTTGTTTACTTACTTCAGTTAAACAGTCAGCTAACTTAGCAGTAACTTTAGTTTTCAAAGAAGTGTTAGAAACATTGATTAGTTTTTCCCTATCTATTTCCCCTCTGATCTTTGTTTTCTCCAGAACTTCTAGAGAGCGATCTCTTGCCAAATCAAAAGCTTCAGTAAGAATTCTGGGATGGAGACCCTAAAAGGAAATAAAAAATACACATAAAATTTGATAAACCTGCAATTTCTGTAGGAAAATGGAAATGGCCAAAAATTGAGATTAAATATTTTATTAAAAAACTAAATAAAATTGAATTTTTCACTGATTGTTGATTCTAGAAATCAATTTTGCTTTAAAGAAATAAAATAAATACACCAAATATAAACTTATTCACACTCACAATATGCTTCATAAATTTCTTATTAAATCTTCTACATAAAACATTTACAAGAGTAATCAGGAATTTTTTTCATAATAATTTTTGTGTTCGCATTTAAAACATTTTTATGGCTGTTACTTAAAAAGTCGACCTTACTATTGTGAAATTATTTAAAATAAGGTTTTATTATATAGTTTAGTAATATAATTATTAATGCGAATTTGTAAATGCCTTACGTCCTTCTCAAGAAACAAAAGTAACTATTTTATAAATTCACCATTCTATAAAACTATCAAAATTTATCACGTTTTTCTCATATAAATATAAAAGGTAGACCTTTGTTATTCAGCAACAAAAAAAATTTAAATTTAAAAGAAAAAATCTCATAAGTAAAAGCAAATTGATGTGCAACACAACACCACAATACACAAAACAAGTATCCATGGAATTACGTCAGGAAAATGAATTTACTAATATCTAAAAATTAAGAGTATAAGTTAAGACTATATGCATACTAAATTGCTTAAACTATTTTACTTGAATATATTTTTGATTACCTCTGAAATAAAATTGTCAGCTTGCTTTAACAATTCTCCAATCAATAAAACTGTAGATGTAGTGCCATCACCTGTTTCATCATTTTGAGCTGTTGAAGCTCGTGCAATCAGAGATGCAGTTGGATGTTTAATTTGCTATAAGAAAAACAAAATATATTTAATGATAAAATTTCAATGAACATTACAAACCTGTCAACCTCAGAAATTCAAAAAGTCCGAGACTGTCTAACCATGGTATAGCAATAATAAATAAATGATATGCAAAACAATAATAAATGTTATAAAAATAAGAAATCAAATTAAATGTAGTTTAAAAAAAACTTCATACACAAAAATTACAAATTAAGAAATAACTAATAGATTGGACATTTTTAAAAAATACAAAAAAATAATTTTTCTGGTCAAAAAATTATCCGAAGTCTAAATTTGTTTTAAGAAAGAATAATGCAATTAAGCCTGAAATATTATGATGCGGTTGAATATTCTCTTACAGGTAACATCACTGTGAAGAATGGTTCACAGAGCCAGCTTTAACTTGGCCAATACACAGTAGAGATTACTACTGACTTAAAGCCATTTTGCACTCGTCAAAAAATATAAATCTTCTAATCTCAAAGATTTTCACACTGCAAAGTGCAAAACTAAGTTTCAGGAATATCAAGAGACAAGCTTTGTCATCTTTTTTTGAAGCCCTTAATCAACACAGAAAAACTTAAAAACGCTGGTATTTAAAAAAACAAATGGAAATAGAATGCAAATTTATCATTTTAGCATGAATTAAAATATCAAACATATAATTAAGATATCAAACAGAAAAGAAAACATATGTATACTCTTCATTAAAAACAGTGTTTTACTTTTTTTTCTTTTGGTTTATCAGACATTTTAAAATATTAATTTGCTGATTCATAAACTGGTAACCTGAGATTGGACACTAAAGCCTGAGTTGGAAGGTCTGACATAAGTATAAATATTTCAATTAAACAGAAATAGAGAATTTCATAAACTTCTGCAAAGCATAAATAAATTGGTTAAATTCTGAAGAAAATTAAAACTAACTAAATTAAGTTTTTTTATTTATGTATAGGAATTTAAAGACGCCCGGTGGCTGAGCGGTAGCGCTTCGTGCTGTCGTGCCACAGGTCCCTGGTTCGATCCGGGGGCCGGGCAAGGCTGACTCAGCCTTTCAGTGGGTCGATGAATGAGTACCAAGCATGCTTGGGAACTAAACACTGGGGGTTCCGCGTTCGGCTGACCACCTGACCGGAACATATGCTCCTGCACACCAGAGCCCAAGGTCAAGAAAACTGAGATGGGCACAGTAGGCCTTGGCCCTCTATGGGCTGTCGCGCCACTGAGTTTAGTTTAGTTTATAGGAATTTAAAGAAATATGATCCATATTACTTCCTAAAAATTAATCAGTTTAATTGTTTTTCATTAAAGTTTTTTCAGATACAAGTTATGGAAAATTACAGATGTGAAACTGTTAGTGTATTTTTAAAAAGTAATTATCCATAGCTGTTAGCATGGATAGGATAAAAGACTTTGTGAAATATAAATTTCATGATAGTTGTTGTGTAATATACTAAATATTTAACATATTAAAATTTGTATTGTCATCAAAATACAAAAACTTTATTACACTTCTTATAACTATAACCAGGGGTCTGTCCAGACATTTTGTGAAAGGTCCGTTTTTCGTGAAATTGTGAAAAAAATACTCACATTCTTTCAACCAGGGTCCGCTTTTATGAATTTGTGCAAATAGGGTCCGTTATTGCAAAATTGTAATTGTTTTAAATTGTAAAGATATACAGGATTATGCTCAACACTGTAAAACTATAATTAAAAAAATTAAATTTTCAAAAATAAACAACAATTGCTGCTTCTAAATTAGAAATGCAACATACAAATAATTGGCATTTAGCCTATACTGCTGAAAGCAGAATATTAATTTCGGACGGATAATGGAAGAATCGTCTGCTGAAGACAAAACTTAAATTGTTACATCCATCTTTCTTGTTTTCTGCCCTAGAAAGGGTTTATTCGAATAACAAAATAATAATGAAGATAAACATATTTGTGAAGGGTTCGATTAAAAGAAAAATCATTTTGTGAAGAGTCCGGTTTTAAGTTAAAATATTTTGTGAAGAGTCCGTTTTTAAGTTAAAATATTTTGTGAAGGGTCCGTTTTTATGAAAAGATATTTTGTGAAGGGTCCGTTAACGGACCCAAATTTCTTCTAAACAGACCCCTGATAACTCTGCAATATTTCCAATTTTTGATTGACATTTAATGAACTGGAAATATTTTTATTATGTTAAGTTGATTCATAATTATGAATAGTAATGGACAAGAAACTTATTATTGATAGCTAAAGATTTTTTAATTAATTTAAAAAGGAAATTTTGAATAAAAATAAACTGAAAATTTCAGAAGAAAAAAGAGCCTTTAACTACTTACTATAATTGAGGTTCGCTTCATTACATATTAGTAATATTTATTTAAATATTCGAGCAAGCAATGAATTGTGTAAGAATTCTACTTTAATCCGGATTTTTCTGAGGAAACTTATTTAATTTTAGGGAATTTTTCAAAATGTACAAAAACCAGGAGAACTTTCATTACACCAGTAGAGCTGGCAGTTATGATTATCAATGCTTTCAGTCGTCAAAAAAATTTGTAATTACTAAGGTTTGAATGTTGATTCTTTTTTTATTTATTTATTTTTTTTTAAACATTTTTGGTGGCCTTTTCCTTTATAAAATGAGATTCTTTTCTTTATAAAGCAATATTATGTTTTCTCTTTTTCTAATAATGCTTATGAGTTTTGGGTGATATATTTTTAATTTTAAAATCATTCTAAATACTAATTTTTTTAATTTTAATACTGTCAATTTTGCATTGACTTTGTTTTTTAAGACTTCAAATTAAAACGTAAAAAGTTATAACTAACTTTCAACAATACTTGGGACAATAGGTACATAGAAAAAGTTTAGTACATTAAGTACAAGGCCTAATCACACAGTCGGGAAAGTGGTTTGATTTACTACAGCAATATTTTTCACAAAGTAGAGAATGAATATTTTTGAAGTAGATTAAAATTGCTTTCTTCTTATTTCACAAGTTATAGGCAGAAAATATCTGAGTTGATCCTGATCCTTTAGTTGCCTAGAATTAGCTAAAAATACAAAACACCTTGATATTCCTCCCAAATTAATAACAGGAATCTAATATAATTCAGCTTTTGTTATGGTTTTTGCTGGACCATGACCTTTCTCGATTGACATTATAATAAATTGTGCATTTAAATGAATTAAACCTCTTAATTCAAAAATATTTATATTTTACGTACCATTTCATGCAATAAAACATTTCCATCTTTAGTGATCTTTATATCACCAGCCCCTGACACCAACCTGTAATTTAAAGAAACTTTTATTATAATTAAATGAAACTTTAATCTTACCTTTTTAAAGTTTTTTTTTTCTGTTTGTAAATTTTTTTCATCCTTATGTAATATTTCTCATTAAAATGTTTATTTTTATTGTTTAGTAGTATGTTTTCCTCAAGATACTCAAGGGTTAAAAAAATATGAATCAGACACAGTTTGTACTTATATTATATTTTGTGAAAAAATAAAATATTGATAAAAAGTTATCACTGTTTCTTGTCTACTACATACACTTAGGACTTTTTAAGTGATGTTCTATATTATGAAATTGTTACAGAGATGTAGTTCATACATATTCCAATATAATATGACTATTTATTTGAATATTATATTTTCATATTGTGATCTGTATCCAACTATAATCACCAAGGTGCCAAATAGATTTCAAACTTGCGAATTAAAAAAACAAACAAACAGGTAGATGTTTGCCTGGGGATAGCTACAAGTTATACCTTTCGAGTTGATCCCTGTGTGTGATGTTTTTTTTTTTAGTTTTTTGCGGGCCACTGCCCGAAAGTTTCCACAAAAGTTCTGCCACAGATCAGGATATCGAAATCTCCCCAATCCTCCAATACATACAGAAAACGATTTTAACTTTTCTTGAATATCAAATTAAGTAATTTATATTTTTCAACATAAATAGACATAACAATGAATTGTTATATCTTGAAACATTGATATTTTTTTTCTCCTTACACACAAGAACTTGAACATAGCCCTCAAACATTTAATTTCTTGAAGGAAAAAAAAAGGGCGTCCTGCTTCAAAGGTAAGAAAACTGCCTTTAAAGCAAATATTTTAACAGCATGAATGTCAAATAATTGAGTTTTATTAATTATTTAAACGAATTAAAGGAGTAACATGACCGTCCATTACAAATTATGCATATTAATTTCGTGTAGTTGAAAATTCCAAATATGAAGGATATAAAATATGAACCTCTAATGAGCAAAAATACATTGACATAAACCCTACTTTAGATATAATTATTTAATGTTGCTTAAAACATAGAAACAGGTGGATAGTAATAGCCCCAATTAACATTTGGAGATAAGTTCTACGGTAAATTCTAGAACGTAGATCAATAGAATAGATTATAAAAATAGAATTAACTAGTTTAAATTTGCAAAAAATTATAATTTAAAAGATAAAACGGAATTATAAGGATAATATCTTTTCACACCCGGCTGTAAACACGTGGGTACAAAAATTGGTATTAACAGGAAACAAAGGGATATTTAATATCACTTACATTTTCATTGTGCCTTTGGGGCCTAAATTAGTTTTTAAAACATCTTGTAATCCTTTTGCAGCTGTTATATTAACTGCTAGAGCTTGCGCTTGGCGGGCTATTTCAGCTTTGGGATTCAGACTCAAAACGGCAGCCATGACTTTTAGTGATGTGATAATGCGAATTTTGACAATGTTTTTGTTCCAGAACCACTGAAGACAATCTTTTAACCTGCAGTTTTCTAATCAGTCTTTCGCGTTGAATCAGTTTTAAATAATGTATCGCAGTATTTAGACAATTACTGTTCAAACAGAATAATCCGTTTAAACTCACTTTTCCATTTTTCGTATTATGTTGAAACGTTTCGTTGCCATAACAAAAAAATAATAGATAAGTTTTATTTTCATTGGATTGCCATCTAGTGGGCATTTGAAGAAACTCTAAAACGGGTCAATGCTTTGAGAAACGTTGATCCCCTCTGCAGAGGATCAAAATTGCGATTACATGCCATCGGATCATCCTCAGGCATGTTTCCCAGAAAGACGCCAATATCCCACTGTGCAGCTCTAGTGCGACGTAAATAAAATACTTACCTGAATTATTGAGAGATTAGTATTTAATAATTTCATCAATTATTAAAAGATATTTTTGATAGATTTAAAAAATAAATATTGTCATTTATTTTAACCTTTACATAAACGGGGTTACTGTTTTCAGGTCAAAGGAGGAAAATAATAATCTATAGTACTCAAGCTTTTTCACCCGCTATTCAAAATGTAATTTTATAGTGTAAACCCAAGCCTAATTATGCTATTTTTGAAAAAAAGTACCATATTGAAGCATTTAACTTTCTAAAGCGTTAAAAAAAAAGAAATCAAAGACCAAATTTTTATCTGGTTTGTATGGTTCAATTTTCTAACTAAATGATAATTTAATTTTTTTAACAATAGTCATATTAACTTTATAACATTTCAAAAAGATAGTTTTCACACTTTTTATTTTATTACAAAAATTAACAAAAAGTAGCTCTGTTATTTACTTTATTGCAACTAAGTTAATAAGTATAATGTACTTATTTAAGTTTTCAAAATCAAGATAAATCCTATAAGGTTTTGGATAAACACAGAAACCATTATGAAAAAATGGGCTTTAGCTATTAACCCTTTGGGGGTTGTGGCGTAACTACCACTATAAATATTGAATACCAATTCACTAGTATATAAGACATGAGGTACCTTTTGATAGATGAAGATTGACATAGTTGATTTATAATTCCCCTCAGGGTTACGCAGGTAAAATGCCGCATTTAGAGCTACACTGTTCTTCTCATTGCAAAACCAGTTTTAAGCAACAAAATCCCACATCATTCCTTTTATTTAACCTAAAATCTACTTTAATGAAACAACAAATATCAGATTGGTACATATCAGGAAGCTCCAAAAAGGTGTCACCATTTGATTTAGAAACAAACTGACTGATAAATGTCTTTAAAAGTCTATCAGGATTCCATATCTCCGTCATAAAATGAATTAAACTTTATATTAATTACCCACAGAATTCTGAGAGGCTAGTTAAGAAACTAATAATAAGCTTTGATCAGACTGTTGACCGTCTTAAGCGGAAAATTTTAATTTTATTTAAACTTTGCAAATCAAGCTTATAATTTGAAATTTTAAAGGAAAGCAAAACAATACTTAATCTCATTTCTATTAATAAGAAATTTAAAAATTACTTAGTTCTTTTAAAACTGTGAAATGAGAAAGTAAGGAACAGTTACTTAGTTAACTTAGCAAAAATTGAATTCTATTTTTTTAGGGAAATTGAATTTATCGAAATTTAAATTTTGAGACAAAAGGTATACCTAGTAATAGGCTGCGGGAATAACAATATTTTTAATTTATAAATTTATGTAATTGTTATTAATAAATAGTATCTATTTCAAATGTTCTTCAAATTTAAGTTTAAGGAATTTGTTTTATCCCATATTAGAAAATAAGACAAAATCACTTAAAAAAGGCTTTAGTGACATTTTTTAATTAACTACTATTTCCAACGATATTTAAAAGTGATTTGCATTAATTAATAACCTTTCTTCTTTTAATTTCAGCACCCGATCTTGGGTACACCACTCTTCCTTCCAACATTTTTTTCTAATCATCTTATTAATCATGACCATATTAGAGATTTTTCTTGTTGTTAATGTAGGACAACTTTTTAATTCTTTTCTTTTTCATTGTGGTTCGACATTGGAGACAATACTTCAATAAAATACTGAAACATTCAGTTCAAATACATCAATCATGTGATATTATTTTTGCCCTTCCAAGTTTTTTAAACTTCATTATGCAAAGCACAAATTTGGTTTTTATCAAACCTTTGACCTACTTCTTGAAACAAAAACTTTATTCTTTGTATAGTATTACGAGCCTAGAGGAAGCCTATTTAAATTATAAGACTAATATTGAAAAACTTAACAATTGCAGTCAAGCAGAATGAAATTTTCTAAGTCAATTGCAGATTGTTTTTTTTTTATATCAAGTAAATGAAGCAATATTATAACCTTAAATAATTAAAATTATGAATAGTAGTAATAAGTAAAGCCCCGATTTTGATGAAAGTTGCGTTTTTGAACTCATTTGTTAGACCAGAAATTAACTTTTTCTGGACCAAAAAATCTAAATTTTTTTGAAATCAGACATTTTTTCGGAAATTATTACATTCACTGACTTTCCAGATGAGGAGACACCTAGAAATATACCTTAGCTAAAAAGTGATACTGAGTGTACCATTGTTACTGTCCCCAAATTGTTAAGAAAATCAAGGGGTTGATGTAATAAAATCAGTCATTTATTGATCGCGAAATGGCGATAATCATAACAATTCTCAATCAATTTATTCCTTTCAAAAACAAAAATTATTTTTAAAGTTATATGTTATTTTTGCATTTTCTCTTATATTTCTTTACACATGAAGGTTTTTTATAAATAATAATACTATAAAGTATGCTTGGAAAAAAAAATTTAGAATAAAGAAAGTTAATGTAAATTAGTCAATAGCACTTGAAAAAATAAATTACAATAAATCTTTTAAAACATATCATAAAGCTAGAAATTAAAAGATTCCAGAATATCATCTGTGTCAGATTCGATAATGTTAGTAGTGTTGTCATACGGATCCCGCTCTGTAGTGGATTAGACTTCATCCTCATCTGCCACAAAAAATAGTCTTCACCTATATTTCACACTTTTTAAAAGATTTTACAATAACATTTGTTGTTGTTACTTTACGTCGCACTAGAGCTGCACAATGGGCTATTGGCGACGGTCTGGGAAACATCCCGCAGGATGATCCGAAGACATGCAATCACAATTTTGATCCTCTGCGGAAGGGATACAATAACATTTAAATCCACCTTTTGCCACACATCTGGTATGATTTGACACAAGACATCTAGGGGAGAAGCTCAGATATTCCCAGTTTTTTTTTTCACCTTCTATCAACCATATTCATTCTAAGACGATTGATTTTAGAAAATTTCCATTTCTCGTATTTTCAGTGGTGGACTTACTGTTTGTCTACGATAGGTACTCTGTCCCCCACAAAGTCTGCGGCAGTCTGGTGCTATGGAAACAAGAGAGCATTTTAGGGAGGGTGGCTTCGATGAAGAGCTCTCCTTTTCTTTCGCCTTCCATGATAGCTTGTACGGGGAGTATACCAGATTGGCTGACTCAGCCACCAGTAGGAGACTTATTTAATCTGATTCAAGAACTTTTTTAAGATTCGCATGAATATTTCTTTCTTACTTAAAATAATTCTCTCGATTCAATCAGTTGTTATTTTTTAAATACAAAGGAAAAAAAGTGAACAAATTTTGACATTAAGGGTAGTACAGGATTTTTTAATATTACTTTTTAATTTTACGATATTTATTATGAATGTTCATTGATTGTTAGATGGTTTAATTTCTAAACTTGCACATTTTTTAAAGCAGTTAATTTCTTTTATTACTTGAATTTTCTGGAAAAAGTGAAGAGCTTAAACTTAATAACTCTGATTTTAAAAGGAGATATAACTTTTGCTGAAAATAAAAATAGTTCACGTTATCTGTGCCGGAGAAATATTAAATATCTTTGTTTTGATTATTAATTTTTAAATATTTTATTTATTTTTTGAAACTGAAAGCAAGTGACCGCAACTAGGATGAAATCTAAAACTATCAACGATGATTTTTATCAGCACCCATCAAACCATCTGAAGTTTTTTTTGCTTAAATTACGTTTTCTTATTCATATTTTATTGTAACCTGTACAGTTTTTTTTCGCTATTTATTAAAAACAGTTTTTATTAGCAAATTTATTTTTTTCTTAATAACCAATTTACTATGTATGATAAATTTATAGATGAGTTATTTATTAATAAAACATTGAGCTGCTTTAAACAATTTTATACAATTTCCATACATATCCTATTTATCAATCGTTATTCATAGAAATATCAATTTTAATTTGTCATTGTATTTGGACAAATGGCATCGATGAAAATCAGAAGAGAGCTGAAACATAAAAAGGAACAATTTATTCAAGCTATTAAATTTAATAATTAATGAAAGAATTCTTGAAATTTTGAAAATGTTCGTTACTAATGCTTCTTTTGTAAAAACACGGTATCTCTTTTAAAACCATTTGAAGGCCAGGGAAAACATTAAAGGGGTTTTTCTTCAAAAGGTCTGAACATGTGTAAAAATAAATATTCATTCTCCAAACCGGAGTTTGACATTTATGAATAGTACAATAAAAAGGATACTCTTTATTATGAACTGCAGGGTGCCTGTAAGCCTTAGTCCCTCTGTTACTGACCACTGATGAGAAATGTGTCATCTCTTTTGTAAGTTCCATGAGAAAATCTTTTGAAAAAGAGAAAAGATTAAAAAAAGGAATCAAACGCACTAAACGATGTTTCAGGCGCGAATGCTCATTTCTCTTAATTCTAGGGCTAATACAATAGATCGAAGAAAGAAGTCTCCTTTTCTCCCACCGAAACCAGTCTTAAAGAGGGACTCCGCACCCCTACTTGAAATAATCATACCTCGTTACCATAGTCACCGCCACCCCTCCAGACGAATGGCAGACAGAGTACCTATCGTAGACAAACAGTATACACTCAACATACCAATAATTTGTTGACTCTTAGTTAAAATTAGGGAGTCTTACTTAAACACCACGATATATATGATATGTGTATTGCTTTATTCACCAAAAATGATTTTAAAATAGCAACATCACAAGTACTCATTTATTGGAATTCTATACTGCTGATCAATAATGCTTCACTATTTTTACTGCACAAGGTGAAGCTGCAGTGTTTTATAGGGTAAGAAGATTCCACCGTTTTGTGTTGCTTGCACACAACACCATAATTGTCCAAGAAATATAAACATTTCGTAAATACTCATCTATATCTAAAAAATCTTAGTATCAAATCCGAACAAATAATTTTATTCATATTCATAAAAATAAAATAACAATTAGAAATTTTAGTAGAGAACTATAATTTCTGGTTGTTCCTCCGCCATGAAAATGACCAGTAGTATTTTATATAGCAAAAATCAGCGGGATCTATTTGTTAAATTAAAAAATAAAGTCTTATGATTTTAAAATAAAGTTTAAACTAATTAGAATTTTAGTATGATGTTCGATATTTAATGCATTAAATATCACTATACACTATCTGAAGAAATGTTTAAGAGAGGTTTATATTTTATACAGAAAAGAAGGATCACTTACAAAAATTAACCAACTCACTAACAAGAATTCTTTTATTTTTTTTTCCATTTTAGAACTGTACACATGAGAAATGTTAATTGATGAAATAATGTTGTCAAAGCAATTTTATACATAAAGAAATAGCATGATGAGTGAGTGGAAAAAAATTGGCAAGAAATTTTAACAAAAAAGACAATTACATGTATTTACAATCTAACAATATGTCTGATAACAAAACTGCACTCATATGAAATTTAGGAAAAACATTACATTTTATACACTTTCATTCAATGAATTTTTACACAAGGAAACATCCAATAGCATTTAATGATATTTTTTTGCAATAATACACGTGACTTATTTTTCCAAGACCTGTTTCATAAATTTAACAAATAGTAGTGAATACTGGAGTAATTCAAGAGCTATCTGAAGTAAAATATTAAATTACTTGCAATGAGACCACAATAATTATTGGATATCAAATGAAATTATATGTTATGCATTCGGCATACAGATGAAGACAAAAGTTTGAGGATTATAAATAGAATAGAGATGATTTCAATCACAGCCATTTAATTTCACGTTCTACACACAGCTGTCACTCTCACAATATACATCAAATCTCACAAGCTATTGCCAATTTTGTACTATCCTAGACAGCAAACATCTTTATTTTGGTGGATTTCTCAACCTCATGGTATAGGGTGATGCTTTTTGCGCAGCCTGTTGTTGTTGCTGCTGCTGTCGTGCAGCCTGAATGGCAGCTTGGACAACCTGAGCAGGAGTCTGGGTAGTTACAGGAGGAGGATTGGCCAGTGTGGCAGGTATTGATAGGATTGGAGTTGAACTAGAGGTGACCACATTGTGCATGACAACATGCGTTGAAGATTGCAGAGTTGAATCCGCAGGTACTTGCTGCATGAGAGTACCCGTCGAGGTGAGGATGCTGGATGCCTGGCCAGCGTTTTGAACAGCAACTGGTTGAGCAATATTTATAGAAGCCCCTTGAGAAAGTTGCTGCATTCTGGCTTGGGATGTCTGCAATGCAGCTGAGACAACTTGAGATTGAGGAGTGACTAATGACGAATGGGGTGTTTGTTGAACTTGTATCTGTACTTGTTGCCCAGGAGTTTGAGCGGCAGTACGAACTGCCAGAGTAACAGCTTGAGGTGTGATGCCAGAAGAAGACGCAGCAACCTGTTGAAGAATGGCAGCTGTTTGCTGTTGTCCTACAACAACGGCGGGGGCACCTTTCAAAACACCGCTCGTTGTCAGAGTTGTAGATGGCAATGTCGTAGTTTGAGCTTTTACTGATCCAACAACTCCTGGCTCTCCACGAAGGGTTGCAGAAGTATGTTGCTGTTGTATCCCTGGTAAACTGGGGGTTGCAGTAACGACCTGAGTTAATGGATGAAAGATATTATTACAACGAAATAAACACACAGCAAAATTTTGTGACAGGCATACTTCTACAAAAAAACAAAATATTATTAAGAAAAGTAGCTTCCTTTACAGGTTATGTCATCCTCTCTCCAACCTCTCAACCAAGTCTCTTAAAAAAATATTGTTGGGAATGAGAGAAAATACCTATCATCTCATATTAATAAGAAATATCAAAGCTATACGCATTTTAATGTTCAAATTGGCATGGAAAGAAAACATAACTTTTGGTTTTTTGAAAAGGGGATGGAAAGACTTGATTATTCTTATTAGCAGTTTTCAATTATATAAAATTACTTACATTACGTTCGTGAAGTTTTTTCCAAGAAATTTTGAAACAAATTATTATAAGTAATGTATAGATTATGTTGAAATAAATATCCAGTTTTTGTCTTTAACATAAGCCAGGCGTTGCTCCATTTTTTAAAAAAAAAATTTCACGAAACTGTAATGTGTTTTGAGTTTATACATACTGTAGATTAAGAACTAAGACCAATATAATTTAAAAAGTTGTATTAAAACCTTGTATGCTGCATTAAATACTTGTAATTTATTTTTCGGTTCACAATTCCATTTCACATGTGGAAAGATTTTCCTTAGAATAGATGATTATTGTTGTTATATGGACATGGGAAGTAATAAATGTGAAAAAAGAAGAAGAAAAAGAGACTTACTACAGGCAAGTTTTGTGGTATTGCTTGCTTCATCGCCTGTTGAATTTGTTGAACAGTCATAGTAGCTGGAATACCTTTAACTTGTTGGGTAGTTCCAACTTGTGGGTTATGCTGAACAATTTGAACAGCGTTCATAGCAGCTGAGAGTGATGATGCAGATACAGCAGTTCCTTTAGCAGGAACCTACAAAAAAAAAAAATGGAAAACAAAACCTTTTTAAAACAATTTTTCTTTTAATCACATCATTGAGTAAGTACTTTATTGACTCACAATAATAACCTGAGAAATTTTTTTCTTCTTTAAATGCATTACAGAAAAATATAAGTCTATAGCTGCTAGGTGAACTAAAGGCTTATGAGGACTCTATCGTACAGATATCTTAAATAATATTTCCTCATACTATTAACAATATAAGAATGATTTTAATAGGCAGTGGGAATAAGAGAGAAAGAATTAGGTATTTAATTACCAACAAACTTCCTATTTTTCTAATATTCACATGAATCTATTATTATATCTACTACTATTGCTTTTCTTAATAAATTTAACTATTCCTGTACAGATTTCAGCTAAAATGTATAAGTGTAGAAATAATAATTAATTATGTGCATTCATTATTTGTATTAAATATAAATAAAAAAGCTCAGATTACATATAAGATTAAAGAAAAAATATAAATTGAACTGAAATGTAGAATTATCAGATTTTTAAAAACAAGCAAAATGTATGAATTTTATCTTCTGTGCCAAGTCCATTTGTTTCTATTATGATTAACATTTTAAAACTTTATTTGCTTCAGCTCTTTATCCCTTAAGATGTCGCATAATTAGTGTCATCACTTGGCTCAATATGGCACACAACAAAACATCTTTTACGTGAAACATTAAATATTTCATTATCATACTATCTGCTCTCTGGCTATAAAAATGTGTGTAAGGGTATAAATGAAACATACCTTTGTAGCTAGTTGAGTCAAATTAGTTGTCAATTTATTTCCTTTCCTAGCTTGTAAAAGTTGTTGCATTTGAAAGTGTCTAATTTGCTGGGTAGTTAATGTAGTCCCTCCTTTAGTTTGAATTGTTCCAGCCTTACCCTAATAAAGAAATAAATATATATATATTATGTATATGAATGCCAAGCATATGACACAGGGATGCATAGCCAAATCTTTCAACAAAAAATAAGCACCTTTTGAGTACTTTTCAAGCACTACAAAAATATTTTTAAGCACTATATACATGAACAAAATGCAAAATAATTTTCAAGGATTTTACATGATCATGATAAAACAACTAGTTTCTGACAAAGACCTCTTTTTTGATTATATTAGCCATTATAAGAGATTTTTTAGTTCGATATCAGAAGGTGGAAAATGAAGTCGGAAATTGATAATATCTTGCAAAATTCAGCTGAGTTGCACAGGAGAGTGCAATAATCTCATCGAACTCAGCTCAGTAGACGCACATGCTGACTCGCAATTATTTAATCAAACATGTAAAATGATTGGTGCTTTCATACGCTATGGACTGACGGTACGCCGAAATGGATTGTGGTGGAATGAATTGTGAAAACGTTGAATAGAACAATGTGTAAAGCACCCTTTTGCATAATAGGAGGCGAGAATCGGCATGGTAAAGAAAAAAAATCTCATTTTCCAAAAGGGAAAAATTAAGCACTTTTTAAGAACACCCAATGACAAAAGCACCTTTAAGGGCTTTTAAATAACTAAAATAAAAAATAAGCGCCTTTAAGCACTTTTTAAAACGCTATGCACCATGTTATAGCAAGATTATTGTCTTACTGAGTCAATAATTTTCAAAATCATGGAATCAAAAATAAATACATAAAGTAATAATTTTTATATAAATGGTAAATAAATTTTACAATTAAGAATTCTTTTTAAAAAATCCATAATGTGGGCAGACCGATAAGATTGTAAAATAGGAAAAAAAGAGGAAATGTGCATAGTGTATAAATTAAAATTAGGTAAAGGAACAATCAAGAAAATCAAATAGGATTATTTTGTGGGTAGCAAATGTATTAAGAGGTAATGCTTGTTAATATGAATTATGGAGAAAATGCTTGGTGTGTATCCATCAACTATGAAAATATTTTCAAAATTTAAAATCTCTACTAAAGATAAATTTATTGATCAACTTTTTTTTAAAAAGTACTATTTCAACTTCATGCAAATAATTCTTGCTTGTGTATTGACACTATGAATTACTTCTAGGACTGCACAATTCAATCAATTTAAACTCATTTACTCAAAACTATATCTGGTAATTACAAGAAGTTACTTCATAGGGACATCTTTACAAAACTTGGAAAAATATAGATATTGTTCTACTTTACGTGAACAAAGTTGTAACTTTTTTTTGGAAGTTCAATATTAGGAAATTTATTCCTGTTGTGGCAACATCAGTAAGTTCCAGAATACGCAACAAAAAATAGGCACCTTTTAAGCACTTTTCAAACACTCAAAAAATATTTTTAAGCACTTTAAAAATATATCATAATTAGGCAGGATTGGAAAAATTGACATTGACGGTTTTATCTTGTTTGACAATTGTCAAAAATCATGAAATTTTGAATCATGTAAAGCGAATGGCGTTTTCATACGCTACGGACGGACAATATGCCGAAATAGATTGGGGTTGAATTAATAGTGAAAACGTTGAATAGAACAATGTGAACTGCGTATTTTTGCATAATTCGAAGTGAAAATCAACGTAGTAAAGGAAAAATCTAATTTTGAAAAAGGGAAAATTACGCACTTTTTAAAAACACCCAATGAAAAAAGCACCCTTAAGGGATTTTAAAAAACGAAAATAAGCACCCTTAAGCACTTTTTAAAAATGCTACACACCCTGTTTAACTCAATGTAAAGCTAAAAATAGGTCGTGCGAAATCTAAGAATCGATTTATAATAGGTTATCAAACTTTCTTGGTTATGTTGTTTCGATACAAAATTTAGAGAAAAATCATCAATTCAACCTCAATCAGATGTAGAGATAGAAAGAATTACCTGAGGTACGCTAACATTAATGTTAACTCCACCCATTGTCACAGCTGAAACAGGTATGGCTAAAGAAGAGGCTCCACTCAGAGGAGCAGAAACTGTTTTCACCAAAGTAGCAGTTCCACCAGTAATAGAAACTTGCTGTGGCTGGACTTGCTGTAGTTGAGCTTGTGCTAATATCTGAGCCGTAGTCAACTGAAACACAATTATCTTGTTAGTGAATGTAACAATTCTGAAAATATTTCATGGAAGTTTAAGGAATTCAAAGTTTTTAAAAGCAAAAATATAATTTCTCTAAATCTTATAAATGGATACGGAATTGGCAAAACAATTTAATTGGTCATCTGACCTAAATGGGAATGTTAATTTACTGCCTCGCAAAATTTTTTTTTAGAAGGAAACATAACCATTTTTTGTCAGCTAAACCTCGAGTAATGATATATTAAGCTATTGAAATAAGTCATATCCTTACCAGATCTATTATGATTTTCATGAATGGTAGACACCATGGTTAAACATTGAAAAAAGGTAACATTTTGAACAGAGTTCAAAATATAAATCAAAACCTTCTGAAAATTTATAATTAAATCTTCACTTAAACATTTTAGTTAAATTTATACTAAATTTTAATGCATAAGTAAATGTGTATATGGAAACAAAACAAAAAAAATAAATAATAAAAGAACACACACACACATATCAAATTCATAAAATTAGGTTTTAATCCCAATTTTGCTTTCAAGCTTTAATGGGAAGGGGTTTAGGTAAAACACTGAAAAATTATTATTTATTTATTTAGAAGAGTAAAAAAAAAATTTTCAAATGTTACTTTTGTTCTACAGTTCTTTTTTAGCATAACATTATAGTTTTTCTGAAATTTCTCAGCTAATTTTAAATCTCCCTAGCTTTCTCTCAGGCACACAAGCCCTGATTTTAAAATTTAGAGATTATTATTTTTGAGATAATCCAATACAGTAGTCTTCAAGAATTAAATTCAACAGAAATTTTATTTCTGTTTCTATATTTCTTATTATCACCTGATATATAAAATTTAAAATTGTTTAAGAATAAACTAAAATGATGATGAACCAAGTCTTATAACTATTTTAGTACCAATTTTATTATTGTTAGGGGTCACAGACAAAATGTGACCCCCATTAATAAATAAACGCTGCTGATTGGAATGAAAATTGTTCTACATAAATTATGAGATTCCATAATGAAAGGGACAAGCTACCTAATTCACATAAAATATTTTAACAAGCATTTGGGAAGTTTCAATCTTAGCTAACCTGAGCCTGCTTTTGCTGCTGCAATTGCTGCCGCTTCACAAGTTGAGCCATCTCGGCTTCAGTCACAGCCCGCCCCACAGATTGTTTCATGGTGACTTGCTGGGTGATACGTTGCTGAGCTGCTGCTGCAACTGTCAGAGTACCAGCAGTGCCGATAGCTACTTTGGTAGCAGGCTGGGATGCCTGTTGTTGTTGGACTGTTTGCAACCTCTTTAACTGTTGTTGCTGTTGCTTTATAGTTTGCTGTTCCTAAAAGTTACAATTTCAATTAATAAAAATTTTATTACATTATTTAACACTATTAAATAGCTGGTTGCAATGTTACAAAATAAAATGAAGCACAAAATAGCAAATGAATTCATTTTTCAATTATAATTTAAAAAACAATTTAGTGTGTCTACATATTACACCAAGAGAACACTACAAAAATCAGTTTTGTATAATAAAAAATCAGTTTTGTAAAAATAAAATTATTGTGATTACTTTAATAATTATAATTTATTAAGCTGAAAACACTAATTGTTTAGATCTGATTGTATCGTACTTTTTTTGAACTACTTAAAAGATGTAGTTCTATACCAAACAGATAAAAAGTACATGATATTTTATTCTACTTAAAATATTTAATTAAAACTGACATTAGTAAGAAGAATTAACTGATGATATGCAAATTTGCTAACAGATATGGCTAAAACAAAATCATAACAATGCATTTAAACTCAATACTGAAATTAAAAGATGCAAATAATTTGTTGCTTTATGAAAACATATTAAGACTGGATGGTTAACAGTAATTCAAATTTTAAAAATTATACATTTGCTAAAATTTACTTTTAAACTTTGTTTTAAGTTTTGTGTTGATAAATTTTTATCTTATTTTACATATATGGATCAATTCATTAATAAATTTTTTTAATTTAATTATTTACTTTGATTAAATCTTAATAAACACAGCAGAACCTTGATTATCCAAAGAAAAATGGCGTATATTCTTCATGAAAAATAAACAAGTTTTCTCTGATCAGAAAGAAAAAGCTATGAAAGTTAAAAAGAAAAAAAACTAAGTTCAATGGATAAAACATTTAAATTTAATCTCAGATTCATAAAATCCCTTTTAACAAAAACAATTTATGAATCAGAAGTTTTTTAAAATAAGTACTTAATGAATGTAGAAGCGATGATTTAATCTGACAATATATAACTGTAAATGGAGAAACGAAAAAGAATTCATTTTTTTAATGGAATTACTCAAATTGAAGGGGCTCACACAAATAGAGTATTATAAAACTTACGAACAAATTACTAAAGTAAAAATAATTGATATTTAATCATTCTTATAAAGATAACAATTCTTGTTAAAGTCTGGTACTCATAAATAACTTCACCCAAGTTCTTTCATGCTTCTTAATCAATTATTAAATACTATAATATTTACAGCTCAATGAAATTAAACACATGATTTGGGCAAATTAGAAATTATTTATTTCTACTCGCAGATGCAAAAAGTTAAAAAGACATTCCTGTAGGAAAAAATAACCATTTTCTTTTAAAAAACAAAATGAGATAAATCAGGTTATTAAAATGAATGTAAACCATACCCTTTGTCTGATTAAGGCACTTTGTCTTAATGCTTGCAACTGACTTAGTTGTGAGATATTTCTTTGGGTTGCAGCAGCTTGAGTGTTCAGCTGACTCACTAAATGGGACACACAAAATATAATTATTAAAACCTTAAGAGTTAAAATAAATGAATCACTTAGAAATTATTTACACACTTCACTACAGGACTAATAGTTCAGCTATTTGCCAAAGAATGTTTCTTCTAATAGCCCCGAGAGTTTTTGACAAAACAAAAGAAGTTTTAATTATGCTTTTAAGCTTATCAAAATGATGCATAGAAGCTTGGTGGCTGAGTGACAGAGAATCGCTCGTGCTTCCGTGTTACTGGTCAAAAGTTCTATCCTTTGGACTGAGCAAGGTTGACTCCGCCTTCAAGTGCGTCGTTAAAATGAGTACCAAGCATGCCCGAGAACTAAACACAAGGGATTTCGCATTCAACTGTCCTCCCAACCGGAACATCTGCCCCTGCACCCCAGAGACCAAGGTAAAAAAAACTAGGATGAGTCCTCCATGAGCTGTTGCATCACTGGGTTCAGTTTTAGTTCAGAAATAATCTCTAATTGCGTCATTTGTCTATATACTGTCGCTGATATTTTAAAACGCATCTCCAAAAATATTGTGAATACCAAGTTTTATCACAAACATTGTGTAAAAATGAATATTTTGATTAGCAATAAATTGATATTATCGTGAATGTACTAGTTTCACTGTTAGTATATTTTTTAATAATATTTAAAGTTATTTAAAAATATTGTAAAAAAAAGTTTAAATTTCAGTTTGCTAAGTATGATACAGGGTTCCCACTTAATTTTAGAAGAAAAATTTTTTTCACCAACTTTTCCAGGTATATCAGGTAAATTGTAATGAAAACACATACCATATTTTATTAATATCATGCTATTTTTCATCAGAAAACTATGATTTTTTTTTTATTTGCAATATCAAGTATTAGATTTTGTGAACAAAAACAAATGATAAAATGAGAATGGAAACATGGAAAAGTTTCACTAAAAAGTAGAATTTTATAAAATAATTGTAATAGATGTTAGAATTATTTAAACTGTATCTCAATAACTGATTACTGTTATTGACAATTCATACCTGGTAATTTTCCAGGTATTTTTTTTTTTTTTTTTTTTTTNTTTTTTTTTTTTTTTTTTTTTTTTTTTTTTTTTTTTTTTTTTTTTTTGTAAAAAATTGCAACTTTTCCTGCTTTTTAGAGTTAAAATAAAATTATTCTGACAATTCCAGATCTTCCCTGACCCCTGAAAGTGATGCCCAGTGTAATTTTAATGTAAATTATTAAAGTTAGAAATTATTGTAATTCTATGATATTTTATAACAACACATTTCTTAAAATGGGATATTGTCCAGAACCTAACAAAACTGTTTAGCATGGAGGAACAGATTTCATAAGCACTGTATTTTATAGTAAAGAAAACTAATCTATCTGTCAAAAATTATTTCGAACATCATATCTCTTTTTCTAAAATTACAGAATTTTTACAAAAAACTTAACAAATATAAAGATCAATCATTTACATAATGAATTTTTTTCTAATGAAAATAAATTGAACAGAAATTTTTACCTGAGGCTATTGTTGTAGCAGGCGACAAGGTGGTGCCAGTCAAACGTTGAGAAGCCAACTGTACAGCAGTCAGATTTGCTACAGAAACTACTGCTGGTGCTGTAGAAGTTACACCAGCTGCAGTAGTCAAACCACGAACCTGAGCTGCAGCTACCATTTCTTGAACTGTCATTGTAGTGGTTGCTCCTGTAGCTGTCACAACAGCACGCTGATTGCGAAGATTAGCATTTGAAAGGGCAGCAGCAATTGCAGCATTCTATTAAAAAAAATGAAGTCATATATTTAAAGTTTCAATGAATTGACTAAACAAAATACAATTTATAACACATCTATATAGGATGTTGTTTTCTACACTAGGGAATGTTCCAAGCTTTTGGCTGCCTATACTTCCGGGTTACTGGCTTTGAAGCCATTTAGCTCACAACCTGATCATCGTGGTTTGAGACTCTCGTGAGTAGAATTTCTTATATTTGTTACCTAGTTTATTATTTACATTTAAAAGAAGAATCATTGTAAGAATCGTTATTTGAAGACGTAAGAATTGTCATTTGAAAAAAGAATTGTTATAAAACACTTCTTACCTTGTTAACAATATACCAACTTCACAATTTAAACCTAAATGATAATTTGTAAAATGAACTTAATCTTGCTAGTCGAACAATATGATGGTGCACGACTTGCACCAAGAAAAAACAGTAATAAAGAAGTTAAAAGAGGCCAAATAGGGACTACCAAAAAGAGCAAGTTCTTTCTAAATCTAGCAATCCTGTCACCTTTTTAACAATACATCTCTAAATAACTAAAACAAATGTCCACTTCTAACACACCAGAATTAATTATTATCATTAATATCTTATGAAATACAGCAGATTTGAGCACAAAAATTACATAATTCATTTCTTTCATTAAAAACAAAATTATCTGTTTGAAAATATCGCCTCGCAAAATAAGCAGCTGTACACTTTCTTAACGGAAGTAGAACAGGTCAAGATCTTGAGATTGTTGTTGTTTACATTAATATTCAAAACACCATCCATATTTATTGTTAAAAGTAGGAATGCTATGTGCAATATAAAAAACTAAGAACCTTTATTTATTTATTTTTACCTGTGCTGCACCTTGTGAAGTTAATGAAGTAACCCCTGCTTGACCCAAAGCTTTGGTGAGTGTAGCTAATGTACCTGCAGTCGTCGATCCAGCAGCTGCGTTCACCATTATTCCACTAGTTAAGGACTTTGGAAGAGAAACAGATGTTACAGTGCCTTGTTGGATGTTTGCTTTGTTTAACTGTACTTGCTGAAATAAACATTATTTAAAATAAGTAATTCTAGCAATATCTCAAGTGTTCTTATACAAAGGATAGAGTTTAGTATACATAATTATACAAAGCTGTTACAAAGCTTATTTACTATAACTTACTCTAAAGTAATTCTAAAAGTAATTTATTATAAAACAGAATTTTCTAGCTTCATAAAAAAATTATTTGAGATGATTATGAACTGTATTGAGTAGTTCTGTGAAATTTTATTATGTTTTTCAAATACCTAGTTCCCAAATAAATGCAAAATATCCTGATAAAAATTTTAAATTTCACACATCAAAACTTTTAGCTCGAGTGATCCACACCAAACGCATTATTAATTAATTAGTGTAAACTTAAACTTATGAAAATCAGACACAAAAATAAACTTTCAAAAAATGAAGTAACTTTAATTTTTTTTCTCCCTCCATTTAATGTTACTGATATAAATTTTAAGTATGATTTAATATATACTGATTTATTCAAAGAAAATGTTTTAGTTCATTTTTGGAAACTTTCAATTTTCTTTCTAAGTTTGGGGTCTGAAATCTTTGACTGAAATAAAAAAAGAAAAGAAAAATGTTTAATTAACCTGAAGTTGCTGTGCTTGAGCTAGACTAGCTATAACAGCCTGAGCCTGATGAGGAATGATATTTGTTGTTCCTGCAACAGTAACTGTAGCTTGCTGAGTCACTTGTCGCTGAGCAGCAATTTGTTGCTCCATAGCTTGAACCGTAGCCTGCACTTGAGTTGGAGCTGAAACTGCTTGAGTAGCTACAACCTGCTGCGTTAGAAAATAGCTAAATTAGTATCAAAAAAGAAAACATTATAAATTTTATTCTTTCTATTTATTTATTGATTATTGTTATTACAAACCCTTTCAAAGATCAAACTAAAATGTTTAAGAGTAGTTTGTCAGCCAATAAAATATTAAAATAAAAATTTTCTCAAGAGAAAAATGAAAAACAATTTCCTTCTTTGTTTCTTATACTGAAATAAATATTTGGAGTGAAATATTTGGTACAAAATTGTATTTATGGGTTATAATGATAAACTGTAGAAGACACATATAAACTGTATTATCTTTTACTAGTAATTTGGAAATTATATATTATTAAAGTGTTAAAGTATGTAACACATTTTTAAAATGGTGCTTTCTGATATTTACGGTTATCTTTAAAGTTCTCATAATGAAAAAAAAATTCATTCTTAGTCCAAACATAATTCATTCTCACTCGATTAATCGCTGTGATTCACGTTTTGTTTCCAAAATGAAAGCTAAATTAGCGCTATTAATTTTATCCAGAGTCAAGTTATAGAACAAATAATAAAATCAAAATAAATATTAATTTTAAAACAAATACAGAATGCAGTCATCTTAAACAAATGTATAAAAATATAATAATCACAATGTAGCGGTAATTAGAGAAAAATAATGAAGTTATAAATTAGAAAGTTCAGTGCTTAACATTTAAATTTAAAAAAATAAAATAAATCCTACAAATCTTACTTTAGATTGTTTTCTGACTTAAAAATACCAATAACAATATATTTGTAGTTTAATGAATAATAGTAATACTTGCAATTTAATTTAACCTAAAATATCCACTTTTATTTTCGAATTTAATTCACACAGTTTTATCACAATATTAGAAATAAAAAAAAAGGGAGATATGAATAATACTAGTAATTAAATTTACAATTTTCAGGGACCACAATTTACTTCAATTGACCCGCAGGTTATGCATCATGTAAAGGTTTAATTTAAGAAAATCAATTAGTGATTCAGTTTATGCGCAAAAATGAAAACTTAACAAATATTGTAGAGGGGGTGCGAAAAATAATGCATGATACTTAATTCTCCAACATGGGAAGAAAAAAAAGCTGGTCAGCAGATTTTAAGTAGAGAAGATTACTAGGACATAACTTCAAATATGCTTAAAAAAGTTTTATTTCCTTCATTAACAGTTGAAGGGAATAGTATATTAGAATAATTATGAGTATCAAATATCAGTATTGTTTATCCATGATGCAGGTGTTTGATCAGTCTTACATAAGAGCCTTGATAGTTCTTTAAATTCTTCGTTTTGTCTATCAACAAATAAAATAATATAAAGAATGTGAATAATGCTATGTAGTATAGAATAAATAGGGAATTGTTTTTAGTAAAAATGGAATGTGGAAGCTCCGGGTCCAAGTATCTGTAATTTCCAAAATCTAGCAGACTCACAGAAGATGCATTTATTAAAATTAAAACTAAAAAAAGGTTAGGACTTACTGTGGGAGCCATATTTTTCTGCTTATCTCGTGCAATACGTTCAGCTCTATTGCAAGCAATCTTCTTAGGACTTAAAGGAACATCAAAATTAATGGCTGGGTTTTCCGGTGGTTTTGGGTTTTTAGGTGCAAGAGAAAACGATGGTCTTTCAACAGTCTTACGCTTAACAATTGTTTCTGCAAGGAGCTTGAATCGGTCATTGATTATCTTTGAAAATGTGCCATTGTTGTCTTGAATATAAAGTTGACTAGTTTTCATAGGTCTGTTGTTCTTTGTCTGAAAAACATCAACAGATTTCTACTAAAGGTTAAGAATATTAGTAGAACTAATAAAATACATTAGCATATAAAAGCAAAAAATATTTTTATTTCTTCCTACTGTACTAAGAAATTTTTTAGCACCTTCAATTATCTATATTTTCTCTATTTTAACTCTACCAGCATTGAGCTATACTGATGCAGGACTGCCATCAGCAAAATACCATAAACTAAATCCAAACACTTTTTAAAAAAAAAATTAATTCTTAGGCATACATAATTTTTTTTTAACTTGAATGAATTAACAAGCTTTTATACATATATTGTGCAGAGGTGGCAGTTTCAACTAATTTCGTAGTTCTGCCCATGAAGAAAACTAAATTGCAGAAAAATATTTATTAAAAATGTTCAAATTTTCAAATAAGGACAAATAAAAACCATTAAAAATATAAGCATTCAACATATCCTAAGGTTTTTATTTAGTGATTCCTGAAATAAATCAGCTTTGCCAACTGAACTAACAAAAGAACTTAGATTATAAAAAGATTATATTTAAAAACTACCCCCTCTTCAAAAGGACAATGTACAGCGATATCATATTAAAGTCCCATTTAATAGGGATCTCCAATTAATGTGGGTATGTGTGGTTCTCGCTATTTTTCCTTACAACAAATAATGTTAAAAACAGTGTTTACATGGTACTTATGGCATAATGCAAAGAAATTTTACTGTACATCTACATATTTCTTAGACAAAAAAGATTATTTTCGTTTCACACTAAGGAAATTTTCAACAGCTGTTTTTATCGTCTCTAATTTGAATAAGGATACCTTATGCAAAATATTTATTTTAACAAGAGTGGTCTTGGAAATTGTAGGAAAAAAAATATATTTTAAGAAAGGAATGATGATAATAAGAAATAAAACTTTTATTTTTATTGAAGAATGTACTGGAAAACAGTATGCATCAATCCTTTAGATATTGTGATGACAAAGAAGCTTGAACATTAGTACAAGGACATTTGAATATATACAAGGCTGCTGATTAATAGCTCAAGAATTCCATAAGGGAATATTTAATTTTAAAAGTAATTGCAAAAAAACAAAAAACAAAACAAGAGTTGAAAAATAATACTGAAATTCCTCTCTTACACAAGAACATTGTCTAAAGTAACACAAAATGCACATTAGTTTAAAGTATAAGCAATGTAATTTTTTAGAGCTAAAAGCCAAGTATTCTTATTAGCTTACTTAAAAACATGTTATTTCTAGCAGCAGAATGATAATAATCAGAAAAACATTTTAGACTGAGCTGTTTTTTAAACAACAAATTAGAAGTCTGATGAAAACTTAAGAAACTGTAATATTCTTCGTCTATCGCAAAGATCTGTAACACTGACCATTTATTTCCACAAAATAATTTCTCAGGCATATCTTTACAATGAATCCTTCATCTTATTATTATGTAATTGAATCAAATTAGCCACTTTTGCAGAAACTGATATGAGCTTCCTCTCAGGTTTCTGTCTGAGACTTTTTTATCATTTAATGAAGTAAAAAAATAAATAAATAATGAAGTTATAATTATTATTTGAAAAACTACGTTATTCATTTAAACATACAATCACAATGCAATATTTACACAGGGAGAGATGGGAAAAGTTGGTTAATTGACACAAGAACTCAATCAGACAATACAGTTTCTAATTTTACATAAGATAATAAATGCGATTACACTTAAGGGATACCATAAACAAATCCTTTTAAAATAAGTATTATTTAATGTAACACTATTAAGCAAAAACAATGCAATATCTATCTGTTTTTTCTTACAGTCATGTACTATTACATTATACAGTAGGGAACCGATTATCCGGAACGATCGGGACCATCGCTATTCCAGATAACTGATTTTTTTCGGTTTTCTGAATCGCTACAAAAAGCCGTTTGTTTATTGCTAAATACAACAAAAAAAATTTTTTTTTTTTGTAAATAATCTTAAAAAGAAGAAAAAACGATGAAGGAATACACTAATGATTATTTCGAAAATGATGGTAAGGTAAACATCTTTCAAAAAAGAAAAGAAAAAAAAAAAAATCCTAAAATCTTATGAGGAAAAAAAAAAATTTATTTTTTAAAAAATGGCGAGAAAATTTATAGAATTTTGTTCCGGTTTTTTGGTTTTCTGATTTCCGGATAACGGGTTCTGTACTGTATTTATTTTCAAATAAATACTATTACGAAAGGAATATAAATTAGACTCGAAATGTTTTAGAAATATTTATTTTAGATTCTGTTATACATAAGCAAATTAACAAAGAATAAATTAAATGATATAAATAAGTCTGGATTTGACTAATTATTACAGAAACCTGAGAGCAGTTTGGTTGAAAATAAAAAAAATATAACTACAAAAAAACCAATATCATTAAGAGAACCGCTTTCATAAAATTGATTAAACAGAAAATTATTCATCCCTATTTGAAATGAATATTGATAAAATATAAAAGGAAAAATTAGTACATCTTCAAGAAAAAAAGATCAATACCTTGTAAATTCCTTTAGTCTTTTTCTGCTTCTTTGGATTGGTATCGTACAATATTTTCCCTTCTTCTCTCGGAATCACTACATTCTCGTATCTTATCTTACATGACTTTGCAGAACGGAAATTCTGACAAACTGCATGCACAGCCTCACCTGCCATGTCCCAGTTAGGTAAGTGTCCAGGTAATAGAATAGTCAAATTTAAAGGAATACTCTGTATGTCCTGAATAACCTAAATTTGAAAGAAAAAAAAGAACCCTTAATATTTCAAAATAAATCATAAAAAGCTTTTTTATGATTTTAATAATAGTATAAGAATTAAAAGACAAAGTTATCTTTATTAAAATAAAAGCCCAATTTGTGAACTAAATAAAAGAAAAATCTAATTAATGTAAGTTAAATTTCTCATAAACCAGGAGTAAAATTCAGTTCATAAACCAGAGGTGCCAACTTTCCAAACTAGTACAGAAACATAGACAGTTTGCAAATACAAAACACAATTTTATAAACATATATAAAGTAAAAACACAAAATCGCACAATTTAAACGGGTATGTGCAAATTAAGTAAGTATAGATATGTAAGATAAGTAAAATTATGCATAAATTTAATTTTGAATAAAAATAAATAAAACTTAGATAAATTAAAAACTATACAAGACTGAAACTTTATATATTTGTTTCTGATTGAATTAGAACTAACTTTTATTTCCTGCATTTGAACAGTGAAAATTGTCTGTTCATAGCTTTTCAGATTTGAGTTAACATTCTTTTGCTTTTCTAAGGGGAGAAGATAAGTTTCAGGATAACTTGTTAGAATGAAAAAAACACAAGACTTCTTAGCTATTTTTATTTGTTTCCATCAAATCCTTTTTGCTTCTTATTTAATTATTTCTTTTAAAAATTGTTTAAGGAATAAGAAAAAATTATCATAAATAAGTTGCAAACAACAAAACTTTATGTCTCTTGGCAGCTGAGGGGGAAAAAATTCATATTTTAAACTTAAACTATTACAAAAATTCTAAAAAACTGTAATTTTTATTACTCAACCTTAATCTTGACTATGAAGTCGTAATAATTATGGATAAATCGCAATTGTTGGCTCCTTTGATAAAAAAAGACATGAAATGACATTTTTTTAAAAATGCCACTTAGCATTTTTAATCCTTAAATCTTTAATTTGATGTATAGACAAATTTTACCTAACTCCAAAACAAGCTTTAATCTTACCTGTAAAATGGCCCAATCTTCTTGGACCAGCCAATCAGGTTTATCAATATGAACTTCTAGAGTAGGTTTGTTTACAACAATTGGAGGTGGTTTTAGACCAGGGAAGGATGCCAAAGGTTTTGGTATGCCACTTGTTCCGACCATTAAACCTTTCACTTTTTGTAACTTGACTTCTCGCCGCAGTTTCAAAATAGCTGCAGAGGGACGATCGAATAAAGATCTTGGTATGTTAACCATGTCATCCTTTCTAACTTTTTGCTTGCGAGTTGTGGTGACAGCTGTAAATATTATAAAACAAGGTAGTTAATTTTCTGATAAAAAAAATTGCAAATGACCACAAAATTTAAAAACTCCTTAATTTTCAATAGATTATTATAAAATTTTTTTTTTTGAAATATCAGTAGGCTAACAAAAATTTTTTTTTACGTCATACTGTAGTTCATATTATACTTTTTAACAATTTTAAAATTTACAAAGAAATTAATCAAAAAATGTCTGAAAATAAAAAAATTTAGAAAATTTGAGGCACAAAAATTAGGTATTTAAGTTACTAGATTTTACTTAAACATTATTTTAATACTACTTAAACAGTAACTTAAATATAAAAAGTAATAAATTTTTAAAGCGATAATTCGTAAATTATTATGGGAAAATATGTAACAAAAAGAATTTCTAAATTAAATATCATGATAAAATGAATAGCAATCATTAAATTTTCTTCAACACATTAAAAGAAACACTGTTTCTTCTTAATTTAAATGTAGAGAACATTTTGAATAGTAAGAAATCCTATCTTAAAGAAAAAAGAAATGCGGTGTAAGTATATATAACCAATAAAAACACTATTTTATAATATAAAGCAGCAACAAAAAATTTTGGACTTTCAATTTCAATTATTCTTTTAGTATTCTTTTTTTTAAAAAAAAGAAAAATGAAATAACGTGCATTATTTATTTTTCAGAACTAACTAAAATCAAGGCTTTTAAAATACTTTTGACAAAATTTTATGATTAGATTATACACACCACTGTAACTGGATTTTTTATCTGTAGTGTGTATTTTGCTTTTAAAATGAAATAAAACTAGCATAACAGCGCAAATTATATTTATTTTTCAATGAATATGCAAGATGATAGAAAATTTGTAAATATAAGAAAAAAAAACTACATTCAACTTGTACATTTTTAACCTCATAACTTAATTTTTAAATTAAAATATTCCGCTTCAGACAATATAGTTTTCAATCGATCAGCAGTGGTGCCACTTTCAATTAAGGCGAAAACAGCTTTGATTGACTTAAGCATAAAATGTTAAGTTTAAGGGACATAATTTTATATGTATGGTGTTTTAAGTAGACTAGGTACTTTAATTAAAAATGTTATATAGCTGTATATAATTGTACAGTGTTCTCATTCTTATTTTTTTCTGTTCTAATATTAGAAAAGCAGCATACAATATTCATATTTTTCAAAAATGCAATGAATCCCTCATTAAAAAAAAAAAGCAATGTTCACAAAACTGTTGGGTCAGAAAAATAAGTATAGAGACTTACACAAATGATTAATGCTTTTAAAAAAAAATATGTACCAGAAATAACAGGATCAATTTTCTGCCTTTTTGCTTCCTTTTTGATAAAAACAGGTGGTAATCTTGCTTCATGCATAATTGATGGTTCATACCAAAAGGCAACACTATAGTCAATGTAAAGATCATTTTCATTTGTTGGTGGTGTAGGTGGAGCCCACAACTAATTAAAAAAGAGGAAAGTACATTAGTAAAATCGGAAAATTTAAAAATTACGTATATTTTATTTAAACTTTTGCAATCATAAAAGAATTTTTTTTATGTGGACTATTATTATGAGAACTAGGGATGTAACGAATATTCAGCAAGTGTTATTTGGAAAATAATTTTTCGCCAAAGTGCTTTTTGGGGACATTTTAATAAATTTAATAAAAAATAATCTAAAATTTCATTTTTTTACTATACATTGTTAGAAATAATTTTTTTAGCATATTTGTTAAGTTCTAGAACTTATTAATTTATATTCTGAAAGATACATGGAAAAGTGAAATTTGAAGAATTGAAACTAGACTACTTTGTAATGAACCACAAGTTTTGTAATGCTGATTTTTTCTTTTTTTAAATTTATAATCAGGCAAATCAATTTCATCATTTTTACAACTCTTTATGCTTCAAAAATTGATAACATTTCTTTGTATCATTTTTGTTTGTTTTTCTGTTTTAACTAAAGCGGAGACATGTTTCTTATTGAGTTCATTCTCACTTTTTTTACGATCTGTACGTAAGACAGATGACTAGTAACATAGAATACTGTTATTCTCAATGTTAAAGTTATATTTCAGAACTAAAAAATACTTTTTTGGGTTTCTCATTTGATTTTTTCATGAATTTTTTTTAAAATCGGATTTTTAATATGATAGACTTTTTAAAGAGCGTTTCTAATGAACATTATTCTTTTATGGTCACTTTTTTCTAATACTACGGCAATGTGAAAAATTCAAACTAAGATTTTTAGGGTTAAATCTTTCATTCACAAATTAAGAAGGATTTTTGTTTTGATTTTTATTTATCTTTTTCCTTTTTAAAAACATTGATTCTTATCAATGCTTTTTTTTATTATGACGCAGCTATTAAAAGGGTTTGTATTAGACTTTGATCTTCACTCTTCTCCTGAAAATATTATAATTGGAAAACTGAAATGTTTAGCTTTAAAAAATCAAGATTGATCTTTATTTTTTCTGTATATATTATTATTTTTTTTATAGGCGTTTTTATGATAGGGCTGCATTTTTAACAGGGTTTCATCTCGTTTAATGTTTTATGAATAATTTTTTTCTGGAAAATATTATTTTTAGCATTAAATTTTGTTTTAAGAATAATAGGAATTTTTTTTTAAATAATTTTTTTCAACTTTACAACTTCACAGTTTTATATATATAAAATAATAGCTGTTAGTCAGCTTTTTTTTATTTAAATAATTATTTTAATATCTAATTATTTTTATTTTTGTAAACATTTATATTAAAGTTTTTTTTTCTCTTTACCCCATACCAATAATACAGCTAAGTTTTGAAATAATGACTAAACTTATTTCAACATAAATATTTTTATTGATTTTTTTTTCTTAAATTTTTTTTGGCCGAATATTCAGTACTTGGGGAAAAAGTACTGAATTATTTACAAAATTGAAACAATTTGCTTTTATTGATAAAAAAACTTAATTAAAAAAAGTCATACAGACTTATTTTTGTATTACTATTGATATATTTTTGGAGATTCTATTTTACAATACTTTGATCTGATATCTCACTGTCTTTCATTATTTTTCAATGAAAAAAATTTTTTACGCATTAACTACCAATTGAAAAAAAAAAAAAAAAACACTATACTTTATTGCAAGTTAAGAGAAAACCATTGATTATCCTTACAGAGAGAGCCTGTTTGCATTTAAGAGCACACAGGGACCCGTTAAGACAAATTCTGGCCCAAGGCCCACAAAATTTTCCGGCCCCTAACAAAATGTTTTGAGAATAAATTTTTGAAGCGTAGTCCTAACAGTAAAAAGAATCTATTGAACTGCATGGTTCAAGAAAAACATTCTAAAAAATTTTGAAAGCAGACAATTCAAGATTATTTTTCTAAGATAAAGTTTATACATCTAAATATTAAAGCAAAATATAAAATGTCGTGTGAAAATAAAAACAATTTGGTGACCACAAACAATTGAAATCAGTGAGTTTCGCTAAAAGTCACTGATTAGCTGAATTATTTTACAGATTGTAGCCTTCTATCTACAACTTTACATATATGTTAAGAATAAGCTTTTAGTTCTTGTTGACACTAATCATTTATCAGAGACTTTGCGAATATGCATTCTCATTGCAATTACTTAAGCCGTTGGAGTAAAAATTGCACCGATTAAAATTCAGCTGTACTTTTGAATTTGATTAGTGCAATGTTTGCACGAGTTTGGTTTATCGCAATATAAAGAAAATTTGAAATAAAAAAATGCCTTTTTTGAGAAAAACTAATTCTTTCAGAATTTAAAAAAAAAGTAATATTGTGGACTTTTTGCCAATTTTTGAGGCCCCCCAGAAAGTGTAGGCCCAGGCCTATTGGGAGTAGGCGATAATCAGGCTCTGACACGCTAAATGGATGCCAAGTTCCCAGCCTAGATGAATATCAAAATCGTCAACTCTTGAAATGACGTAGCATGCCCTTATTTTTGCTTATAAAAAATAGCATGAACTAAATTTCTGTCCGACGAGTGTAACTTTTAAAAGCTTGTATATTGTTTTAAAAGCATAATGATATAAATTGATAGCTAAATAAAACGGAACTATGCGCAGTCTTGGATGATTACATAAATCCTATACCGTATGTTTTCTTAACTTGCAACGGAGTATAATTACTGATAAAAATAATTTAAGCTCAAATAGCTTATCACACTTACATCACAAGATGAGTTTTGAAAAATTGTTAATTTACAATAAAATTCAATTCGGTTGTAGTGAAAAAGTAAAGCTTGAAATAAATAATTTTCCTTTCCCAATTTTTTCATTATAGCTCTTTAATTTTTGGTCCAATATATTATAGTACTAAAAATTGCTTATAGTCAAATTCTGACATTTTTTCTTTATTACTAATAAACAAGAACCTACCTAATAAAAAAATATATTAAAAGAAAAAACAATATATTTAAAAAAAAGACACATTTCAAGTCTAAAATTTTTTACAATGTGAAATCATTTATATTTTTAATTAACAAGTTTTAGCTGTTGTCACAACACAATTCTCAAAGTTTCTTATATTGTCTGGTCAGCTTCAATATATGACATGTTTTCTAAAATATTACAGCCCAATAGTTAAGGAAAAAAAATTAGGAATGACTTAATACTTACCGGCATTTCTTCTTGACCATTGACAGAAAAATATACCTGGAAATAAAAATAAGTTTCTCAAATTTTAAAATGAATTTGAATAATAAGTTTTTAAAAATACAGAAGCATACTAAGAGGTGGGACGGGAAACAGTGAAGGGGTTTAGAATGAACTTCTTCAAAAATATGAATAAAACTTGAAAACATGCTTTTGATAGCGTTGAAATTATTATTATTTTTTTTTTTAAATTTTATCGATTGTTATTAACAATTTTTTTACTATTTTTTTAATTTAACAATTTAACTGATTAGCTACTTAAGCAAATTAGTACAAAAATTTCCCTAAAATTGCCCTAAACTCTGGAAAATAAAGATTTGTTTGATTTTTCAATATGTTATTTAATAGGAAAAAGGTGTTTAGAAGTATTTTAATATACTTAGCTCATGGTCAAAATATACTCTAGGGGATAAAATAAGGTATTTACGAGAATTGAGCAAAAAGCTGGAAAAGGAGGAAATGCATACGAGAAGAAAAAAGTTTTAAGAACATGCGTGTAAACAATTAAGATGCAATTTTTTTGTGTGCAGTAAATTTATAGACAAACAATATTTTTGTTTAAATGTTGCTAATTTAATGGATAAAATTTAATTCACGTATACAAATGTAACATCGCAAAAATGGAAAAAAATTTATTAACCAAATCTGACATTGATTTTTATCAAATAATATTTTGCGCCTTGATATAAATTTTATTAAACTTATAATTTAAAAAATATTCACTAATATAATAGAATATCATAAACAAAGATTTAAGTTAAAGTATTAAAAAATAATGCAAAAATAAATGAAAAATTTAGTAAAATTGGATAAGAAGCTCATCTAAATTTACAATCGTAACAAAAACAAAATTGGAAAACAATCCTCTAGTTAACCACTCCACCCAGAAAATTCAAATTTTTAGCACTTGTCTTTAATCTTTATTAATCGATTATTAATCGATAGATTTATTAATCGATAGACCTTTATTAATCGATAGATTTAAAGTTCGATCACAGTTGCTATCATACATTTCTAAAAGGGCAACATAAAAATTATTGGCTGGGTAGCTTTTTAATTATGAGCACTTTTTCTTCATTACCAACACTATCCCTTAATCGTTACTAAAATACATAAAAAGGAACATATTAATATTTATTACTTCATATAATTTCAGCCACTTTAAAGCACTGCTATGAGTCACAGTTCGATTGGCTAAACATATGGTTTCCAAAGCAAATTAGTGAACAATCTTCTTCTAAATTGTTTTGAAATATTAAAATTATCAGCACCTTAATTGTTATCTATCAATAGATTTAAAGTTTTATTTTGATATAAGGATGATAGGAAATTTGTGACTCACTTGAACAGATTTTGAAAAGAAAATATTAAGGGGATGGGAATTAAGAGAAATATAAAATATTCTCATGCTTTTAATTAGAATTTAAAAAAAAAACGGTGAACTAGTTAAATCTTACTAAACTGCAAGAGTTATTATACATTCTGAATCTTAACGAAAAAAAATGGGATATTTTACTTTGTTGCTGTATGGGAAGAGCAGATTCAAATTATCAATTATTATCCAAATTATCATAACAGTTCATTTATCTTAAATACGAGTATTTAGGACTTCCATAAAATTGTATATTGAGAAAGTGATTTTAAAAGAGAAAAAAAATGACAATGTATTTTGAATAACTTTATGTTCAAGAGCTTTTTCTTTAAAAAAAAAAAAGACTATTGACTAATCATGTAAAACTAATTTTTTTTTCTGAATTAATTTTGACCGCAGCATATTAATTAGTTTTATTTTAACTCTATGTAAAATAAACTTTTAAACATTTCCCCCCAAAAAAACTGCTTGTACAGTGCAGATAATGGCAAAACACTTCTTACATGCAATATTTGCTGTTGTTTCAAAAATCATTCAAATATGTTTTAATGTATATTAAAATAGTGAGGCCTTTTCAGCAAACCTTTTTTATAACACCTAACTGCTACTACTGATCAATAAGGTAAAAAAAAACTAATATATCAAGATTCTTTTTTCAAAATATTTTTACTAAAGGTAACATTCAGACAAATGATAAAAAGATTTTTTGTACTTTTTTTTTAATTATTGAATATGAAACGATTTTAGTAGAATAAAACATCTTTAATGTAAAAATTTTCATTTTGTGAGAACTTAAATTCATTCAAAATAAAGTTTAGAAACGTTCTGAATTATATTATGACACCTAGAGTTGACTCCAAGCAAATTTACAGTGAAAACAACCTACTTTGTAACCAACACAAACATTTTTTTAGTGAAAAACAGAATTATTGAGAGGGCCCTTTCTTTTTATCATCCCGCAAAATATGCACCTAATTAAAATTACCCTTTTTTGCAATTTTAAGCAAAATAGAGTTTATTTTAAACAAACAACTAAAGGGCAAAACTGAGAAATTTATCTGGTGGCACTGGTCACTAGAGGCAAATTTGTTCATGTTCACTTTGTGCATTAAAAATACCTTAATATTAAGAAAGTTTGCTTGAGCAGTGTTAATGCAGTAGATAGAGCTTTCGCCTTTCAATAAGGTGAAGAGGGTTCGAATCCCAGCGATAGCTGGTCGACAGGAATTCTGGACCCGGCTCGCACCGACCGCAGTCTTTAGGCTAACCGTGCAAGATTTTTCACTCCATGTAACGCAAATGCAGGTTAGTTTCATCAAAATTTCTCCCAATATTTGATCCAGGAGTTCCCTTGTTTTCTGGATTGGGAATAAAATTACAAGGCACAGTTGAACGTTACGAGGTGAACATTAGTAGTCATAAATCCGAAATTGGGTGGGCTGCTCAAGGACGGTTATAAAATAAGTTTGCGTTGAAATTGTTATCAAAATAAACTTAACTAAAATATCATTATTGCATAATTTCTAGAAACAATTATAAGCACTAGATAATTCACATTTAAAAAGAATATTTTCATTTTGATGATTTAAAATTGCTATACTAATTTTAATATCCATAATGCATACTCTTATGTACATTATATGGGTGCATTTCCAGGAAATAAGGAGTGGTGAGAATGAGGTGTCAAATGACAAAAAGAGGCGGTGGCGAATGATAGTGATTTTCTTGATGGCCACTTTACTTCATTTAGTCATCACATGGTGACCACTAATCTTGCTTATACCTTCCTTATATTTTCACTATTAGTTAAATATTTTTATCCCTGATGATATAATTTGACAAGGGGGGGGGGACAGTATAAAATAGGCAAGCCATAGAAGGAAAATCCCATCACTAAAAAAATCTTTAATCTTAGACAGTCATTCCAAGAAAAGGTACCCTAAATTTGAAAGAGTTGTTGGCTAGAAAAAGATTCAATACTGCAAATAAAAAACTTAAACACTTGCAGGAAAAGACCAATACTTTTCAGTTATAAAATAATGTGTTATAAATGGCAGTTATTTATAAATTTAAACTCAGTTTTAAAGTCCACTCCCTGTTTTTTTTATTTTTCTTGAAAATTCTAAGACAAGTGGAATTACTCGGCATTTTTTTTCTTTTGTAATACTGAGCTTATTTTTAGTTTTTAAGTTGAATCATTAACACTAATTGTGAGAATTAAAGAACTATACCATTAATTGATTATTTATTTTTTATTGTTTAACATGATGAAGATAAAAATTTTTTCAACATGGTAACTTAATCTCAATAATTTATTTAAAAAAAATTCTTATTTTTTTCTAAATCTTTTCCAACATTTTAACTTTATCTTAAATAGTGCAACAGTTTGAATAATCTTTTATTTATAAAAATCACTAACAATTGCAAGCAAATTTTAAGATGTTGTTAGTGCTAACTTACGTAACAATCAGAAGCATTTTATTTATGCAATTTATTATTTAAAATTTTTAAATGGAAACATAGTTTAACATCAACAGTAGTTTAAGATTTCATCCCTAACTTTCTGTAACTTCTTCATTAAGGACATTACACATACAAATTAGTTCTAAACAACTAGAAAAATATCAGTATTTCAAGAATTTTTATTTTTTCTAGTTTGTGCTGTTAAAGAAAAAGATAATTTCAATAATTCTGTTAAAAAGAAAAAAATACATATTTATGTTAAAAATATGCAGGCATTTCCTACCATTATGAATTTCTTTTTGTCAATAATAATGTATAATTAAATAATTGTTTTCTCAGAAGAAAGAGGGTAGCTAGGTTTTTTTCTCAAAGGATGTTACAAATATTTTAAAATACACCATTCCCATATTATTTATTAAAATTTAAGTATTAAAAAAACATTTACGTAATTAAACCTGCTTTATGGTATTCAGACAGTACGATGGGTGGGAAAAATTTATATTTTCTAACATTAATACTAGCTTAGAATTTTAAATCTTTTTAAACAAAAAATAGTTTAAAAGCCTACATTAAAAAACTTTCTACAACTGAAAATTGTTATCTCACTTTACAAGAACAATAATCTGCCAAGAATTAAAATTACAAACATTCCTACATTTAATGATACTTTTACATAGAATAGCAAATTAATTCAAGGCTCACTTGAGTTACAGTATTGGAGATTATAGCATTAATTTTTATTAGATTTTTTAAAAAATAAATATATTTATTTAAGGTTTTTATAAGAAACTTTAATGATTCAAATTCTGGTAGAAAAAGTGTTCACTTCCACAATAGCCAGTCACAAATTATAAGAAAATAACTTACCTTTCACAAAACCATGCGATCGATAAAAACATGATTTGTTGGGGTAAAAATAATTTGTAGGAAAGAAAAAGGATTCAAGAAGGATTTATTTAACCCTAAATCACAAATTATGCAATTTTGAAAAAATATATTCATTGTAATTTAAAAGGAAAATATTATTTTCTTGCCATGATTCTGAAGAAAGCATGGATTATCTAGTCTTAAACTTTTAGACAGAAACATTTCTTAAGATTGAACGAAACAAAAAAATTGGGGAGGGGGAATATAAGGAAAAATTAGTTGCCAGATGTGCTGAAAATTAAACTGTTTAAATAAGTAGGAAAAAAAAAGATCCTCTGTTTTATAACAAATATTAACTTAGTTGGTATCCTCATGGTGCTATTGTATGCAAGTAAAATTAAAAAGGATCCTTACATGATTCTGAAGTTAAGTAGATAAGATATCAAATGGTTTACAAAATGAGAGCCTCCTAGTATATATTTGAAGATATCCCAATAGATTGTTTTTTTTTTTTTTTTAAAGTGGACCACACATAAAATTGCTTGAATGTAATGTGCCAGTTTGTGGCAGAAAATTAAAAATTAACTCCTTAATTTCTGCGACAAACCTGGATACCACGAGTTAAATTTGAGGTAGAATTGAAACTTCTTTTTATACACTAAATATTTATAATCAGTTGTAAATAGGCAATTATTTAACCAAACCTTAGTTTACTAAGCAATAAATTTTATGTGCAGTTAAAAAATGAAAGTAAAAATTATTAAAATTAGCTTGCTATTTATTTAACACTTAGTTCCTGCTTTTAATATATTTGAATTTAAACATAACTTTGTGTAACAAACTAATAGTTATCATTACTTTCGTAAAGTCTATAAAAATGTGTTTTAGAAAATTAAGAATAGATAAGGATTAAAATTTCACAATTTGCTCTCAGCTGCCAGCATCAAAATCATAATAATTTTAATACTAATACTTCTGGAACTATTATTAAATGCAACTGGAAGATTTATTTTTGAATTAGCTTACATGAACAATTAATTTGTGAATTTTAAAAATTGGTTTAAATGTTTTCACTATTAATCTATAAAATTTGTTATTGTAGAAATAAAGAAGTTGCTCATAATTTAATTCTTAAATTAGATTTTATATACTATAATCATTGTTTAGTACTTAGATGTAGTGCTGATGGCAAAATTTTTTGCATTGATTTTGAGATTTATCATGTGCGATTCAATAATAAACTATGATTTTAATTGCCTTTTTATCTCCATATGTCGACAATTACCAGTCCAAGAAAGAAAAAAATTATATTTAGCAAATGTTTCAGACATAAACCAAAGAGGTATAGGAATGATGACATTTTTCAGATATTGGTCTTTCAATAGTAATTCATGCATGCAATAAAATAAACGTAAATTTTTTTTAAAAATCAGGTTTGCATAGTATAAGTGAAATTAAGATATGAGCAACATCTTTAATGGCTAACTGATCTTGCTCTAAAAATGCATCTCATTTTTCTTGGTAGAGAATGAAGGCAGGGTTTGGTGCCAATTAGATATTAAAAGAAACACAGATTGGAGTTAAGATATCAGTAAGGCGAGTTAATTTTATGTATGAAGCTTTTGATATTTTATTCCATTAGGAAGGCACAAAAAAAAATAAATAATGCAATTTAGGAAAGTGTGTCTACCAGGAAAGAAGCATTTTCGAGCAAGAACAATTTTAGTGAGTGCCAATTATTTATATATAGATCGTGTTAACTATACCTGCTCGTTTTTTTATTTTAAGAAGTGCGACAATAGCTATTACTTAAGTAACAGTGGGAAAACACCTGTTCTTTCTAAGTCAACCGAGGATAATGCTGAATTGACACCAAAACTTTTCCTGAACCAACATGAAGTTATGTGATAAGACCAAGAAAAATGAGACACAAGAGACACAGCAAGTTGTAGATTTATTGAATAATGGACAGTTCATTTTAAGAATTTTATACAATATTTTAAATAACATCTCTAGAGTATTTTAATTCATTGATCACAATTTTGAGGTCGTCTTTAAAAAATAACTTTCTAAAATACTTCAAAGGTGAAATGAACGTGTAACGAAGTCGATGACAACACATCTTTAAAGCAGCCACATAATTATAATAGCATTCATAAAAACAACACATGTCGCTCTTTTAAACCACAAAACTCACAACATATTTGGTCTAAACACACATCAATTTTGATTCTATTTACATTCTTAGTGAAAATAATAAAATACATAATGAATGTTAGGTATTTGGACTTTCATTTAATTCTGATGAAACATTACAATCATGGTTCAAGGAACTATTTGTTTTTATTTTGTTACTAACATAACTAGAAGGGGAAGAAGAAGCAGATGAGCATGCTATGTCATCTTTAAAGGAATCCTTCTTATGTATATTTAAAATAACATTATTTACAAGTTTGGGGCTAGGTACAGACATCTCCGATTCACTCTCTGCTTCAATAGCAGACGCACGTCTCGTTCTAATCACTAAATTTGGATTAGAAAAAGGTTTAATAATAAGCGGACTTTGGGTAATTTTAGAATTACAATTCCTATTGCTATTCAAATTACCACTTTTGGCAACAGACAATTGTTTTCTTAGTCTTATATCACTATTTCTGGGGCCATTAATTATACCACGCATATTGACACGATCAGACCTGCCAACGGTCTCCTTAATTTCTGAGTCATTTGATTCATCACTTTCGGCAGCATTACCATCCAATCTCTCCTTTTTAGTTATTATTCTTTTGCTCCTTCTCTTGGGAGACTTACTGCTAGTTTGGGAAGAGTTAAGGGAGTCCCTGGCTTTATTACGTTTAGATCGAGAAGATCTATTAACCTGGTTAGCAGCTTCTCGACTGTAAAACAAAGGCGAGTCATCATCACCGAATCTCCTTTCCTCTTCTTCTTTCAAAGCTTTTAGATGACCCAATTCCCAATCCTTCTTCTGAGCTTCGATTTCTTCCTGTAAAAATTTTTTTATAAAGAAAATTAAAAATGACAGGAAGATTAAAGCAAATCAAAATACAGACCAATAGTAATATTTAATTGAAAAACACTTAATTGAAATATGAATCTACTTTTTTACAAGGACCATGCCTGAAACTTATTTAAGAAGTAAATTTAATACTTTCTTTAATTCAGCATCCCTAATTCAAAATCTTTGAAAGCTACATAAGAATAGAATTAATAGAATGGTTTGCCATTTCTTTAATAAAACATTTATTCATAACCCCCATGCCCAGAATCCCAGTCGATACGAATTCCGCACCCGGCTTGCACCGACCACAGTGCTGACGTGAAATATCATCAGTGGTAGACGGATGTGGGTTAGAGTCCCCTCGCTGTCAGGCTAACCACGGGAGGTTCTCGTGGTCTTCCTAACCACGTAACCCAAATGTGGGTTAACTACATCAAAAAATTCCTGTACGAAGGCGAATTTCTCTCAATACTCGATCTAGGAATTCCCTTGTCTTCTGGATTGGGTTCAAAATTACAAAGCTGCGAAATTGAACATTAGTAATCATAAACCGATAAAATTGGGTTGGTTGTTCAACAACAGTTACAAAATAAAAAACCCACCACCATAATTATCATTGAATGAGTTTTGATTTCAAATCCTAAAATTATAAAGGTTTTGATTATATTTTAAATTTATAACCCAAACTGCTTAGTCAGAAGAGCAGCAAAAAATAGTCTTCCTAAATAACAATTTAACTATTTTGCCTTACGCTATCTCCAAAACTATTTAGGTTTTGTAATGCTCCAAAGGAAAAATCTAGACATTTTTTGGGACAGTATACTAAATTACTTTTAAATAAAGCTAACGGTAAACTAAATAAAATAGTATTAGCTCTACTTAAGTGGAATAAAAGCAAATTTTATCAAGAAAAACAAACATTTACTATTTTTAATTTCTGAATTACTTTGTTTAGAACAGAAAGTTATAATAGAATCCAGTATAATTTCATCAATACTGAACAACTCATAGTTTCAAATCGATGTATGGGAAATTTTTTTATAGTACATCTGCATTAAAAAGCCACCAGTCTTGTTTATTTACAAATTTATATTTGAATTCAAGATTTCTTGAATGAAATAATTTTAAAGTAGAGATTCAATAATTTTGAAATGAGAACACAATGAACATGCTACATACAGGGTATCTGCTATATTTTAGATTTTCAAATTCATGACTTTTCATGACTCATTCCGAGAATTTTTCATGACTTAACGAAGTTACAATTTTCTCTTACAAAAACACAAATGTAAATTTAAAAAAGCATTATAATAACATTAATTGAAAAGATGGGTATAACCAAAACTGATATACTATGCATCTTCATATTTACAGATATTAAATTTAGAAAACAGAGTAAAGGAAGAGTTGAAGCCATAAAATAGCAGGGGGGAAAATACAAAAGCAAATAATTTTCTTTTTCGTTTTTTTCTGCAGAATTTTATTCTAAAGAAAATTTTCATGTTCATCAGAAGAGAAAGAAATACTCTAGATTTTTCTGTCCTCATTTCTGAATTAAAAATATTCACCAATGACTGGTTTACTTCAGCTAGAATTTCAAATTAATAAAAAATAAATAATAAAAATTCTTAAATCACAGAAGTTTAAAAGATAATTCGTTTTAGAAATGTTTTTTCTTTCATTTTTTGAAAGAACACCATCATTTTTAAAGAACATGATGAAAACATTTTATATTCTAATAAAATATGACTGTGAGTGATGATTTTGTTATGAATTCAGATATTCGTAACAAGATGAAATTGGGGGGGGGGGATTCCCTTTTGAAAATAAGATTTCGGCAATCTAAATCCATGACTTTCCATGATTTTTTTTAAAAAAATAGTTAAAATCATGACATTTCATGACAAATTTTGTTCCAGTTGCACGGATACCCTGTACATAACACTCTTGTACAAAAGTAATTCTAGGGAATGATCCTTTAATTCATCATTCAAAAATTCTATGATATGATTACTTTATTGCTGATTGGAATCAAATATCTTTAAAAACATACAAAAAAGACGAATCAATAATAATGAAATTACAAAAGTACACCCTACATTACTGATTTTCTTATGATAATAAATTAACGTGTAACTGCTGAATTCATCATTACAAAAATTATAATATAAAATTATTACTGAGGTTTCTTTTTTATAGAATGAACAACGCGCATGCTGTCGATAAGGCTATATGCCTGAACCATGTATATAATTAGTAGACAGTTCCTAAACTGGAAAATCACCAATATATAAAATAAAACGACACTGAATCGGTTATTCAAATTTTCAACATTTTATGTTCAAATTTTCAACATTTCTGAATATGCACAGAAATCAAGGAAAAAGCTAAAAATCTGAACAAATACAAATGCTGTATCTATAAAACCATTTATATAAAGATTAAGTAGATATATATTTGAGAATTAATATTTAATATCAGTCAAAAATATTTTATGAAATTGTCTGGTTAACTTTCGAAAGTTTTTAAAGTATTTGTAATTTAAAAGGACAAAATTAAAAATTTGACTGGAAATGGAAAAGTATTGAATTATAAATTTTTCAGCACTGCAAAAAACAATCTTTGGCTTCTTTTAATTTGTTTTCTAGATTGTTAATGTTTATGAATGGGCAAAAATGTGCAAAGCCTATGAAATGATCAGTATCGTCAATAATGGAAATGAATCTAGTGAAGATGAAGACAGTAACGATGAAAATAAACATATAAAAATCTCTCATACAGATGGACTAAAAGCAATCGAAAGTACTATTGAATATATAGGACAAGAAGAGGCGACACCAGCCTTTCAGTTAACCCTTAAGAAAAATGGCAAAGCATTGCTGCAGAAAAGTGCCAAAGTAATGTAAAACAAATAGCTATTAAGAACTTTTTTAGGCGAAAACTCTTTCATCCTCGTAAAGTATGCTCTTTAATTATAATATGAATTGTATGTGGCATACTCGTATAAATTTTGTATTTCTTTAATATACTACATTTATACCTACTCTTTTTCGTTCCTTTTTTTATACTCTTCGCTTCAACCGAGTTTTTCGGTTATCCACGTTAGTCGTGGTTCACATTAACTCAGATAATCGGACATTTGGGGGGCCCTACTGTATGTATACACACACAAACATAAAAAATTACATTTAATAGTAATTTAGAACCCCAAAAATGATGTGCCACATGCTTTCCTGTTCAATAAGAGCTAAACATAAATTTATAAATTACCTCTGCTAATTTCAGCTGTTCCAAGCCTACAGGTTCTTGTAAAGATTCCAAAAATTGCACAGCATATTTTTCAACTGGAGTAAGCTACAAATAATAAAAATTATGTAATTGAAATTATAATCCAATCAGAATCGAACATAATAGATTCATTCGCTACATTAGATAAGATGCTAAAAATAACATTAAAAAAATCATTCATCAGAATAGATTAGTTTTGAAGAAAACTTCTAAATAAGCAAATTTAGTGATTTGCTATTGTTTAGACTGTTTGTGCCTACACATCTTTCAAGTAAATTGTTATTTGACAGGTCTTTGTATATAAGCCTAATTGAAACCTAACTGCCCGAAAGCACTTGACGACACAGAAGGATAGGTAGGATTACAGTCTTTTCTAACTATATCAAACGGTTTACATGCAAATCAGTTAGGTCCACATGTTCCATAAGGTACTAAAATATGCAATGTAAAAAATCTTATCCTTTCTTGATTACATAAAAAAAATTAGATTCTTTGAATTAAAATTTTAAATTTTTGTACAAAAAACCGCTGAAATTATTTTATGACATAACTTAAAATAATTTCACATACATAATTTTAAGATATTCATGAAAATAAATTACCTGTTTCATAAGTTTATCAAGCTCTTCCTCTGCAGGAGATTTATCATCAATTTCTCTACCTTCATTATCTAATGGAATGGATTCATCAAATTCAGCTAATTCAGCCACCGCTTCAGCACAAGCAGTTTGTGCAGCCTTTTTATCCGATTCATCTTCGGCCAATCCAAGAGCCTGAGGGGAAAAGGAACAGAAATTGAAAAACAAACTACAATCAACAGCCATATCCTCTGATTAATTTTCTAAGTGCAGTTAATATTTTATTATTTTGAAATTGTACCAAACATAAGTTTGTAAGCTAACCTGCTAGATTGCCAGATTTTGTGAGCCAAAATAGCTGGCAGTTTGGATGGGGTTTGCACTGTTTTTAAAAATACTCCATATTTTTAACACAATATTATTTTATTACCTCAAATTACAATAATTTAATAGGAAATTCATGCGGTCCTGTAAATTCTTTTTTTGACATTACAAGGCTACAGATGGTTTTAAAATTTTGAAAAACTATGCATTAATACCATGCTAAACACTGCCTTTGAATATGTATTCCCTTTCTGAAATACTCGATTTAGAACAATTTCTTCATAAATCCCTGCTTATTGTTGTCAATGGGGCCGGGCTCGTGCAGTAAATGGTGACTGGTGCACATAAAACCCGATAGGTCAGGAAGTCCTCCATGTTTCAAAATTAATCATACCCCTGAGGGTACTGAATAGGAGATTGAACCTTGTCTGGTTCAGGTCAAAATTACGGCCGGTGGATGCATTGCATGCATTGAAACTAATTTGAAGGGTGCAAGACTTTCCAGCAGAATATATTATTACAAGAAAAGAAACTGAATAAATAAATTTAACACAAAATTGAAAATGCTGCAGAATTAATATATAGGTTGATTAAAATATTTTAAAGCAGAAAATGTGTCATTTATGTCAATGAACTTGATGTATTTTCAAAGAAATTTTTACTATTTAAGAGGTAATTATTTTTTTCATGCAACAACATAGCAACGAAGAACTTTAATTTATGCTTTGAGCGCACCTACTAAAACTATAAGTATTGTCGCTTTGAGTGAATGATCAAAATCAAAGCATACAGCTGCAATGCAGTTAGATCACAGCTTTTAAGATTAATGTAAGCTAACTTCAAAAATTTTTTTTCTTTCTTCTGTACAAACTTTTTTTTAAACTAAGTGTAAAGTTGAAAGCACTATAGGCTTTAAAAATACCTGTTCTAATTGAGTCTGTGAGAATTCTTCAGGAGATGACTCAGCAACATTTTCTTCTACTTTTTTCACTACTGAGAGAGATTTATCCACCTCCTCTGACATACTGATACCAAAAAGCTCATGAATAGTATTCTGTGAAAAAGAAACCCCATTATTAACTCTTTTATAACTTTATTAAATTTCAAACTAAAATGATTTTTAAAAAATGGTACTAATGAACCTACCTTTTTGAAAAAAGCTGTGTTAAAGTTTCCACCTTCAATGGCAAGATCCCCCAACACTCTCTTTTGATTAGCTTTCCTCAAAATATTTTCTTCGATTGTTCTTTCACTAATTAATCTATGAAAAAATAATTAAGTTTTTAAATAAGAGCATTATTAGAACAGAAGATTGCCCCAGATTAAAATTTAATAATCACACCAATGTAAAATTCGATTCGAGGAACGATTCTCAAAAAAGCTTTTAATATGTTTATCATAAAATGATCGAAGTTGTCACCTATAGTACCAATTAATAATTGTTTTAACCATGTAAAAAAATTTCATTATTTTTAAATGACGCTTCAACAAATGCTAGTCCATTCAGACACCATCTAAATGAGTATTTAAAAGAAAGAAGAAAAAAATGACTGAATGATAAAGATGAGCTCAAATCAATAAAATCAACGTTATTGCAATTTAAATTTTTTCCAGGAATAGTAAAATTTACAGATTTTTGCACATCAGAAATAAGGTTGGTAACCGTTATTTTGCCTTTATCTAGCCAGTTATAGATTTTAGACATTAATATTATTTACTTTCTCTCAAACTGAATCACAATAGAATTTTAAAGTTATCATAGGGAATAGGGTTATACAGTTAATGCAAATGTTGCAAGTTTCGCGGTCGCCAAATCAAACTCCTTGACTTTTCTTGGTATTCCAGGTAGAGTAGCAACCCTGCCCTCTTTCGAACTGAATCACAATGAAATTTTAAATTTATCATAAAAAAATATTTAGGAAAACTTGTCATAAAACAGCTAATTATACTTATAAAAAAAATCGAACGATAACAAACCTATAAATATGGACGTCCCTCGTCTGTCCAATTCTGTGGCATCGATCCTGAGCTTGTGCATCCATTGTTGGATTCCAATCACTATCATAAAATATCACAGTATCAGCACCAGTTAAATTTACACCAATGCCACCAGATCTAGTAGAGAGGATAAAGCAGAAAATTCGTTTGTCTGCATTGAATCGTTCCATCAAGGCCTAAGAGAGAAAGAAATGTTAACTCCCTAAGAAAAGGGGACACACAAATCAGGGGTGGTTGTGACACATAGTGAAAAGCCTTGAAAATTTTTTATGCAAAAAAAATCTATATCAAGATAACAATTTATATACCAGACATGTTTCACAGTTAACATATTTTTTAAACTAACATTTATAATAAAATTAAATACTAACGAAGAATAATACACCTTTAACTAATTCGAGAAAAAGCTTACGTCTTACAAGAGTTGCGATATGAGATTTTAAAATCCTGTGAAAATGAATTGAGATATTGGACTTTAAAAATAAAAACGAGAAAATACAACGTGCATCTTGATGCATAATTTTTAGATCGTGCGAATACAAAGCACAATATTGGATTTCAAAAGTGTGTAAATACAAATAAAACTAATAGATTTTTAAATTGCGAGAGTAGGAATCGTGACGTACGATTTTTAAATTGAGTGAATACAAATCGCAACACTTGACTTTTTAATTGGGTAAATATGAAAATCATTTAAAGCTTAATGAACACCTATTTAAATGAAACTTGTTAAACTTTTATTAATTTATTATCTTATTAATTTTTTTAAATTTTCATTCTTCATAAAATAAAAATTATTAAGTATCATAAATTTTTACTTTTTCAAAAATATAATAATGGAAATTTAATAATATAAGGTAGAACCCGTAGTTAATGATAAGGCTTTTGATTCATAAAAAAGTGACATTTACCTGTCTTTGCTCCACTTTAGTGTTTCCATCTAAGCGAAGGTATGTATGACCATGATAATTTAAAAATTGTTCTAAAATGTCAAGCATTCTTGTCATTTGGGTAAATATAAGAACTCTGTGGTGGCCAGATTTTAGCTCCCATAACAATCCGGCTAACCTTTGCAATTTTCCTAAAAATAAACAAAACAAAATATAAAAATCTGTCATAAAATTTAAATACAATGGCAATAAGACCAGAGCTTTTAAACCACTGACTTAAAAATCCTGAGAACAACCCATTAATAATGTTAACTTTATGTCCATTAGTACACTACATTATATCTATTCTTTGATTTGATTTAGTACCCAGATTTAAGTTCTTAATCTAAATAAAACTAATGTGTTTTTATATATCATTTGCGACTTGTTGAGATTTTAAAAATTTTTTTGAAGGTCATTTTAAAAAGTTTTTTAATACCTTGAAAGCTAGAGGAAAATAAAAAGAAAGAAATTATGTAGTCTATATGAACCCTAAATAAATAGAACTCGAATGAAATATTTTTACTAAAAATTTTATACTTCAATACAAATAATAGCCCTGTATAATAATAAGATTATTGTACACTCATACAATTTTCTATATGTATATAAAAATTCATCAATATTTGAATATTTTAAAAAGTGCTCCAAATAAATTTTATACAAATAATTTTAAATTTAAAGTATGAAAAAAAAGTTAATTCAAGTAAAGCTAGAATAAACCATGGTTTACTCTGGGTTTATCAAAACTCATTTTTTTTTCTAAACTGAAATAATTAATATTAAACTAATTATTATTATAATCAGTTTTTATCGATGTCAATAACTATTTCTCACTTCTTTATTTCAGCTAATAAATGAGGTAGTAGAATTTGACAACTTATATAACAAAAATAAATTAAGAAATAGCCTTTAAATCAGTTAGTATTTTAATTAAATATGAATACTTTTGATGTTATCAATTTTAGCCTTAAATCATACTTTCATCATTCTTTTTTGCAGAAGTTATTATTAAGAATACGCGCGTAATTTTTAAAATCCTAAAATATTTAATACCATATTATTAAAACATTCCAAATTTGAAAAATGGAAGATTGAACAAATATCTAAAAGAACAAAAATTTACAATATGGTTTTCCACTTAAAACTTTTAAAGAATATTTTTTTTTCATTTGGTACAGAGCCCACACTGTACTATAGAATCCATCTAGTTCAGTAGTAAAACGAGGAGAAATCAAGCAAAGGAGAAGGAAAAAAAGTGTGTGAACAGATAAATAAATATCTAATTAGCGGATTATGGAAAGTTCACAAATTATCTTGAGATTAGCGAAACCTTGAATCTGTAGAAAAATCTCATACTTAAAATTGAATACCAACCGCAATCATATTGAATAAGTCTGAGCTCTGGAAATTGAGTTTTCATGTTACTAACTATAGGATGTAAAAAGGCACTTGCTGGAGATACATAATTAATTAAACGCTCTTCAATCATTCTCTCTTCATTCAATCGCCATGGAGAAGGATGTGAGATATGGATTTTCATAGAAGGGGAAGATACTTTAGGTACAACAAAAACAAATCTACAAAGTAAAGCATATATTACATAAATTCATGACAGTGAAATAAATTTCTATAATTTAGACACATACAAAGCAGAACATGATGATAAAGAAGCATGCTATTTTCTACTTTTAAAAAATCAAATAGAAACCCTGTAAAAGACGTTAGAAATATTCTTTTAGAATTATAGATATTTTTGTCATTTTATTTATTTTTAAACTAATTTATACATAGCTTTATGAAATAATACTGCCGATTTGTTAAGGTCTATATTTTTACCTCTTAAATTATTTTTGAGGGCATTTTTAAACACAAGATGGCTACTCTCCAGACATAACTAAATTTCTATAGATTTTGAGAGTAATATTCGAAAAGCTTTACAAATTTTTCCCTAGTTTTTCAGTGGTATTTTCAAATTCTTTGAGAATTCCAGGTTTTCTGTCTTTCCAGAGTGAGTGCCTATTTCTAGGTATTGAAATGGTTCTTTTCTTTACACTGTTTCTTGATTTTTTCATAGGAAATTCTAGAATTTTCTTTCTAGAGATTACATTTTTGTAAAAATCATTAATACTTATACAGAATTAATACACAGAAACAAACATGTAAAAATACCTGGCATTTCAGCTGAAAATAATTAAGATACCTTATTTTCTGTAAAAAAATCACTTTACATGAGCAAATGGTCTCAAATTAAATTGTTTATTCTATACCTTTATTATATAAACTTAAATAAGTAAAAATGACATAACTGTGAAATTTATTATGTTTGGATTAAAAAATGTCCCGATAATAAAAAAATTCAATATTTTAATAAAATTAGTAATTGGATTCAATAAGAAATTGACAAATTTGAAATTTTCACTTATTTTTATTTATAAAAAAAGGGGCAAGTTCAAGCATTGCAGTACTAATCCACAAATAAAATAGTGCACTAACACTATCTGCTTTCCAGAGGAGAGACGGAAATCGAGCCGCATCATCAGCGCGGAAAAAGATAAGAAAAATATTTTTTTAGGAAAAGAAAAGCAATTTTAAGCTTGTATCTTCATTCACCTTTGGCTGATTCCAGAGGGAGGAAGATGCAACCAGAAATATAATGTATGGGAGTTGGTGTCTATCTCTGCAATTCATTGTCCTCAACCACAATTTTTAGAACACAGTTCTATGAATGTGAAGGCAAAAGTTGACTTTTTTAAACAAGACATATAACTACTCTTGATTGCTAGAAATGCTGAAGCATTAAAGTGTTTCGCAATTCTACCCAACAAATCCTCAATTTTATTTTTTAACACTACTTTGCTTAATAGCAAACAAAAGCATGAAATCCTACTTTTTTGCATAATTTGATAGGGTAAAAAATTCCTTGACAATTCCGGGTTTTGGGTGGAATTACATTTCTCTTCAACTTATTTTAAAACGAATCAGGTATAAACCATTTATTATTATTATTAGTCAGAAATTTTAACAAATTGCAGTTATTAATATACAAAAAGAGATATGAAAAAATAAATGACATACCTATTAATAATTTCTTTTAAATCATCTAGTCTTTCATCAGGAGTTTTGATTATGTTAGATAAAATAGAAGTATGATCCCAATATAGACTAGGGTCATTTTGAGCATTTATTGCATTTAAACAATTTACATATCCTTTTCCAAACCAGGCTGAACCAGTTTGAGGATGTTTTAAACTATTTACAATTGTAACAGCCTCTATTAGATCATCACCATAAATTGGACAAGCTGTGCATCGTCTATTATTAATCTTGGCTAATAACCTAAGAGTATCTTTGCGTTCCTTTTCCCTTTTTGCAGCCAATGATTCCTGTAAAATAAAAAAGGTTATTTATTAAAATGAATTATTAATTTTGGTAAAAATTGATTATTAAATAATACTGGTAAAAGAATTACAAATAGATAAAAACAGATAGAAATAATTAATAAACTTACAATATAAAATATGGATTTCTGTCTCTCAGATATATTGCTTGACGGTACATCTAATTTGGGTAAAGTCTTTGATAAGGAGTGAACAACAGGACCTTTAGCATTTTGTACATGGTTTTGATTTACAGGAGCTATATAAAAAAAAAAGAAAATTTATGAGCATTGCATTTAAATACAAATATAGTAACTAAAAAAAATTAGTAATTTTTAAAATTATTAAACAAATACAGTTTTATTTTGTTGTGTTAGGGTGACATAATTGAGGAATTGACATTGAAAAGGAGATAGGTTAGAAAAAAACAAATTAATTATAGATTTAAACATATCTTTGATTAGAGGTCAAGTGTTGTAAAAGTATTATAGGCATAGTTTGAGTCACTCAGTTTTGGAGTTCACAGAGTTCTGGTAGCAATTCACAAACCTATGAAAATTTGCTTTTTTACTTTCTTGTTAAACTATATTTTTGCCATCAACTTAAAAGTCAACTTTTCAATTAAAGTTGACATTAGAACAATTTGTAACTCTACGTTTGTGCAGGATAGACAGATAAAATGACCACACAAAATACATTGTAGCACAATAAGTTTCACTATTTGCATAAACAAAATAGCATCTCAACCCTGAACACATTATGGATTATTATCACTTCATAAAATCAGCAACTCTCACACACAAAAAAATTTTAATAAATTATTTTTAAACTTAGAAATCAAGACATTATAAACAACATTGTTTTTAGAAAAGAAAATAATGTTTTACTTAATTTTGACTAGACAGCTATTTTAGAATATTTTTTTTATAGATGTTAAAATTAAATAACATTAAAAATACATAGCCATTAAAACAAAAATTATCACAGGAAAATTATGTGATAAGAGTCGTCAAAAAATTGACTATTACAATAACAGAAAGTATTATGAAATTCGATTTTTTGGGAGGAGAAAATTTGGTATATTTAGACAAAAATTCTTTATGACAATTAAAAAAAAAGAATATGCAGTAGGGAACCGATTATCCGGAACGATCGGGACCATCGCTATTCCGGATAACTGATTTTTCCGGTTTTCTGAATCACCACAAAAAGCCTTTTTCTTTTATTGCTAAACCCAACTAAACAAAAAAATATTTGGAAATAATCTTAAAAAGAAGAAAAAACGATGAAGTAATACAGTAATGATTATTTCTAAAATGATGGTATGGTAAATATATTTCAAAAAAGAAAGAAAAATCCTAAAATCTTATGAGGAAAAAAAATTTTTTAAAAAAAAATGGCGGGAAAATTCATTGAATTTCATTCCGGTTTTTTGGTTTTCCGATTTCCAGATAACGCGTTCTGTACTGTATTTTTAACTTAACATTACTAAAATAATACTTAAATAAGTTGGATTTTAACTTGATAAGTAAATAAGTACAGTCAAAGCTAGACCTTTCGCAGAGCAATTAGGTTCTAGAAAGAGTTCAGTGTGAGCCATGCCAACTCCAAAGCTATGGCCAATTGCGCTAGGTTACGTGGCTGAGGATCCACAGCGTGAACAACACAAACGTGGTGGTTTGGTTTTAAATCCAGATCGTTTGGTGGCATGAGGAATATTGCATATTCCTCCTGGTTTTCTACGAACCATGCACGGACACTGAGAGCTGTATTAAGACATCACACTGTCCTGCTAGTAGATGCCTTCATTCTGAGGAAAAATTATTTGCATGTAGGCAAGGACATGATCTGCAAAGACAGGTGTGTACTTCTATTGATCTATTGTGCTTTTCACAACGATGAGTGCCCCAAGAATGACAAAAACATTTCCCAGACCATAATGCTCCTTCCTTCAGCAATCATTGCAGGGTCTAGAGAGTTTGCACTATATATGACTACATCCACCTGTCATTACTCAGAGGACGCCTAATTGCAGTACTGATGTGTAAATTTTGGTTTTTGCTGCCAATCAACAGCAGTTAGCATAGGAGCATTAAATAGACCTTTGCTACAGAGGCCTGTATGGAGTAACATTTGCTGAAAATCGTTGAAGAGACACTGTTGGTAGACCTTAGGTTCATTTGGGCGGTTAGTTGCTCAATGGTTACACGCATATTCATCTATTTTGCCATGTGTGACACAATTTTACGGCAGAACATAAACAGTTTACAAAATTAATCCTTTTGGAAATGATACACTCTTTGCCCAAAAACTAAAGATCATGCCCTTTTAGGCATTGGATAAATCATTTTGTTTCTGAATTATGCCGATAATTGCAATGTTTTCTGATTCCCCACGGGCACTCTTCATATACGGTCCACTGCAATGTGCTGCTATCTGTCCTTTGTGATTGGTTATTTCATGCTGAGTTCAAAATTAGGTGGTAGTCACATTAATGAGACTAAATTGTGTATAATTTCTTATTACATTTATTTATTTTCCAGAACTACTCAAGTTATTAAAACTGTAAATGTAGGTAATTATTAATCATTATCAAAGAGTCAGAAAAAAGTCAGGAAAATAAAATATATAAATTAATCATTCAATAAAATAATAATTACCAGAGCTTGTTGTGCTAACTGGGGGGTGAACATTTAAAGGTGCTACTCGGCCAATTGGTTTATTATGAAAACTTTGATTATTCATGGATGACGTAGAGTTGTTATTTGGCGGCCTAGAGAATGTTGTTAACACTTGGGGAGCAACTGCTGGACTCCCAATCTTTTGAACTTGGGGTAGCACTAATAAAAAAAAATGCATTAATGCAGTATTTATAATTTTTAATAAAATGACACACATGATTAAGTAATAAAAGAATAAGTAATTCACACAAAACAAAGATTATTTTTGCCATATATTCCTTGGACAAAGTTATAGCCATGCTTTTAATCATTTACTGAAAAAAAAAAGATCCTCAAAAAAAAAAAACTATATACTAAATTTTAATATTATGCCTTTTTATAAATATTTTCCAGTTTGATTGATATAGGTAAAATAAATTTTTATAAAAACTTTCTGTACACTACATTATTTTTATAATAGTTTTTGATAGCTGGATTTGGTAAAACTTTTGATAGGCTTGTAAGTGTTATATGGAATAAAAACAATTCAAAATTGGTAAATTAGATTAAACTTTCAAAAATAAATTCCTTAAAAGCAATAAATACAGTGAATGGGTCAAATATCATATTAAATGCATACAGCAGTACAGTTTGCCGTAAAATATTGCTCAAATAATAACATTATAAATCAATTTCCAACCTGTACTATAACTGGCAGCTAAATTAAAATTCAAGTATTACAGAAACAAACAAAAAAACATGTTTATAAAATATTTAGAGGCAAAAATAAATGAACACCTATTACCAGTAGCTGTAGAGATATTAGTGCTTAATACTAAAGATTGGGTGTTGGATACTGATGCTGCTACATGAGGTTGAGCAATGGCAGTCGTCGCTGCTGGCTGTACTTGAGAGTGCTCTGCTACAGAGTTAGCAACTGAAGTTATCACAAAATGAGCACCAGCGGCTGTCTGGACAACACGGCCAATGCCACCAATTAGAGATTGAATGCACTGAACCCGATTGCCACTCGCAGGGCCTGGTTGCAATTGCAGAGTAAGACCACCAAGAGGTGCGAGTGAAGCAACAGCTAGTAAGAAAGACAGGGCAAAGATTTTAGAACATACACAAACACTATATCATGCAATAGTAAGATTAGTAGCATCGTAATCTGCAATTAGATAATGATAGCAACAAGCTCTGAGAAGAGGTGAAGCAAAGCAGAATAATTTTCCTTACCAGGCCCCAAGCCACATAATTCAAATTTGACTTTTAAACGTATGTTTTAAAATGACCATTCATAAAACACTAACTTAAATATTTTATAAAAATAAAATATAAAGCAATAAGTAATTTTATCTAGGGTAAACTATAGGGTTTAGCTTAACAATCACTGATTTTTATCCCGCTCAAATTTGTATAGGGTCATATGGGTTATTGTCAACTCACTGATTATTTACCATTGTATCTAGTCTCAAATACTTAAAAAGGCAAGTATTTATTTTGTCACAAGTCAAAAATTCTTAGATGTACAAAGCAACAAAAGTTATAACTTTCATTTTATACTAGCAGATTTAATCTTATTATTATATCACAAAGACAACATAACCCTTCAATTTCTAGAATGATAGCTATTTAGATGCAAAATATCACTAACTTTTTTTTATTCTTTGCCTGGTCTAAAAAAAAACCTGTACAGGAATAACTGTTAAGTGTTTAGAAAATTCCTAAATTATCGAAAAAAAATTTATTTAAAAGATGTCTAGCCAGAACAATTTGAGCATAAATGCATTAACATGGCAACTAAAGGACTTTTTCTTAAAATTAAAAACATATGTAATATGCATCGATTGAACCCAGTATTTTGCATAATGAATGACAAAAACACATTTCTTTTTTCTTTATGTAAGAAACTTAAGGACAAACTGGAAAATCTAGGGTTACAATGCATAACAAACATTTTAACACTATAAAAATTAGAAATCTTTTTTCTAACTTTGACACATAGGATAATAAATATCCCCTTAAGTAAATTACAGAAAAAAAACTTTTTTAGGGTAGAAAAAAATATTTTTTTATGCATTATTCAAAAAGTTAAAGTTTGCACATACATCTTAGAATTCAGCACAAAAGTTAATTAGAAAAAATTAATAAATATAAAACTAATTATAAATAAAATATTTTTGACAAATTTTAATACAAAAGATCATAACAAAATTTTATAAATTACCTCCACTAGGTTGGACCAACTGAAGCGTATATTGTTCAGGCTGACTAGCAACAGGCGGTGAACCAATAGCAGCAACAGGACTGACAGCTCGTGAGGGAGTGCCCTGTTGGCCAGGTATAACCATTAGCCTTTGGGGTTGTGGTAAAGCTGGACCAATAGGCATGGTCACACGATTAGGAATAGATGAAGGCAAACGACTAGGATGTGCTACAGCAGGAGATGCAATTCTTGGTAGGGGAGTAGGTGGAGCAGAATTAGAAGCCCCCTAGAAAAAAAAACAAAAGATAAATAATCATCATGTTGCTTGTTTCACTTTTCGCTTGAAGTGCTTAGCAGGTTAAAATCTGTCATTCTAGACCCCATGTTGTTTTAGCTACAGGCAAACATATAATAACAATGTGTTGTTGCGTGTATATTAATTAGTAATTAATATACACGAGTAGAATATCGAGTGAGTATTTTGTCCCCCCCCTTTAATGATACTAGCTTTAAATTAATTACAGTCGAAAGAACAACAATTTACTGAATCCTTTGCATTTTTATAGTGTTTTGTTTCACTATCTTAACCTTTTGATTTAGATTGTAACCCATAATCTGCTCCCTTTTTTGGTAAGTAAAAAGTGCTCGAAAAAATCTGATGTAAGAAAAAAAAAAGCTTGAAATCCATAGGATTTCTGAGAGTAACAAATTAATCAAAAATCCAGATTAATTTTTCCCTTCAAGAAATATTTTAGTTACTTCCTTTGCAATTCAGAAATTGATATTTTCCTCACCTCTACATCATTTAAATTGAGAATTTTAACAAATTATGAATAAAATCTACATTTTAAGCATTATGCAAAAACTTGACAATGGGAGAACTATAAATAGAGCAGATAATTTTTAAAGGACATATTTAAGAAATATATTCATACCTGGGTGTTGCAAAAGTTGACTTTCATTTTGACAGCAGGGCAGGGCGGAGGGGGCTCTGGTAAATTATCAATTTCAACAATTAGTTTTGGAGGTGTTTGAAACTTTCTAACACGATGAGCAGCAAAAGCAGTTAAAGATAATTCTAAATCGGCTAATAGCAGATTAAGAGACTGTAAATTAACTTGCTAAAAAGAGAAGAAGAAAAAATATTAATTAAAATATAATGTCATTAATATATGATTGGTAACGAGAAAGCAATCCATATAGCTTAAGCACTGTTTTTACTTTTTAACTCCATAACCTTATCAATCAAATAACAGAACATATTACTCTTTTCAAAGAAATATCATAAGAAAAAGATATAATAAAAACATAAAGAATTCGTAAACATTTATTTTATAGCACTGATGGAAATTACATGTCATAATTATAATAATAAATAAATTATAAGCTTTAAACCTTATGAATTAGTTATACTAACTATATTTTACTTTTTTGGAAACAGGGGGGTTTGGCTATAGACAATGTCACCGTCATGTATCTAAAGGTACCTCCATATAGAATTGAGTTGCCATTTCTCATATACTAAAGTATGGGAATTGAAGTGGTAGCAACGTTACAATAGTCCTCCAACAGAATTTTATCTGGTATAGAATTTGATGAATGAATATCTCTAGTTGATTCATTGTTATTTTGTGAGATGCCGAGAGAGCTGTGTTAAGATCACCAGACTTTGAGCGCTATTTGTGAGAACTGTGTGAAGATCAAGGTTGTGTGTGTGTTCTCTCCTACCTTGCTATTAGAAGTAGAGTAGATACAGACCCCTCTTGTGTTTGATTGAAATGGAGTAGCAACAGCGTAAGGAGGATAATATCGCAGTCACAAATAGCTAGCCAACTGTTCACTATGCTCCATCGATTAAAGTAGGCATGTTCAGATCAGGATAGAAGTTTATGCCGAGGAAGGTGTGTTCAGATCACATACGAAAGTCACCAACGTGGGACTAGGCTACCGACAATGTTAACCATCATCTATCTAAGGGTACCTCCAGATAGAATCAAGTTAACATGTCTTATATACTAGTGAATTAGAATTGAATATTTGTAATGGAAACTATGCTACAATACTCCCTCACCAGAATTTTATCTGGGATAGAATTGGATGAACGGATATCACTAGTTGGATATCACATTATAAAATGATAAACTAATCATTAAACTTACTTTAAATGGATCATATTCCAATGCCTTAGATGCTAAGGAAGACGTATGAAATGTTACTCCCTCCATAAGAAATGGGGAAACAGTTGGTCTTTCTTCAAACATATTAGGATGATTGCAAACTTTTCTCAGTTGCATCAATATATTTATGACACTCATGAAATTTCCAGTAGCTAAAGTTTCTTTTGTCCTAAAAAAAATTATTCAGCATAAAATGATGCATGTTAAAATTTTTAACCTGGAAAAATCATGTGTGGTACTCAAGAAATGGGTAAAAGAGAAATTGACTTTTAGTGTGTAGAAGTATAAATGCTTCACTGCTCACAAACTTATTAAATTTTAAGGAATTATAAATATAATTTTTGCGATTTACTCAACTGCAAGATTAATTATAATTGGGTGACTAATATAATTTTCTGCCTTCTATGTTGCTTTAATAAATGCTTGACCGATATCTAGATATAGAAGCACGCAACTGATTTTTGCAAAACTTGGTATCACAGCTAATAAAAATTAGTATTAAACAAGAGGTGATCAAGACTGTACATCATGCGTGTTAGCATAGACAAGGAACCTCGTCTGTTAAATCATTATATCAAGTTCTCCGGTATTCTTATATTGGTGTCTTAAATCAGAGTTCCAATGCTTTACAAGAAACAAAAGCTGCTATATCAGCATGATCATGTAAGCATTATATCGATATTTAGAGAAGTATCGATATAGTGTCCAGTTCCAATTACTGCTATAAGACGAATCTCTGCAAGCTAACCACAGAAAAACTCAAGAAAATGCAAAATCATTCGAAGCTGAGGTCATAAGAATGTATTAGGTTGAAAATGTACTCAGAAAACATAGAAATGTTTGAACAACTAAACAAAAATATGCTTACTTTGTCTGCGACATGAAATCATCATAAAGGTATCTCTGTCTATTTGACAAGCGACATACTATAATATGCTCATATTTTTTTGGCAGTTGTTTTTCTACTTCACACTTCAACCTTCGTAACAAAAAAGGTCTTAACACCTAAAAAGAACATTTTTATAATAAATTATAAAAAGAAAAAGTTTATAGAAATATGCAATACATTTTCATCATTCAATATATTATATAATTTAATATCATTAAAAATATCATTATATAAATTAATTATATAATATAATTTCATATATTTATGGATTTCAAAAGCTACAATTTCGCATAATCATTTAGTTACGTTAGGGAAAGTCATCTTTTTTTTCTTCAAAATCACAATATTTTTGGTTTTGTAATTTGAGGGGAAAAAATTCCGAAAATTCAGAGACAGCACCAGAAAATTTGAAACATCTGTTTAATAGATTTGCTGAAGCCCAGTGCTGAATAACACAAAACAATAATGGTTTTTTAAGATATAAAAAGCAGGAAATAAGAGGGTGAGAAAAAATGGACACCTAAGTAATAGGAAAAATAGGTCTGTGGACCCTATTTTACAAAGAGAAGACAGGGGATTAAAAATTCACAAAGAGAAGATTGTCAGTCATTAACCCAATATAAATCTTGAAAAAAAATTACTAAGTTAAAAATTAATCAAAATCTTCATTGAAACAATAATTGCATGTTAAAAAATTTATTACAACATAGAAGTAAATAAATTTTAACAAAGTTTCAATATTGCACTGGAAAATTAACAATTAAAATTTCTTTAACAATGGAAGTTTAAAGTTTCTTTAACAATGCAGAAAAGTTCCCTAAGTTTCAAATTTTCTAGATTAACTTCTTTTTACCAGCAAAAATATTCATTTTCCCAGATTTTTTTTTATAAGCTAATTCAATGCACTCTGAGGATTCCAGGTTTTCAAGAAGAAATATCATACTGATTCATATAAATATCTAAAATATGAAATGAATAAATTGGTAAAAAAAAAAAAATTAATACCTTATGTAATCTTTTGATAAGACTGTCATTATATTCATGGCTACCTTCAATCATCCCAGTAAATGGATTTACAAACCACTCTCGAAATTCTTTGTGAGACTGGAAGACATTTGGCATTAAAAAATGCATGAGAGACCATAATTCCATCAGGTTGTTTTGTAGAGGAGTGCCAGTCAGAAGCAACCGATGAGAACTTTGAAAGTTTAACAAGAGCTGCCATCTTTGGGACTTAAAGTTCTTTATATGGTGGGCCTGTAAAAACAAACAAACATGACTGACAATGGAAAATGAACTGCATGTAAGCACACATATTTATAATTGATGAAACATACACAATACACAAAAAAAAATAATAAATTAACATACACAATCAAAATTTTTTTATTTATTATTAAGTTTTTTTATTTATTATAAAAAAAAAGAGAAATTTGCTGTAAAAATACATAGAATTAAACAATTTCTGTCACTATGGAAGCCAAATTTAACGGAGAAAAAAATCCCTGTTTGATTGAATCTAATAATACAATTTTAAATATCATTGGTGACATAATACTGCCCTAAGCAACTTCATATTATCTAGCTATTAGCATATTTTCCTTATAATCTAGTCTCAAATTGAGAATGTAGATATTTTAAATAATGGAAATTAATCAAAACCTATATTTTTATGCAGTAAATAGTCTGCAATTTAATTTAAAAATCACCATTGCAAAAATATAAAGTGTGGTACTGCAAAAACCAACCACCATCAGCTTATGTAAAAGGTAGTGGTATAATCAATTGTTACTATTTTGCCATCAATCTTTACATTCAACCTAATAAAAAGCAAAATTCACTCTACATTTAACCTAATAAAAAGACTAAAAATAAGTTACATAATATGTCTTTGAAATCATTGGCGTCATCAGATTTCACCCAAATTGCAATTCCTTACACTTTAGTTTATAGATATAGATTATTAATGTTGATTTTAAGTGTATTTAATTTACTTAAACAATTTATTTAAATTAATAAGTTTAATTATAATTATTTAATTATATGGCTCTAAAAAAGTTATAAAAATTTTGTAAGTAAATTGAGGGAAAGTGTAAATCCTAAAAATTTAAGAGCATCAAATATCCTCTAGTACAAAGTGAATTCTCATTACTTTTTGGCATTTTTAAGGAGACAATTGCACCATTAATTATGCAACATGGCATTTTCTGTGTAGATATAAAAAATTCCAATTTAACTAACATTATTACAAAAACACAGACATTTATAAGCTCATAGATTTTTCCTTATTATCAAAAATAAAGAAAGATAAAAGTTAAATATAAAAAAATCTAATTCAAAATAAAATTTTGTGAAGTTAAAATCTTACTTCATCTAGAATTAGATATTTCCACTTTTTTCTACGAAAAGACTGATGATCTTGAACAACTAATTTATAAGAAGTAATACACACATGAAATGCATTAAACTTGGTCCAACCCTAAAAAGAGACATTAAAATTATACAACAAAAATATATATGTCAGTTTATTACAAATTGACAATTAAAAAAGAGAGAAACTTACAACACGTTTTTGCTTTCTTTCTTTAGGTGTGCCATAATAGGTGAGTATTTTAAATGCTGGACACCACTTTTTGAACTCCATTTCCCAATTAAGCATTACACTGGTGGGCACAACAATTAAATGAGGACCCCAAACACCTAAATTTAAAAAAAATATTAAGTTAAAATAAAAAATAATACAATTATATAATTGTGCGAAAACAAATAACTATGTAAAATTTTAAAATAGCATAAAAAGCAATGCATTATTGTTGGTAAAATGCAGTTAAGATATCGTGTTATTCAAAAATCTAGATTAAATTGCAATGTGCAGTTTATAAATCAGGTCCATATGAATATTAATTGTAAATTGAGAGGGTGATTTTTAAATCTTTTTAATGCTAATTGCAATGTCTACCAAAAATACAAATTGTGATAGGAGAATGGTAAAAGAAAATAGGATTAAATCTGAAAAATTAAATTTTGCCTATTAACGCTAACAGAACACGTGAAGTTAAAGGAAATTATAAAAACAAAAATCTTCCATTATGATAAAATCAAAACGAGTAGTTAAATTATAAGGATAATAAAGTCAACACAAAAAATTCAAAGAAACATCTACCAAGCTAAAACAAAATTCACACACAAAGATTGGTGCAAGGAACGAAATTCTTTAATTGTGGACATCTATAAATTTGCATTCTCATAAATAAGAAAAGGCGAGATTTCATTAAAAAAACTGAATTTTTAATTTTTATTAAAAATTTAAATGACTGGAAAAAAACATATTTACACAAAAATTACCAAATTTTTAGGACAGAATATAATAATACTTGCGCTTTGACTAAAAATAGATACACATGAAGATTTATTTAATAAAAGGTGATGAACAGTGCTTCGTTTCGTGCTCAAGTTTCAAATGCTCTAACAAAGCAGCTTATTCAAATTGTTAATCTACGAATATTTTAATTTTTAGGGAACATTTAGTTTAACATGATTATTTAAGTGTAGAATGAAACATTTGAGGCTGTTTTATTTCTTGTTTAAAGTAAGTATAATAATTTTAAATTGATAAAATAAAAAAATAAATAATAAATAAATAAAAAATTCTGAAATCACAGAAGTTGAAAAGATAATTCGCTCTAAAAATGTTCTTTCTTTCATTTTTTGAAAAAAGACCAGAATTCTTAAAGAACAGGATAAAAATATTTTATATTTTACTGAAATATGACTATGAGGAAGGATTTTGCTACTAATTCAGAACATCGGAACACTGTGAAATTGGGAGGGAGGAGTTGGGGGGGGGCAGAAATTCCATTTTATAAATGAGATTTTTCAGTGACCCAATCCATATCTTTCTTTAAAAAAATTAGATAAAATCATGAAAAATTTTTGTTCAATATCGAAATCCATGACTTTCTAGGTGCGCGGATTACCCTGTGTATATATGATACAGAACAAATCAAAAATAGCAATATATTAAAACGTCTTATCACCTTTTTCGCAAGCAAGATGAGCCAATATAGATATTGTTTGTATTGTTTTTCCAAGACCCATTTCATCAGCAAGAATCCCATTCAATTTTTTGTCATACATAGCATTTAACCAATCTAACCCAATATGTTGGTATTCTCTCAGTTGGTGTTTTAAAAGAAAAGGAACTTTAGTACAGACCTAAAATAAAGAAGGCACATAAAATCATACAAGAAAGAAAGAAAAAAAAAGACTTATTATTATAAGTTTAACATCAGGTCATAAACAATTAACTCTACATAATATATATTCTATTTAAAGATGGTCTTTCACAAACACAGGTAATTTCTAGCAATATATATGAATAGGAGCAGGACAGGATTACTTTATGAAAATGCCATTTAAAGCTTAAATATTAACTTATAATTTTTCTTAATCAATGAAAAATCTAGTACTAGAATAAATTTAAGAAAAAATTAATTCTAAGAAACATTTAGTTTAAATTATGCAACTAGGCAAACAAAGAAGCAAAACAATTGATTGCAACATTTAAAAAATTTGAAACAAAATTAAAAATTCATTAAAAAATAAAATAAAAATAATTCAAACAAAATAAAAATAATTAAAATAAAATAAATTACTCAATCAGAAAATTGCTGAATTTAGTATATATACTTGGCAGTTTTAAAATGTTTATTTTGCTATTTATACCTAATAATTTGAAAGTTATTCAAGTCTTTTTAACAAAAATACAGAAAAATTTTGTTGCTTTGAAGGCTAAAGAATGAGTTGATTGTGCATTAGCTATTTTCTGCAATAAGTAACTATTAACCAACTTGTACCAACTAATTTTTTGTAGAAAGGCTTAAGATTTGAAAAAGTTCTTTTCTAAAATGCAAAATTATAGATGTGTGTTACTAAGAAGGAAACCAAACGATTAAAATGAAGACACTATTAAGACCATTTGAAAATTGGGAACATTTCAAATCCTTTTTAACATAACAAATTGTCTATTTTTACTTTTAAAAGTACAACAAATGCTATATTTTAAATTGAAATAATAGCTACAAAGATTAAAAATCTTAAATTCTAAATCAAATCAAATATTTTACCTGAGTTGTAGATAGTGTGTTGCCTTTGGGTTGAAAACTTTCTGCTGTAGCAGCAATGTCAGTTATTTCTTTGGTAGGATTAGCATTAGAATCGTCCTAAAAATAGAAAAATAAATAAATGTAAGATCAATGAAAGTGAAAGAGCATAAAAAGATTAAAAAACCTGACTTTCGATTATACTATATTTGGAAACAACTGAGCTACACTATACCTTATCAGTTTCATCTGTGAGAGATTTTAAAAGTGCATGCTCTTTTTTGTCTTCCCCATCAACAGACATGTCTTCATCAGATTGTTCATCTTCACTGTCATCAATTTCTGAAATAAAATTCCTCTTTTTATTTAAAAAAAAAAAATTCATATTAAGAACACTATACACTAGAGAAATAAACAATTTATTATAATTAATTTGTTAGCCAATAACGAGAAAGCATTTTCTAGAAAATCTTTTATTGGCATGAAGATATAAAAGCCGCTGGGTCCCTTGTCATGATACAATACAACACTGAGCACTGTATGAAGGACTGACGATGGAGCTGTCAGCCACTGGTGATTGGTGAACAGAAACCATGCACAAAGATGGATATTACTATTTGATTTTTAAGTTTTCAATTTGACTAACAGGTCAATTTTTTTTATGTCACTAGACTTCTTAAGGCTGCAAGAATTAAAACTTTTTATTTTTAAAAAAAAAACCCAGAATATTCTCAAATACTTTGATTTCCAAAACAGTAAAATTTCCTTTCATTTATTTCATCAATTCTCAACAACCATTATTAAGCCTCTTTCAGATTTTATTATTATTTTTTAATTAGAAATATATCAACAATAACAAGGAAAAGGTTGTTGTGTGCTTCAAAAAACTGATAAACAAATACAAAATAAAAACTGGTCTGTGCATCCATTGGTCACAAAAATCTTATTGTATTATATAATGACTAATCTATGCATCCATTGGTTCAAAAAATTGTATAGTATTATCTTGTTTTCTCACAGTAAATGCAAATTTCTTAAACCGTTATTGGTATTGCCCTGATAACAGAATAGTCTACCAGTAAAGTATTTCTCTATCCCTAATTTCCTTATTTATTAAGAATCATCATCATTTTATAGTACATCGTTATATACAACATTTTATGTTAAACATATTTAAATATTAGAAGTTATTATGTATTAATCGTTTTACAATTATTAAATAATAAATAAACTTTCTTTCTTATGTATTATGTTTTAGGTACTTAGAGGAAGCTTCATGCATCCTATGTTTAATATATTAATAAATAACAGTAGTAGTAAATTTAAAATACTTTTTCAAACAAACAATAGGACAGCATACCTCTTTCATCTTCACTCTGTTGTTCTGATGTTTCTACTTCAAAATCACTAGCATAAGCAGCTGCATATTTCTCTCGTAGCTGTTCAATTGACATTTCATCTAAAATAGTTATATTATTAGAAAAAAGAAGCAAGTAAATTAAATATAAAGATATAATAGATGATTATGTCATACTTTCTGCTTCTAAATCTTTAATTTCTTCTTCATGATTAACATTATCTTCATTTTCTTCCTGCTCTAATATTGTCTGCTCATCGTCTTCTTCCTCTTCGGATACCTCAAAGTCATCATCATCACTTCCCTAAAAAAGATTATACAAAATATATATAACGTAAGTCAACTAAACATAATGGAATTAATACTAATAGGAAACAATCATGCAGATTCTACAGAAATGGTTACATTAAAATATGATTGAATTCTTACTGCTGTTTATGATTATTTTTTTTACAGGATATGTACATTACATCTGCATTACATTACATGAACAATGACACACACAAAAAATTGTGGTTCAAAATCATACAGTACTAATACTAGAAGAACTGTAAACAATGAAACAGTACTATACATATATAATCTCAATTTTCAGTATATAAATAAACCAATGATTGCTTCTTTTCGAAGTCAGTATTTCCACAATACATTTTACATACCAATTAAATTTACTGGTGTTCTTTGAAATAATAAATATATCTAAAATAGATTAATTATTTTAACTAAGTTAATTAATTTATCAAAAATATTTGAATTCACAATATAATATGACAAGAGTTTTTTGTATAACAGATAAGAAACATATTTTGGTATAAAAAATAAGCTAGCCAAAAGTTTGCGATATAATATATCAATTGTTAACCTAATTGATTTCATTTATGATAAACATATTGTTACAATTTATAATTTAAAAAAAAATAGAAAAATTACCTTTTCAGGTTTTACATCAGATTGTATAGACAGTAAACTTAAATCACTTTTGTCTTTAGAATCATCTAAGGAAACATGAGTATTCAAAATTTCTGGTGGAAGAGAATCGAGAAAATCTTCAAAAGGCATTTCACTCTCTTGTTGCAATAATTTAATTTCTTCGTCTTGCTCCCCTTTATCAATATTTTCTTCCTCCATTTTTATTGTTTCCTCATCATCCTCTTCACTATCAGATGGTTCAAAATCTATGAAATAGAAAAATTTCAAAACAATATATCAGTATTTGCGATTAAAAAAAAAAATTTAAGATGTCAACCGGAATATAATCCGGGAGGGCATGTAAGGATCATTTTATGACCCCATGGATTCCACAAGTTCTGAATCCTTATAAACTATACAACTGTTCATCCCATTTTTATTTGTAGCCGAGTTTGCCATCCTTATCCGCCTTTTATAAATAATTAGAATGAATTACGAGCAATTTTTTCCCTCAATAGACATTTTATCAGTGACTGGGGTCATGCGTCTTTTAGTTATTTATAAAAATCATTTTCTTGCGTCTACTGAGTTCAGTGTGTTATTTTCCAATTAAAGTGATCTCTATTTGATTAAAATGTTTATATCAAATTTTTTTCACAATAAGTAATAGAATAGTCTTTCTATCTAAAAAAAATCCACTAACCATGTATAAAAACAGACGACCTCAGCTGACCATGTATGAAACCCAAAGACTTTGGCATGTCACTTATTATATTAGAGATCAAAGCTAGCAAACGGCAAGTTAATCCACGTTTGAATCATGAAACACAAATTCAAACATTATTATTCTTTTCTTTTTTTGTTGCCTGCTACTCATAACTGCACCTATTTTCCATACACCTAATTATAACACCATTTGCAAATTACATTGTTTGGGATTTCTACAACAGCTGTAAATGAAAATGTATATAAACCAAGATGTTTTTACAACATGCACTCTCAGTGTTTAGTTTACACAACTCTTTTTTTAATCCATGCTGTGAGCCTGTGTAAATATCTATTCACAATGTTTTTTAAATGTGAAGCAGTGTTTAATGTCTTAAATAAGTAATGTTATCTTTTTCGGTCGTTTCTCAGTTTGTGACAAATAACCAGTCTGTTACTATCAGCTAATGGTGGATTGCTTGATCCCCATATGAAATAACTGTTCATCTATTTTTTTCCCACCACATGTCTTAATGTGCGTTCAGGAGGCACATGACCTACCAGATAAAGTGGGACAAAGGGAAAAGAAAAGCTCAGAAAACACTGTTTAAATTGCTCACCAAATGATCTTCGCTTATTCCTTCTTAGAGGGGTGGATGATGCAGAACCAGGGAGGGGAGACGACCCCCTACTTGACTCTGGACTACCCTTATTGCTCTGATTCATCCCTTGTGTAAGCCAAGAGGAATATTTCTCTGTTTGGTCGACAATAAAATTTAAATGGACATCTAAGACTTTTTTTCTTTTTTCTTCTAGCCATGTTTGGTGCTTATATTCCACAAGCTAAAAAAAGAATAACATTTAGCAAAAATAAATACTTATAGCTGAATTGAAAGAAAATAACTGCAAAGATTCAAGATAAGACCGTTAAAAATTATTACTTTTTCAATGTTGTTCCAAAACTGTTTCACTTCTCTGGCGATAGTGGAAGCAATCTTTCTAAGTTTTATTTGCTCTTCTCTTTCGGCTCGCTCTGCTTTGATTTCCTTTTCTTGAAAATATTTAGTAATCATTCGAGCACACTAAAATACAAAGGAAAAATTACAGATTTGTCTTCACTCATATTAATAAATGGTTTTCTGAATTTTTTTTCAATTTAGACAATGAAACTAAATTTAATATAAATCAGAAGAAAAAAAAGATGGAAAAAAAGAAAATGCAAGCTTTTAAAAATGATAAAATTTTTTACAATTGTTTTGAAACAAGAGTCCCCCCCCCCCCAAAAAAAAACACTGCAAATTTCTACAAGGGTAGCCACAAACATTCAGGGAAAAAAAATTCACTTGTTAAGAATGATTTAATTCAACTTTTCTGAACGTGTAAATTTGATATTTAATTTATTACTTCTGTCTCATTCATGAACATAAATATATTATAACATAACACTTTTAATTGTTATTGGAGCTTAAAATAAAAATGTTTTAAGAAATTTTTTTAAATACAAATTAAACATATTATTAACATTGAAATAGAAAATAATATGTAAAAATAAATTACAATTTTTTTTAAGAATTGTTGGGAAAATTGTTTCACTTTTCAAAAATGAGAATAAACAAACGAAAAAAATTTTCTTTTAGAGGGCCACTCACAGTCCCCTTCATTTCTTTCAAAAGCAACGTGTCATACATTTTTCGTTAGAATTTCTTTTTTTGGTTTCTAGGTAATTTAAAAAACAGAATTTTAAGATTTTAATTTTACCAAAATCTCTAGTAAATTCACTTATCTTAGCTAGTAATTGTGATGTAACCCATAAATGTGATTATGGGTAAAAAAAAAATAAAAAAAAAATAGACACCTTCTTAGCATTAGCCTTCTTCCATTTCCTTTCTTGCGCAAAATCAGTGGCCAGCCACACCATCTCTTCCAGAAGATAGTCATAATGAGCTTTATTTCTAGGAGCTTCTGCAACTTTTGGTAATCTTTTCAGAGACCAAAGACCATCTTTTCTGAGTTCTCCCACTCTTTGCATAACATAAGCTTCCTGTAATATTAAAATTATTTAAAGAGTTTATAAGAAATATTAAAAATTATTGAACTATTAGACAATGATCAAGATTTTTTATTAGGGGGAAGAGTTGTGTGAATTGTTATTTTGTGAGAAAAAAAAAATTATGTCATGTTAACACTCATTGATATCACAATATAACCTGGAACCTCTAAAAGGATAATATAAAGTAAATTATAACATAATTATTACAGGCTAGCATATTCTTTATTAATACACTATCAGTAAAAAATGTAAATTAAGCATAATAAAAAAAAGTAGATAGTAATAAAAAAAAAAGAAGTAAAAGCACACATTTATAATAGCTTGTTATAGAGCAGTGATGGCTCAGGGGATAGATCGCTCGTTTTCCAATGAGGTGAACCGGGTTCGAATCCCAGCAATGGCTGGTCAATACGAATTCCGCATTCGGCTTGCATTGACCACAGTGCTGAGGTAAAATATCCTCAGTGGTAGACGGGTCATGGGATAGAGTCCCCTTGTCGTCAGGCTAACTATGGGAGGTTTTCATGGTTTTCCTTACCACGTAACCCAAATGCGGATAAGTTCCATAAAAAAAACCTCCACAAGGGCAAATTTCCCCCAATACTTGATCCAGGAGTTCCCTGTTCTTGCAGAATGGGTTCAAAATTACAAGACTAAGGAAGTATTGGTAGTCGTAAACGCTAAGAATTGGGTCTGCTGTTCAACGACAGTTACAAAATAAAGTAGCTTGTTACAGTGCCAGTCATACAAACTTAAAGAAGATGGGTTCAAAGCATTTACTTCACTTTGCAACTATCTTATTCTCAATAAGTGAATGCTAAGCATCTAAATGAAAACCCTACTTGCATTCATACTGGTCTGCATTGGGCAACCTGACATATTCACTCTTATGTACAGTGAACAAAAAATAAACAAAATAAACTGAATCAAACTATCTGATTTACAAATTATCTGAGTTACGAAATCAGATACAAAAACATATATTTTCTCTGAATAAACATGATTTTATTTGACAGATTATAATTTCTGACCCCTGAAATATAAAGAGTAACCACAACATGAGAAATATAGTCATTATAGTTTAGTCAGGAGAGTGGCCTATAGTTTAGACCCCTTAATGTTTATTTTACTTCACTTACTTAATTTCACCATATTATAAGCGAATTGAAAATTTTTGCACAAAATTATAAAATTCATTTATGTAAAATAATTCCATGTAAAAAATATTTTTTAGTGATCATTTATTATTTTTTATCATTTCATTCAATAATAGCTGAAATTTTTTTTAATTGTAAGGCATGCAAATTTCTACAACATTTTAACGGATGCAATTTTATAAGGCAAAATACAAAGTTTGAATAAAATATATTACACAAATATTGAGAAATAGTTCCCGAGAAATAGAGTTTAATATATCTGGCATTTAAAAAATTCGATTTCTTTGGAAATATTCAACAAATTTCGTTAAAATCTTGGTATATTTTCATATAAAATATTATTTAAAATAATGAAAAAATTTATAATTGTGAGCAAAATTTATTTAATTTGCTTAAAAAGTTTTCAAGAAATGGTGAAATATGTAAAATTAACATTAAGGGGACCAAACTATGGGAACCATATTTTGGGTACTTCCCATATTCTGATGGTCTAAAATTATATATAATCCGTCAATAACAAATTGTTAAAAGTATGTTTATTCGGAGAAAATACAATTTTAAATTTGGTTTCGTAACTCAAAATATTGTCTACACTTCTTATTAGCATATAGCTTTCTTGAACTATTAGGAAGGAGTTGTAGTGCATGAACATCTGATCATTAGATCTAAAGTTATCCCCAAAAGTGCCCCCCCCCCAAAAAAAACCCAATCATATGATAGTACTAGTGAAACTGTCAACATGAATACTAAAAATATAGAAGTTGCTACATTTTCAACTCCAGTATTTTTTTTTTTTTTTTTTTTTTTTTTTTTTTTTTTNTTTTTGTCTCTTTAAATAGCTTTTGAAATATGATCTCAAACTTAATAAGGAACCATGTCTTTTTTTTTTTTTTTAGTTCATAATGAAAAGAAAAAAAAAACTACAGAAATAAGACATTTTTACTTGTTTGGCTCTTTCCACGATTTCTTCTTGTGATCCTATCTGGGAGTCGTAGACAGATGATATTGAATTATGCTTATGAGCAAGCTTATGAGAAAGTGTTGGTTGTCGGACACTCTTCGTGGGTGTTGAAGGTGTTGATGAAACAGGGGCTGAACGTTGTGAAGATGGAGACAATGAAGTTCGATGCGGCAATGACTGAGAGTGACTAGAGGTGGCATGTGAAACTGTTTTTGACAGCAGCGGATGATCTGCATGTGGACCTAAAATTGTTTAAAAATAACCATCAAAAGAAATCCAAGTTTTGCCTTTACTTAATTTATTGAAATCACAAATTTTAAATACATATTTCCCTTAATTATTACATTTCATGTAATAAATAATAATTGTAAACTTTTGTTAAGAGTTATTAAATAAGTCAAACATTTAATTTTAAATATAGAACAAAAAAGGGTAGTTCGCCTTCCCCCAAAACCAGTTTCTTTCTTCTTTTTTCTTAAGGGAAGAAGCGTAACAACCTAATAAACTTAACAGGCAAAAATATTGAAACACGCCAGCTAGCATTAGCATATCTTTCATACCCCCTTAAAAAATCTTATTTATATTAAGCTCTATATTTTTTACTCAATTACTAATAACAATATAAAAATTCCAAAATTTACAGCCAATTTAAATTATTACATTAAAAGTATTATTGTTCAGATAACATCAAACCAAAACTAAATAGAGATCCAAGAAGGATAACATATTATTCATAAGAAGCAAAAGTTCTGTATAAATTTTCTAAAATAAATGATTTAAAATCTGAATAAAAATCAAATTTGCATTTTCAAATTTTTTTCTGGTAAAACATTTCTAGTTTAGAAATGGGGATGTAATGAATATTTGGCCCTCTTGTCGAACATTGGGTTGGCCCAATATTTGGTCAGATATTAGGACTACTATTCAACAAATGTGGAAAACTAATTTTCAAATTTTTCTTTTTTAGGAGGGAGGGGGAAGGGGGGAGGATCTGGATAGATTTAAAAAAAAATAATTTAAAATCATATTTTTCACAACACTTTATTAGAAATAGTTTTTACACATATTTAGGTTCCAGGGTTGCCACAGAAAAAAATGAACAAAATAGTTGCTTTTAGTAGCCTAAAGCAGTGGCTCTTAACCTTTTTAAGCCGCGACCCAAATTTGAGAAATATGTTCATGTCGCGACCCAAAAAAAAGTCAAAATTAGGCTGAGTAAGCCACAATGACTTCTTATAGGAGGTGTTGGTATTCCTTATTATTTGGTGTATTACTAACTTTTTTGGTTCGACTCAGCGCGACCCAATTTTGGGTCGCGACCCATAGGTTAAGAACCGCTGGCCTAAAGCATGAAAATAGTAGCCAAAAACTAGGAAAATAGTTGCCTAATAAGAACAAAAATTAATCAAACATATGACTAAAATTTTTTTAATGACTTAATTGTCATATACCATCATCCATTCAGTCAAGTTGGTGGCAAATATGATAATTTCCATATAAATGTTTATACATGTAAGAAAAGTGATTACTAAAATTCGAAATTCATGCATTGTAATACCGTTAAAAAAATTTTTTTTCCTTTAAAAAATAAAAAAAGAATGCAGAATTTTTTAGCAATAATCATTAAAAAGGTGACCGAAAAAAGGAAATAGGCTTACAATGGACTTCGTGCAGATTGAACGAATCCTAATCAATTTTAGTAAAGACTCAAATTTGCAATTCAAAATTTTTAACATTTTTTAAGAAAAAAAGTTCAGTGTGTTCAGGAACTATCTAGTGGGGCACAGATTTTTCACCAATTTATGCTTGGAAAAAAAAAAAAAAAAAAAAAAAAAAAAAAATCTCTAGGGGATGAGCAATCCTCAACATCAGATATGGAAACACTTTCCGACTCTCANTTTCAGCAAAAAAAAGTTGCCATAGTCGCCTCATGCCAAAAATAGTTGCAAATAGTTGCATTTTAGTCGCCTGTGGCAACTCTGGGTTCTAAAATTTGTTAATTTATGTTCTGAAACACACACGGAAAAGCAAAACTTTGAACAATTAAAACTAGGTTACCTTATACTGAACCATAATTGATGTACTGGCGATACTTTTTTTAAAAATTATATTCAAGGGAGTCTATTTCTTAATTTTTTAAAGACCTTTTTCTCTTTCAAGAATTGAGAACTTTTTTTAGTTTGTTTCGCTTTTGCAGTTTTTTTCCCTTCTTTTGTTCTAATTATAGTGCAGCATTATAACTGAGAGTTTCTTACAGACATTATTTTTTATTGTCACTTTCTTCCAAGACATAACAAGTAACCTAGAAAAGTGCGATTTTAAAAGTTAAAGCTATATTTCAGAACTGAGAACAATTTTTTTCCCTCTCTTTTGCTAAGTTATTAATTTTTCGTTTTGTCAGCCTTTTCATTTTAACACAGAATATTCTAAAGAGTGCTTCTAATGAACGCTGGATTCGTGCACAGAGGGAAAATGAGACTAAAAAATAAATCGGAGGATTATAAGGGGGAAACGTTATTTCACCCCAAAAGCAGGAACTGTCACTATTGAATTGGGAGATTTCACTTTTCCGTTTTCAACCATTATTTGTGCTTACACAATAGAGTATTTGAAAAAAATCAGAATTTTTTTTCGTACCGACCATCATTAACTGTATCCGAAATAGTCTTAAGCATTTCTGGAGTGATGTCAATTCGATGTCCGACTTAAATAACTTGAAACTTCTGCCTTGAGAGTATTGACACGCTCTGTGGCAGATATATTTTTGGGCTTTTTGCAACTAACATCTCTAGCACTAATATCTTTCTGCAAGATACTTTTAATAATAACAAATATTCCTAATTTAAAGAAACAAAAGCCTTGTGTGTACAAACAAAAAACCTATTTGAATGAAATAAATTGTATACAATTATTTCATTAGAATGTGCAATATATTTTTATTCTAATACTATCTGCTATGTAATTACTAATTATTTTTTTTCTTATTTTATAAATCATCATCTCTTAAAAAAAACTAGTTAAAGATCATGAACGATTCAAACACCGTACGGATCAACGATATTGATTCAGAGGCTCCATTCCATTGTAATAATAAATTATGCTTTTTTGCGAATAATATGCTATTTTTATAACTGCAGTGAGTTTGCACCTGATACTCATGACTGTAGGGTCAAGATAAGCATATCTAAAGCCCCTGCTGTCCACACGTATATTGAAAATGGTGCAAAAACGCAATATGGAGAAAAGTCAGTTTTGTGAAAATGAAAAGCACCTGTGGTCTGATTTTTTCAATATTTAAAAGCTTACTCTAATGCTGCATTACTTGGGCTTATAAAAATTTGCAAAAATTGAGAATAAGACAAGGATTTTGATGATTTTCATTTAGGCGAAAAAAATGTAGCGTAACTGCTGATTTTTTGAAAAGTTTATTAACGATTAAAATATTTAAGTTATTTGTCTGTTCTAAAGCCCAAATAACTATTCAAGACAAGATTATACATATACAGTACAGAATCCGTTATCCGGAAATCAGAAAACCGGAAAACCAAAAGAACGGAACAAAATTCGATAAATTTTCCCGCCATTTTTTTAAAAAAAAAAAATTTTTTTCTTCATAAGATTTCAGGATTTTACTTTCTTTTTTGAAAGATGTTTACCTTACCATCATTTTGGAAATAATCATTACTGTATTACTTCATTGTTTTTTCTTTTTTTTAAGATTATTTCCAAGTACTTTTTTTTAGTTGAGTTTGACAATAAAAAAAACGGCTTTCTGTAGCGATTCAGAAATCCGGAAAAATCAGTTATCCGGAATAGCAATGGTCCCCGTCGTTCCGGATAATCGGTTCCCTACTGTAGTTTAAAATCATTGCACTGCTTCAATTGTAAGGCATTTAAAGTATGGTTTTTTTTATTTTCCTAGGCGAAAAAAGCTTCGAAAAACAGCTTTAAAGAGTGATTTCTTGAATAAGCGATTTAAACTTTGCGTGCCCTAATAATATCACCATTTTTTAAAAAATAATTAAATAAAATATCATGAGAATATCAATAATAGCAGCTGAGCAATGAAAAACACTAAGATTTGAAGAAGAAAAAGGAGGAATTGTAGCAAGTGCGAAAAAGGATCAAAACCTGACCTTTGTTTACAATAAACCTTTGACTTATTATTCCTTTCAGTAAAATTTATAGTTCTGACAATTTATTTCTTATCAGAGTTGGTATAGTAAAGACTAAATTTTTTAAAAATAATTTATTAATGCTTTCTTAGAGTAGCAATTTTATCCTGTAATTTTGCGCCTACCTGGAAAAGTCAGAAAAAATTTATTCTTTTTATATGTTATTCTTTTATGGCCACTTTTCTTTCTAAAAATTAGGCTATGTGAAAAAGTTAAATTAATATTTCTAACACTTAATTTTTTTGTTTTTTAAATTAAGAAAATTTTTTGCTTTTGTTCCTATCTAGCTTTTTCTTTTTTAAAAACATTTTATTATGGCACAGTAATTAAAAGCATTACTATCATACTTTATTCATCACTTAAAAGAAAAAAAAACAGTAATAGGAAACTGAGATGTTTAGCTTTAAAATTTTCTTTCAAAAATTAAGGTCCATTTTTATTTTTTCAGCTTCGCTTTCGTACATAATCTTTTTTATGATAGCACAGTATTTTTGTAGCTTATATATCTCTTAATGTTTTCTGGATAATTTTTACCAGTACAATAATATTTTTAGTATTGAAGTTCCGTTTTAAGAATTAAGAATATTTTTTCAATATTATTTTTCTTTTTTTTAACTTTACGACTTTATTTATTTTAATAGCTTTTACTCAGTTTTTTATTTATCTCAAATATTTTTATTATAGTTTTTTTTTCCTCCTTTACCTTATATAACATAGCTAAGTTTTGATTATTTTTCTGTGACTAATCTTATTTATATATTAAACTATTTATACTTATTTATCTATATTAAAAATCAATAATATTTATTATCAATTATAAATATTCGGTGCTCGGCTAAATATCTATATAGTTAGTTTTTAAACCACAAACATTGGGAATTATGAATCAAAATGCGAACTTTAGGAGGATTAAACCATAGCCACTTTTAAATAAAAACTAATATACAATGATTACAATAATTTACATGTTCAATTGAAGGAATTTTTCTTTTCAGTAAATAACTGATTAACTATTGACAATGTAAGCCACATTTAATTGTGCCTTAAATGTAGTCGGACTCCCATTTAACAAACTACCATTTTGCAATTTTTTTTCAAGGAACTAAGAACTTTTCTGCAATTTCTTCGTAAAATATGAATCGCAAAGGGAATTTTATTTAACGAGCTTTTCTTTGAGATCTACTTTCCTTATTTCCCAAAATATTTCAGAACATTTTACTCTTGTTAATGCATTTTATGGAAGAAATGACCTTGAATAGTTTTTCTTACCGACTTAACTTTTAGAGAAAGCAGTAAAATCCCTTCCCCACTTTGTTTGCATTTCTAACGAAAAACTCAAGACAAAATTAATGGATTTAATCAGTAGTAATTAAACTTAAGAACACATGCAGTAATGTGAGCTCAATTCAAAAATCCTGAAAATTTCAAATTATTAATCATTAATGACGCATTTAAAAAAATTAATGTCTTTATAAATTTAAATCAGGGTTGGGGTTTTGGTTGTCCTAAACTTGTTTTGGGCAGGACCCGTGGGTTTTACTGTCTTAAAATTGTCCTAAACTGGGTAAAACTGTCTTAAAGTGTCCAAAACCTTGAACTTTGGTGAAAGGTAAAAATTCTATAGGTGTGACCATTGTACACATAATAATAACATGTATCATTAAATATTTGATATTTTTTATACAATTTACTATAACTTATTAAAAGAAAATAATATAATATAATAGGAAAAAGTTTATAATTTTTGAAGCTCCACAATTCATTAAACAGCAAAAGTGAATAACTAATCCTTTAAATATAAATATGCTTTTAATAATGATAAATAATATTTTTGCATAAGGATAAATATGGCAATATTAAAAACTAATAATTTTTCTTAAAACAAATACCAAATTTGTTCAAAAATTAACCTTTTATTTTTCACAATATATTTTTAAAAAAATGTTATAATTTCTGCATCACAGGATGATAAAAAAGACATCTATTTAAAAAAAAAAATTTCAATATAAATATATTAGTTTAAATTGAAAATACAGTAGGGAACCGATTATCTGGAACGATTGGGATCATCGCTATTCCGGATAACTGATTTTTCCGGTTTTCTGAATCGCTACAAAAAGCCTTTTTTTTTATTTGTTAAACCCAACTAAAAAAAAAATATTTGGTTATAATCTTAAAAAGAAAAAAAAACGAAGTAATACACTTATGATTATTTCCAAAATGATTGTAAGGTAAACATCTTTCAAAAAAAAAAGAAAAATCATAAAATTTTATGAGGGAAATGTTTTTTTATTTTTAAATGGAGGGAAAATGTATGGAATTTCGTTCTGGTTTTTTGGTTTTCCGAATTCCGGATAACGGGTTCTGTACTGTACAAAATAACTGAAAAATGTATTAACAGTTTTGAAGGGCATAACATCAGTTTCAGTTACTGACACTGGTGATGTATCACCACTTTGTTAAAAGAATTGAACATGAATGAAATAAAAGTATTCTTGAATAGTACTATAGATAAATAAACCTGTTTATGACGAACCAAGCACTTAGTCCCTAATATTTTAACCTGTATGGCAAACTTCAGTTATGTATTATTGAATGAGAGGACCAATTGAACTTGATTACTGATTAAGCTTCCTTTGTTTAAATTGAAGAGTCAAACAATATTAATAAAACATTATACTTTTAAAAACAAATATTCTCTGGTATATTTAATTATCAATATGTTATTTTAGTTCTATGTTTATTTTACCTCTTAAAATCGATTCAGATAAAATTGTGACATAATTTGAGTAAAAAGGTTTTGGACAGGATGGTTTAAACCATGGATTAATCCATTCTGTACTAAACCTTGCCAACCCTGATTTAAATCATTGATATTTTCACAACATAAAAGTCTAATTAATTTTATGCAGCATAATTTAAATTAATAATTATGTATAAGTTTACTTTTATCTCAGATCACATTTATTATTATACAAGAAAAAATATTTACAAATGAAAGCGATGCCAACTATAAATTTAAGTTCTTATATTTTTAAATAAAATAGACAAGAATTTTGATACATAAATGTGATCGATAATTTCTTGAAATTTCTGGACCTTGGATTTCTGGAAATTTCAGGATTGCCGCCGTTAACGAAAAATCCGGAAATCCGGCCGGATTTTTTACGGAGCACAATCATCTGTTATAATAAATGCAGCTATAATTTTATACATTAATGAAGCTTTTTTTAGTTGAAAATTTATGTAGCATGTACTGTTTTGCTCTATTCTTGCTTTCCATGCAGAAGTCTTTTATGGTTAAGATTTATAAAATAAATAGTATAATAGTATATACTAGTTTACAAGATAAAGGTGTATCAATTGCTATTTTAATTATGTCTAGTGGTTTATGAATTTAAAACCTGCTTTGTGCTGTTTTAGTATTTCAAAAGGTGATTTTCTATTTAATGAAATTTCCATATAATGAACTTATTAATCATTTAGTGACTTTGTTAAATAGAGGTCTGACAGTACATAATTTTGTAAAACCCAAGAGAAAAATAAGATGATTAAATTTTCAATAAAATTCATTCATACCCGAGTATTTATGAACTATGGGTGTTTACCCCAAATTTAAATAATTATAAATAAAATTTTGTAAAATTGCAATTTATTCAATCTGCTAATTTTTTTTAATTATTGAAAATACAAATACAAAAACAATCATCTTATAAGAAAACAGCATGTTCATTAAGTGCAAAATTAATTTTCATTGTCTAATTTTAATTCCTTTCCTAGAAGCATGCAATTATAAAACACTAGTTTTAAAACTCTCTGTATTCCAAGTTTGTTTTTCAGTTTTGAATGAATAAGACCAAAAACTTTTTTTAATACATGCTGAGCTGCATGGATTCGAATGTAGTCATACCAAAACTAATATAACTTACTAAAATAACATTTATTAAGAAGTTTATTCTAATAACTGTACTGCATATTGATGATAACTTAATGGAATGCTTGAATGGATTAAAAAAAATTATTAACTCATTTAACCATTCATATTTTTTGTAAATTATAATTCGTTTACTTATCAGGGAATATATAATTATTATGATTGATAGGCAAGTCTCCTGTGCATATAAATATTAACACAAATATTGAGAATAAAAATAAAAAAAATTTCCTAAGGTGAAGCCAGACAATTATTGGAGACCATTTAGTTTCATTCAAACTAAAACAAAGTGCCGAAATTGAGTCAGAAAATAATAAAAATTAATGTTTCTAGATTGATAATAATAACTCTTTACCTGTAATATGAACTGAATAGTTATTATATAGCAAATAATATTGATCTTTAAGTATTAATACTAGACCTCATTTTTTAAAAAAAAAAAAAAATTTCAGTCAATAATTTCTGCTATATTTTCAGATAATATAAATAATAATTAGAGAAATAATTATAATGCAAGTATAGTGTATGATATATGATTGAACAGAAAGTTCTTAACGACAAATAAAAGAAACTTATCCCAAGTTTTTGTCAATTTATGACAAGTTTTGACAAGTCAGAAACGTGCTTTTGATCTCAAAAACCTAACCCTAACATTAGATCAAAAATATGTGTAATAAAACATATTACTATTATTGATTGAGAACCTATTACGATACAATTTATATCCCAGGGTATTATGACAGAATTTCACTTTTAATAGGATTGAAATAATAGTTTATAAAGCTTCAGTGTAATTCTGAATATAAAATCAAATTACAAATTCTTGGCACACATTTGTTATTAAAAGTCAATATAGTACAATTAAAATTTTCAATAATAATTAGATATATTTGTTTTAACAAAAATAATTTATTTATTATTTTAGTTTGAGAGAAGGGAGGTTTAAACCTCTAAAATTTGGTGGCATATTTTAGACTGCATTATCTAGACCACATTTTTTCTTCTTCTCTTAATAATTCCTATGTTAACAACATATATGACACAAGTAGCTAATAGTTAGATAATCAAGTTTAAATAATTGACTAAATAAATGAATAAACAAAAGGCATAATGTTTATAGTTACCTTGTGAATGCACCACTGGATTTCCAGTAGACTGGGAAACTGACTGAGATAAAACTTCTAAAATTATCTTTACATCATCATGAGGGTCAAACCTATGTGCTTTTAAATAATCCAGCAACGTAGAAGGAATTTTCTTCCTCCACATTACATAATCCGCCATATTACTACCAGTCTTCAAAAAATAAAACTCCGTTTGAGTTTGGTAATACTTATTTTTTAATAGTTGTATTTTTCTTGTTAAATGCTCAATAACTTTTCTGCGCTTTATTACATCTTTGTTAGTTACAGGCTGCTTATCCAGTTTAATTCTTTTGGACTTAGGACTACTTGGAATGCTAGAAATTTTTCCTTCAAAAGGCATCAAGCCGTATAATAACTTATTTACAACAGATATATGAGACAAGACATCATTATTATTTACAAAGGATAACTCAGTCCGAGTAGGAGTTGTAGCAATCAACTGACGTTTGACACTAGCTCTTGATGGATTTGCAAGAGGCTTTTGTGCTAGTCCTGTTACCTGCAAAGTCTGTCCAGTACTTATAACAATTTTTTGCATTGTATTCGTGGACCCTAAGGATGAGACAGCAGCGCTCGCAAGACTATATGAATGAACTTTAGTTACATCACTAGATGGATTCAGGCTTGCAGAAGAATCCAGTAGCATTATCTGCGGTGTAGCACTCCCTCCACCAATAGTTGTTGGAGTTATGCGCAACGCATAAACATCCGACATGCCAGTGCCACTGTTTAGCACAATTCGTGGAGCTATAGTAGTCTGTGTAACTGGCTGCGCTATGACAGCATTGCCTGCAGTCCGCTGACCACCTGTGGCAACATTTGTTATGTTTCCTAGAGTTTGATATTGTGGCATGGAAGCACTGACATTCACAATTGAATTTTGAAGTTCTACAGTGTGAAGGGGAGCATTTGATGTCGTCGCCACCAAAATGTGGGGCAAATCTTGTGTAGATGTCACTGTACATCTTGAACTGATAGGAAGAGATTCAGAGGTTGAACTAGTACCTATGTATGAAGAAGAAAAATAAAAACAGTATTAATTGAATTGAAAAAGATATTTAGTAGCACTAATAAAAATATTTCTTTATTTGAAAAACATTCGCATGATTTAAAAAGCATATATCTGACTCTCAAGTAAATATAAATAAAAAATCCTAATCACAATAATCAACTGCTATTCTTAATTTTTATTATGTACATTTTAAAACAGACATATTAGTGTCGACATACCTTGAACTTGCACTGGGGTAACCACGTGTTGTAGTTGTTGTCCAAGAGATATCCGCCGAAACTGAAGAGCTCCACTCTCTGGAATGCTGCTACCTTCAGGAAGTATAACAGTTGTAGGAGTACCTAAAGTATTCGTAACATATGTTGCTCTTCTCTGTTCAACAGCATGTATTGTTCGGGAACTTGGAGTGATACGCTGTGAAGTGGTTGAAACAACTTGTTCTTCTGCCTTTTGCTCTTTAGATGGTGCATTAACATCTTTTCGAGCCTGGATCATGACCCTTGGGAGTCAAAAAACTGGAGAAAAAAAATAAAAAGACAATTTACAAAACAAATACTTATTTTAATTAAAGCAAATGATTTTTTCTTAAAGTTAGATTGTCCTCGACTTTACCAAATATTGCACTCACAGAATAACACCACACAACTTATCGCAAAATTTCATTTCTATTGGATTCTTAAAATAATACTATATTATAATTTTCACATTGAGCAGTCTGATATGACACAGCACAATACTACTAAATATTGCAATCAGCTGAGTGATTAAGATGGCATTTAACAAGGCATTATTGGAATACTGGATAGTTAATATGTTTTAATAATTTGGATAATTAAAAATATTTTTAATTATATCAGAAAATATAGCTTCGGAAAATATTATTTAGTATATTTTGAAATATAAATGTTTACCCCTTTCATTCTTTCGTTGGTTCTTTTTGGTTAGCCTGGAACAAAAATTAATTCTTTTTATTTTTTAACACTTTATTTAATTTTTTGTGGTATTCCATTTTCCTCAGTGTTTAAAGAATGAATAACATAAAAAACAGTAAAAAAAAGTTGGCAGGGGTCTATATTTTTGGGGACTTTCATATGTGCCCGACTAAATGAAAAGTACCTTCAATTGTAATAAGCCTTCATCAATGAAATCAGACTTTTTTTTCTCAAAAAAATAAATAAATAAAATTACACTTTATGATGATTTTTATTATCAATTGTCCATACTTAATTCCAAGAATCAGATTTGATAAATAATAATCTTTCATTTTTGAAAATATGGAGCTCCAAAGTAAAAAAGAATTCTGATTTTTTAATGCACATATGAATTATTAAATACAATAAATTTTGAAAATGGCTCAGAGGGTGTGGCTGCAGGGACATGCCCCACAGGACACCCCTGTCCATCACGAAATCAAAAATACAAGTGTATGGTAAACATTAAAATAGTTTTGACCAAGGAAAGTTAAGGAATCCATATATTGGCTATTAATTGCCTTTTTTTTTTTTGGTTGCCAAGGCTCTTTTTCTTAGCATTACACATTCAAATGCATTGACAGAAAAGAAAGCACGAGAAATAATAACGAATTTTAATAAAATCAAAACATTTAGCAACCATTTTACGGTTTTCCAATTCTATGTTAATGTGCAAGCAGATGTAGAGGGAATCCCTAAAAATAGATTTTTCTGCACTTAATTCAAATTTGTGGTAAAAGAAGTTTACTGATTATATTAATGATTTTTAGTAAATAAAAAATTATTAAATAAGATAATTTATTTTTAAATAGCACAACTTGATAGATATTTTGATGCTATAACTCAAAGGCAATACTTATGTACATATCCATATAATGTTTGCAGGGGTCTGTCTAGGTTTTTCTGAAAGGTACCTATTTTGTGAAAATTTAGACATAATTTGTGAAAAATTAAAAATTATATTACAAAATCAATACAAAAACATGGTAAAAATATAGATTTATCGTTTCTTAAGGGATACAAAAATAAAATTTTAAGAAAAAGTATTTTGTGAAACTACCGTTTTTCCTAAAGTTGAATTTGTGAAGCTACCGTTTCACCTAAAATTGAATTTGTGAAGGTACCGCTAAGCGGTAGTAAATTCGACCTGGACAGATCCCTGGTTTTTAATAAAAGTATTGATATTAATTTTCCCACAGATTTAGTCTTTATTTCATGGGAATTCGAATTTAAACGATTTCCTTAAAATTTTTACTGGATTTGATATTTTCATTAAATATGTAACTATATACCGTGAAAACAAATATTACCCACATCACTATAAAATAGTAAAGTGAAATTTATATAAGAAACTAGTTTTCCATTTTGCAAAATATGCGATAAGCCAATCCTCGGAATTTTTTATCCATGCTTGAAAATATTAAAATTTTTGTCCTTAAATATATTCTTTAACTATATTGTATTTCGTAATAAAACAAATTTTTAAAAAAATAAATTTTTATTTTACTGATTTGATTAACTAAACTAAACTCAGTGGTACGACTTCCCATACAGGGCCAGGGTCTACTGTGCCCATCTCAATTTTCTTGACCTTGGGCTCTAGCAGACGTTCCGGATAGGTGGTCAACGTGAAATCCCCCGTGTTTAGTTCTCAAGCATGCTTGGTACTCATTTATCGACCCACTGAAGGGATGAAAGGTTGAGTCAACCGAACCCAGAACCTATGGCAAAATTAATTTAGTGAAGATATGAAAGGGCAGGGCTAAAGAGAATAGAAGGGCTAGTTCACTCCGCTCTTAGAGCTGAAGCTACGATTTCCCTCCTCATGACGTCACTGTGTCCACAGATCTCGGAGATCGCAAGCAAAGATATTATGATAACTTTGCATCTTTCTCTTTGTAAAAATAAGTTAGACTTTTTCTGGTTATTAGCTTTCAAACTTTACGTAATTAACACATTATTTCCGT